AGAGACCAGCTCAGCAACACAAACTTGTTTCCAGAGAAACAATGGAAAAGGGAGTACGGAAGGCCAAGACATACATCTCAAGCCTCATGAAGCTAGAGGCTGGGGAAGGTGAACCCGAGCACATTCTCCAAGGGGCCTCACTGCAGCCCAGCCCGGCCACAAAAACGGAACTCCCACGAGTCAGCCCTGAGTCATTCCCTCTCGCCCCCAAGGAAGGGGTGATTTCCTGCATGGCCCTCTGGGCAGCTCAGGCTCCTCCCATGGGCTGTGCATCCTCTTATCTCACTCCTGGCCCTCTCCCGGGGTGGGGCAGGCCCACCAGAGTCTGGCTGTAGTGGGCTGTTCCCCATGTTTCCTCAGCAGGCCTTGGATTCGGGGCTCAGAGAGGCTCAGTAAGGGCCTCTCAGGAGGACGGAGGCCTGACCAACCTGGATCCCGTGCAGCCCTCTCGCTTGGGGTCATTGCTAGGCACCTACTAGGCCTTTTCCCATTTACTTGAATTAAGCCTCTCCTAATGCCTGTTTTGAACCCAGCCTCACACTGTGGGAGAGACTCACACCAGGCCCTGTGCAGGCACATAGTGTTAAATAAATGAATAAAATGGAGGAAACAGTGGACCTAGTCAGAAGTGACTATGTAGTAGTTAAAAGAACAGGCTTTGGAGTCAAACAGACTTGAATTTAAATCTCAGCTCCAGCCCTTACTAGTGACTTCAGACAACTCATTTAATCCATCTCAGTTTCTCTTTTCTCTTCTTTCAAGTAAGGACGAGGGCACCTAACAGAGTCATCGAGTGATGACATGAGACAATTCAGTAGCCTAGTGCTGGCAAAGAGCAAGTGTTCCTTAATGGTAGCTGGTGGGACAAGGGCAGGATAGGGAATCAGGCAGGAAGAGGCAGGCCCACTCCCACTCAACATTTATCCCCGAAGGAGTGAGTTAAGATGACAGTCCCCACTTGGCAGGGTTCATATCCTGTCTAGGTAAGGCGGAGCCATAGCACAGCTGTTTACTTATAAAAGGACCCCAACAGAGGTGCAAAGGTTTGGAGGGACTGAAGGACGGATTGTGTATGCAACCCAAATGGCCTCGAGGCTTGCATGCTTTAGGGTCATCTTTTCCATTTATGTCCCATTGGAATAGCTCAGTCCCTATTCCACATCCTCTGGGAAGTCCACACCCTCCTCTGTTTTGACTAGGACTCTCTAAGGGTTTATGTCCTCATGATCACCTCTCAATCTGAATCCCCACTCTTGCTCAATTCTTTTTTTGTTAATCTTTTATTTACTTATTTATTTATTTTTGAGGAAGATTAGCCCTGAGCTAACTACTGCCAATCCTCCTCCTTTTGTGCTGAGGAAGACTGGCCCTAAGCTAACATCCACGCCCATCTTCCTCTGCTTTATATGTGGGACGCCTACCACAGCATGGCTTTGCATGGCTTTTGCCAAGCGGTGCCATGTCTGCTCCCGGGATCCGAACCAGCGAACCCCAGGTCCCGAGAAGCGGAACGTGCAAACTTAACTGCTGCACCACTGGGCTGGCCCCTCTTGCTCAATTCTTGATCACTGGGTTGCTCCTTTGCTGTGGCTGCCAGCCTCTCTCGACTCCACAGCTATGGCTATCTTTCTGCCTTTGTTCCTAAAACACCGTGAACATACGGTTTTGTGTGTAGGACACTTTTACTGAATGTTTGGGGATGCTCCAGGGAAGCTAAGCATTCACAGAACAGAAAGTAAACTTAAAACTGAGTATTAGGCACCACTGTTCTGAAACTTCCTTCCAGCAGTCTTTCTACTGGAATTTCTCACTGGTGAAGTTTCTTCTCCTCAGCTGGCTCTCTTTCTCCTACTAGCCATCCTCCTTTATCTGTGGAGTTAGCACAGTACGCTCCAAAATTCTCAGTGATTTCATATTCAGCAAATTTAGCTCTCTAACTCCTCCAATCAAGGCCCAAAGGCTCACCAAGTTGTTTCTGATCACAAAAGAGCTACGAGGGCTCTGAAAGGAATGTGAAGTTGCATTTCTCTATTTGGAATTAGGGGGCTTTTTCCCATTATGTATTGTTAGGGGATAAGAAAAGACCCCCAAAAGTAGTGATTTGGGCACAGGCCTTGAATCACAAAGAAAGTTCCAACAGGCTGAGAGGTCGGAGGGTCCTGCGTGGGGGAAGCAAGGAAACAAGGCCCTGCGGCAGGGAGGGGACTGAGTTTGAGAAGTGGCGGAGGCAGCGTTGTGAGGGAGAGGCTCCAGGAACGGAGGATGAAAGGTAAAGGGCTTGTGTTCCAGTATCGAGAGATGAGTCTTGGTCCAAAGGATCCTGTGGAGCCATGAAAGGATTTTAATGAGGGAAAAAATAAAAGTGAATTTGAGCTTCAGAAAAAGCACTGAGTGAGGAGATATCTTTTGTCGACTATCGGAGTGGCAAACTGAAAACAACACTGACAAAGGTGTGGGGAAAATACAGTGCTCTACCCACTGCTAGAGGCATAAATTGAATAATCATTTTGGAGAGAAGTTTGGCAATGTCGGGAAAGAGATGGGGAGACGGAGACTCCAAGAGCCTGGAGCTACCTATCCCGGACTTTCTGACTAGAGAAAAACGGCAGGTGTTGGGAAACCCGGGAAAATTTGGAGATAGAGGGCAAGAGCACAGGGACGGGCTCATGAGAGCTCAATTCTCTTCCCAATCACTGTTCAGTGACATCATGTTAGTAGCTCAAAATTGGCCATAGTGGAGTATTTCCACCACAAGAAGCAGCAAATGCTACAAAACAGGGCTCCCTTCTCTCCGCCCCCAGAGAGCAGTTTACCAGCACACCCCTGCCTGAGCCAGTCGTCATCCAGCAGCCCCTCGAGTTCTCTCAGCAACAGCTGAGAGAATCAAATCAAATACAGGCTTGTATGAGCCCGGGCTTTGGCTTTATATCCCAACAGAAAAGCCTAAGCCTGCTGACCGGGGCTGGACCTTAAGGAACCTGCTGGACTCTTTGTTGAAAGAGTCAGCAGACCTAAGACCTTTCCCCTAGGTCCATTCCAGCTCCTGTTTGAAATGCTAAAGAAGGAAAAGACTGGGGATGACCTCTTCCCCGCTGTGTGGAAGTGGAGAAAAATGAGAAAGTGACAGGTAGCTGGACCTCCTTCCACGCAGGAGCAGAAAGCCCCCAGCTCAACTCTCCGACAGCTAGAGACAAGCCCCTTGTCTTGTGGGCTCTGCATCCTTAACCACTATTATGCTGCATCCCTGTAGAAGTCACAGGACTTGGTAAGACTTGGATGCAGGAGTGGAAGGAGAATGAAGATTTGGGGATAACTTTCAGGTTTCAGGCTTAGATGCCCAGGTAACCTAGGGTAAGATAAAGAACATAGGAAGAGAAGATCCAAAAGGATGTATGGGAGTTAGTGATGGTTCTATTTGAGACTTGGGGAGTTTGAAGGGCCTTTGGAACAACAAAGCAAGACATCCAATAAGTAACCAAGAATTTGAAATTTAAGAGAGTGGTAAAGTCTTAGGAGTTACTGGTATATAGATGGAATTGAAGCCATGAGAGAACTCAGGGAATATAAAGGGTGAAGAAAGGACACCTGAGGAACAGCACTATATAAGAGAAAAAGCAAAGAGAGAAAGAAACTGGGAGGGACTGTTCCAGGAGGGAGGAGGAAAGCAGGAGAATGTGACACATTGTAGAACCCAAGGAAGGAGGAGAAGATCATGTTGCAGGAAGGTTGAGTTTGATGAGGATTAAGATGAGATACACAATGAGGTTATTGTGGCTGACTGAGAGTGAAGAAGACGGTGGTACCAGATGGGATCTGCGCAGGCAGGGGCCAAGTCAGGCAGGACCTTGTGTGCCCTTAGGATGCGTTTGGATTTTATTCAAAGTGCAGCAGGAAATCATTAGAGGGTTCTAAGAAGGGGAGTGCAGTCTGATTCGCATTTTAAACATCTTATTCCGTTACGTGGAAGATGGACTGAGGGGGTACGAGAGGAGGCTGTTAGGAAGCTGCTGCAGTAACCCAGATTGGACCACGATGGTAGCAGTGGAGGTGGCAAAAAGTGCTCTGATTCAGTACATTTTGAAAGAATATCTGACAGGACTTGCTAATCAATTGAATGTCAGGTAAGAGAAAGATAGGAATCAAGGAGTCCTGAGGTTTTGAGTTTGATCAACTGAATAGATGGTGGAGCCATTTACAGAGGTGAGTAAGACTAGAGGGGAAGAAAAACAGGTTTAGGGGTGGGGACCAGAATCAAGAGTTTGATTTTGGCCATCTTAAATATCAGATGACCATTAGACATGCAAGTGGAGATGCCAAGTAGGCAGTTAGGGATCCAAATCTGGAGCCCAGGGGAAAGTCATGGCTAGAGATATGGACTTTGAAGTCATCAGCATATGACAGCATCAAAGCCATGGGACTGTATGGACATCAAAGCTGTGTTTCCCCTCTCACTTGACCTGAGAGAGGTTGGATGGCCCTTGATTGGGGGTTGGGGGAAGCATCCAAAGTCATCCCTATTGGGCAGAGGAAGCTGGTCCTTGTAAGAGAGCTGGACAGGAATCAGGACAAACCTGGCTCAGGGACTTCTTGCAGAGAAATGCCAGAGAAAATAAGACTTCACAGGAGGATCTACCCCCTCCTCCCCACTCCCATAATTCTCTCTGTTATAACATTAATTCAAGAGGAAGACAGAAAGGTGATACTAAGGACACGTAGTGTGTAGAGCCAGCAATGGGAGCCCCAGCAAAGCCAGAGGGGCTAAATGTGGGAGTTCATGTGGCATGCACTCCCCCGACACCATGCAAGAGTTGCAGCTTCTGAGAGTTGGCAGAAAGGCCACCCAGAGTTACAGCACTCCCAGGAGCAGGCCTGGGCTTCAGAGAAGGAATCATACTCACTCCTCTACTACTGAAGTGGAGAAGATGAGTATGACCTGAAGACATGAAGCCAACCATCCCATGATTCTGAGCCAACCAGATAAAAGTACTGAAGACCAGCGCTTCTCAAACTTTTACGTGTATTCAAATCATTTGGGGATTTAGGTAAAGTGCAGATTCCGTTTCAGTAGGTCTGGGACGGGGCCGAAGAGTCTGCATTTCTAACAGGCTCCCAGGTAATGCTTTTACTGCTGGTCTACAGAACACGCTTTGAGTAGCAAAGGACTAAAGGTAGCTGTGGAGGCCGCCCGCGATGGAGGGAACACGTCCAGTCCCAGGGAGAATGTGTTCATCGTGCATGTTACAGAACCTATTAAAGTGGAAAGAGCCACCATTTTGTCATGGTTGTGAGGCAGACAGTCGTTTCCCGGCTGATTACACCTCCAGTAAGTAGCATGACACGGCTGTTAAGCGCTTGGGTTCTGAAGCTTGACCTCCTGAGCTTTACCTCTTAGTAGGTATGTGATCTTGGGCAAATGGTTAACTTCTCTGCATCTCAGTTTCCTCATCTCTATAAGGGAAATAATAAGACTATTTTGAGGATTAGCTGAGTCAATAAAGTGCTTAACACACGGCAGCAGGGTGAGTGCTCAGAAATGTTGCTGTTCTCGTTCATCAGACGTCCTTCTACAAGAGTTAACGGAGACACACACAGAGGCTTAGTCTCCTTTTGGTACGTGGTCAAAAATGTCACCCCCATCTCCCTCCACCAAAAGGCCTGTATCCTCTCTTTCAAATTCCTCCTACCCTGCCCACTCCCACTCCCCCTCCCCTGGCCCCTGGCCCCAGTGTGGTCTGGATGGGCCCCACAGGGGCAGGGACAGGGACAGGACGTGGGGCTGTATCTGACAGGAACCTGAGGGGCTGGCCCGGGAGGGGATTGGGGCCCGGCTTCCTGAAGGGAGGATGGGCTAAGGCAGGCACACAGTGCCGGAGAAGATGCCCTTCTGGGCCCTCTTGATGGTTACCTCCTGCCTCCTCCTGGCCCCCCAAAATCTGGCACAAGTCACCAGCCCAGGTGAGGTGTGTGGAGGGTGGAGATCACCTATGCTCAGGGAGAGGGAGCCCTGGGAGGGGTGCAAGGTAGAAGGTTCCCACTGGTCCCCTCCTCTTTCCCCTAAACATGCCTGGGAAGACCCAGAGCCCACTCCCCAGCTGTTCCTCAGATGCCTCCTCGCTGGCCTCGGACTCAAAGCCCCTGAAATGTTTCTCTCGAACATTTGAGGACCTCACTTGCTCCTGGGTTGAGGAAGAGGCAACGCCCACTGGAACATACCAGCTGCTGTATGCCTACTCAGGGTATGTGCTGGGCTGTGCCCCACTCCCCTGTACCTGCCCTGTCCTGACCTCAGCTGACCCCTGCTCCAGTAGCTTCCCTGCCATTGGCCCCTATCAGAGGACAACTGCAAGCACATGCCCTAAGTAGCCACCTAATGAACAGATGTGCTTTGGATGGATGTAGCCATCCTAAGCCCCTACACAACCCCTATTCCCACCCATCCCAGGCACTGAGAAGAAAAATGGTACTAATGGAAACAGAAGTTGGTCTTGGGCCCAGGCCTGGGTCCTCATGGCTGGGCATTTGGTAACGCAGGAAGAATGGACTTCCCCTATGCCCACAGGGAGAAGCCCCGTGCCTGCCCCCTGACTTCCCAGAGTGTGCTCCCCTTTGGAACCCGATATGAGTGCAAGTTTCCAGCCCAGGATGAAGTTCGCCTCTTCTTTCCACTGCACCTCTGGGTGAAGAATGTGTTTCTGAACAAGACTCTGACCCAGCAGGTGCTCTTTGTGGACAGTGTAGGTAAGGACCATCCTCCTGTCACCCTACTCCTCTATCTGCTGCTCCCAGGCCAGCTCCTAGAATGGTCTGTGCAATTTCAGGACAACTTGGATGCCCTTCATTACCAGACCTCCAGAGGCACCTCAAGACCCCCTTGTCATTTCTGCCCACCTTAGCATCCAGAGCTAGACTTCATTTCACCCCAGAGACACCCTGGTCCTCCCATCAATAACCTATTCACTTACTCACTCATTCAACAGCTACAGAATACATGCTATGTGCCAGGCACTGTGCTAGGTGACAAGAGTACAGAGATAAAAAGAGATCCCTGCTCTTGAGGAGCACTAAGTCTAACAAACCTGCAATGAGGTCACTGTTCTGAGAAAAGGAGAACAGGATAAGGAGCCTTCCAGCCCTGCCCTGTCCTGCCCTCCAAGTGAGCCATGGCCTGTGATGGTTCAGCACTCAGGGGCTACCCTCAACCCAGCTTCCAACACCCTTCTCTAGCGGACCATGGGCTGACCTGTAGACTGTGGCACTCAAGAGAGTTCTGATGTGCCCTGTCTTGCCCTCAGGCGAGCCAGCTCCCCCCAGTATCATCAAGGCCATGGGCGGGAGCCAGCCAGGGGAACTTCAGATCAGCTGGAAGGCCCCCGCTCCTGAAATCAGTGACTTTCTGAGGTACGAACTCCGCTATGGCCCCAAGGATCCCAGGAACTCCACTGGTCCCACAGTCATGCAGCTGCTGCCCACAGATACCTGCTGCCCAGCTCTGCGGAGGACAAATCCAGCCCCAGCTCTGGACCCGCCACCATGTGCTCAGCCCATGATGCCCCCACAGGATGGACCAGAGCAGACCTCCCCAACTAGAGAAGTATCCTGGCCTTCTTCTGCTCCACCTCCTATCTCCTAACCCCAATTTTGCCCCAAGAAATGACAGGCCATACTTTGGGGATTCCAGACTGGGTTAGCCCTTGGGGAGTTAGTATAAGCTCTGATTAGCCCTCAGGAGCCATGTCTATTTAGAGATCTCCAATTTTGGGTCATTCACACCGAAAAAGTTGAGAGCTTCAGGCCTCCAGGTTAATGGGAATTTCCCTAAAAGCCCTGAACACCACCTGAAACCCACCAACCTGGCCCCCCATCTGTGTGCATATCCATCCAGAGGAACTGAGCGTTTCTCCATAGGCATGCTGTGGGGCTTCAAATAGAAGAGATGGAGGCTGTCTTGGCTGAGAGGCTGACCCAGATTTTGAGGTTGGGATTCTTCTTCCAAGGCTCCATCTCTGATAGTGATGGGTGGAAGCTGCCTCATCTCCGGGCTCCAGCCTGGTAACTCCTACTGGCTCCAGCTGCGTAGCCAACCTGATGGGGTTTCCCTCCTTGGCTCCTGGGGATCCTGGTCCCTCCCTGTGACTGTGGACTTGCCTGGAGATGCAGGTGAGTCAACAAATGAATGGGAAGATGGGGAGGAGACATAAAAGATCTCTGGGGAGGCCTGGGCTGGATATGGAAGCTCTGGGAACCATGGTCCTTCCTGATGACCTCAAACTTACCACTGGACAGAATGAACTATGTTCAGGGAGAGAACAAAGAATAGCAGTAAATATTCTAAGTTATGTGTGTAAAGACTATCTGGATGTCCCATAAAGTAGGAGCATATGGGCCCTGATGGGACTTCCTTCTCTGACCTCAGTGGAAATCGGACTACAATGCTTTACCTTGGACTTGAAGAATGTTACCTGTCAGTGGCAACAACAAGACAATGCTAGCTCCCAAGGCTTCTTCTACCACAGCAGAGCACGGTGCTGCCCCAGAGACAGGTGAGAGCTGAACCGATGATTGCGCTTGATGTCATAGGAGAAGGGCACAACGCTGCAAAAAGAAGGGAGAGATTGTTCTTGGTCCTTTTCATTCCCATCCCTTGTCCCCAAACCAAATGGTGTCCATGCTGTCATCCTCCAGCGGGTATTTCATCTTCTCACCCTCTCTCCATTCCCACTGGAAATGCCTTGGTTTAGTTCAGCTTTAATCATCTCACATGGACCACTGCAACGGCCTACATTCTCATTCACCTCCAATTTATCCCCCATGCTGCTGACAGAGTGACCTTTGTTAAATTCAAACTTTGCATGGCTTTTCCCCACTCAAATATGTACTGCAACTTTCCACCTTCTATCAAATCCAATTAAAACTTCACCTGGCCTTCAAGAATTTCCACCAAACACCTCATTGATCTGTCACTCCCTCCAAGTCCAATCTATAACCAAGGCTTGTTGATTTTACCTATTAAATATCTCTGGAATCTGTCTACTTTTGCTCATCACTGCCATTATTGTACTATAAGCAATCATCATCTCTCACTTGGGCTACTGAGAAGACATTAACTGATCGCCTCTTGAATCCTCCAAATTGTTCTCCACACGGGAACTGAAGTGATCTTTTAACAGTGCAAAAATAAACATAACACTCCCTTGGGGCCAGCCCGGTGGCACAGCAGTTAACTTTGGGAGCTTCACTTTGGCGGCCCGGGGTTCACGGGTTCAGATCCCAGGCGCAGACCTACACACCACTCATCAAGCCATGGTATGGTGGTGTCCCACATACAAAATAGAGGAAGACTGGCACAGACGTTACATCAGGGACAATCTTCCTCACCAAAAAAATAAAAATATCTCTTCCTGCTTAAAAATCTTCAATAGCTTCCCACTGATCTTACGATAGAGAAAAGAACTCTATCATGGCCTTATAAAGTTCTAAAAGACTCAGCCCCTACTACGCCTTCAGCTCATCTTACACTATGCTGACTTTTGCTTTCTATGCCCCAGTATTGGCCTTCTTTGGTTCCCTCCTGTCTACCATATTCCCTCCTGCATCTGGGTCTTTGCACATGCTGTTTACCAAGCCCTCCTGTCTATACTTAACTTCTGCTTATCCTTCAGATCTCAACTCAAATGTCACCTCCTCAGGGAACCCTCCCCTGACCTTCCTCATTAGGTCCAATAGCACTGTTACATATCCTTGTTGTACCATGCACCTCTCCTTAAGTACTTCTCATAGTTACAATTTTACATTTATACTTTATGTGGTTATTTGACTGATAATAGAATTCTCTCTCAGAACTCCAGTTGAGAAAGGCTGATCTTGACCACACATGATCCATGAGGGCAAAGTCAGTGTCTATTTTTACTCACCAAAGTCTTCTCACCTCTACCACAGTGCCTGGAACATAGTAAACATCAGTAAAAAATTGTTGAATGAGCGACTAATGAAAAAAACCACTATTAACAGTTTTAATGTATTCTTCCAATTATTCTATGCATTTACATATGTCTATAGACAATATTTAATTTTCAATATAAATTGGATCACATTATAGATATGTTTTGTTAACCTACTTTTTTACTTAAAAATATGTCTTGGAGATCATTACAAAAAGATGTAATTCATTCCTTTTAATAACTGCACAGATTTCCATAATATGGAGGTGCTGTGAATGGATTAAAGGGTGGCAAAACTGAAGTCATCATTTCCTCTACCAAAACCTGCTCCTCCTCTTATTGTTGTCCATCCTACCATCAACTCAGTTTTCCAGGCCGGAAACACGGAGATCACCCTGGACTTCCACCATTTCTACACCCTCCAGGTCCAATCAGAAACAGTCTTATTATTTCTAGCTCTTCAGTATCCCTCGAATCCATCTATTTCCCTCTACCTCATTGCTGCCACAAGCCTATTTTCAGATCCTCATCACTTTGCACGTGGAAACCACAACAGTATCCTAATGGATTTCTCTGCTTCTAGTCCACCCTCGCAAATTCTTTCCTACAAACTGCAGTTAAAGTGATCTTCCTAAAGAATAAAGCTAATTAGGACAATTCCCTGATTAAAATCCTTCAATGTCTCCATAATTACTATAAGATTAAGTTCAAGTTCCTTAGAAAGGCCACAAGGCCAGCCATGACCTTGGTCTGCCATCTCACATTTACCACTCATCACCAGGCCCTCTATGCTAAAAGCATTCTGCACCATTTAGAATTTCCCCCGAAGCACCATAGCTCTTATCTGTGCACAAGCATGTGCCTGGGATCCCTGTTTATCCCCTTTGTCTGTCCTATTTATAGTCCAAGACTCAGTGCAAGCACTGCCTTGTCCAGGAAGTATTCTCTGACCCTCCCAGCCTGGGTCAGATGATCTTCCTTGAGGATCTGTGCACATCATAGAAAAATACCATTTGTTTGTTTTTCTGCCTCTTCCACTGAAATGAGAGCTCCTTGGGGATTATTCCTCTACATATTCACTGGGACAAGCACGGTGTCTGGCACACAGTATCAATTATTTGTTGAATAAATGACTAAACATATGAATACATAAAGTGATAAATGATTTTAGTAATAGCTAGCCATTTAGGGGTTACAATCAGGAAGGAGACATGATTCATTTGTTCAATAAACAATCATTGGGGCCAGCCGAGTGGTGCAGAGGTTAAGTACGCACGTTCCGCTTCGGCGGCCCGGGGTTTGCCGCTTCAGATCCCAGGTGCAGACATGGCACCGCCTGGCAAGCCATGCTGTGGTAGGCGTCCCACATATAAAGTAGAGGAAGATGGGCACAGATGTTAGCTCAGGGCCAGTCTTCCTCAACAAAAAGAGGAGGACTGGCAGCAGTTAGCTCAGGGCTAATCTTCCTCAGGTAAAAAAAAAAAAAAACAATTATTGAGGGTAACTACGTGTCAGGCACTGGGGATAGAGTGACAAAACAGAAAAGTTTCCAGCATTGTTGGGGCTTACTTTTTAGTCTGGGGAAAGAAAGGGGTGACAAACAAATACAGAAATTACGGAACAAGGTTACATGATAAAGATTAAGTAAGAGGACGAGGGGGTGCTAATTTAGACTAGTGGTCAGAGAAAGCCTCACTAAGGAGGTGACAGGTGAGCTGAGACCTAAGTAACAAGAAGCAATGAGTCACGTGAAGATCCAGAGTCAGAGCAATCTAGGGCAAGGTGAAGCGCAAAAAGAGTGCATTTGGCATCTTTGTAGCACAGAAAAAAGGCTCGTGTGGATGAAGGGTGGTCAACTGGTGTGAGAATTGTAGGAGATGAGAACGGGAAGGTAGAGAGGAACTGAATCATATAGAGTCCTGTAGGCCCTGGTATGGAGTTTGGATTTTATTCCAAGTGGGATGGGGAGCCGTTGAAGGGTTTTAAGCAGAAGAGTGACATGGTATGATTTATATTTTTAAAAGCTATATTTCTCTGTGAAATTATGAAGAAGTAAAAGTAGAAGCAGGATCACCAGTGAGAAGTTTGCCTTAATCCAGGCAAGAGATAATGGGGGTTTGATCTAATGTGGCAGTGATAAAGACCAAAATAAATGCACAGATCTGTGACAGATGCCGGACATTATCAGATCCACGTTTTGGAAGCAAATTCTGGTAGCCATGTGGAGAAGAAACGGAAGGGAGTGGCAAAAATGGAGGCAGAAAAGCCAGTGAGGGGGCTGTTGTAATAATCTAACAGTAAAATAACACGTAGAGGTGATGAAAGGGGCTGGTGTTTGAGAAGAGATGAAAAGCATAAGGACGTTTCCCTCCAGAAAGATGAAGGCTCTTTAATCTTTGAAACAATCCTGTGAAGTAGCTATTATTAACCCATTTTACAAATGAGGAAACTGGGGCAGAGATGTATCAAGTATTTTGCCCAAAGTTATACACCAACGAGCCCAGACCCGACCTCTATAGCCCATGTGGTATTCACGTATTATCTACCTCCTTCCTTAAGAGAAAGAGGCTGGGCACCAAAGCAAACTTCAGAAGACAAAACACGATGGCCTGACAACAGAGAAAGCCCTGGAGGCCCATCCAAGAGAGGAGTTAGATTATAATCTGTGGAGGCCATGGCCCCCGTGAGATGGGGAGTACCAGGACTGGTCTCTGAGGCAGGCCTGATTCAATGACTCTGTGGGGCTGATTTTTAGGGAGCCCATCTGGGAGAAGTGTGAAGAGGAGGAGAAAGATCGAGGATTAAAGCCCTCCCAGTTCGCCCGCTGCCGCTTCAAGTCACGAAATGACAGTGTTATCCACACCCTTGTGGAGGTGACCACAGCCCAGGGTGCTGTTCACAGCTACCTGGGCTCCCCTTTCTGGATCCACCAGGCTGGTAAGAACTTTCTTCCCTTTTCTTCCTACATAGTTCCCACCCCTCCTGCACCTGACCCCATGTCCCACTTCTGACCCATGGCCCTGGGGGCATGATGTCTCATGCACAGAAGGGCTTAGGCCAGTCCTTGCTGACGTCCCTGTAGTGCTCATCCCCACTCCAAACTTTCACTGGAGGGAGGTCTCCAGCGGGCAGCTGGAACTGGAGTGGCAGCACCCGTCATCCTGGGGAGCCCAAGAGACTTGCTATCAGCTCCGATACACAGGAGAAAGCCATCAGGACTGGAAGGTACGGTCAAGGAACAAATGCTCACAAAAGTCACTGCACAGCGTATTCCTGAGTTTCACCATGTCTGTGATCAGGAGCGAAGGTGTCTGTGTATCCGTGCCTGGGGCTATACATCTATAATTATCTGATTCAACTGCTCTCTTCATCTCTCTTTGGCCTCTCACACTGCTGACTACTCCCATTTAAAATTTTCTCTTCCCTTTGCCTTTGGGATCTCCATCTCTCCTGATACTCATACCACCTCTCTGACTGAACCTTCTCATTCTCCTTTCCTGGTTCCTCCTTTTCCACCCTTCTTTAATGTGTTGTGCTCCCTACAGTCCCTTCCTAGGCTCTTTTCTCCTCTAGATAAATATATATGCTCTCCCTAGGTAAATGCTCCAATTCCGTGGTTTTAACAACTATTCATTAACAATCCCAAACTTACCATTCCAATCTGGATATGGAAAGGAACTTCTACACCATAGGCAAATTACTTAAACTTTTGAAGTCTCAGTTTCCTTATTGGTAAGATGGGAATAAAGCTATCTATCTTCTAGACTTGTAGTAAAAATTAAATATATAAATATCTAGCACATTGCCTGACAGTATGAGCATACAGAAGGGGCTCAATATACATTAATTAGTTTCTTTCTCTACTTTTATTCTCATTTGCCACATGTATATACAACTTCTTACTAACAGCTCTCCCTAAAAGCCCCCAGGGGCATTTCAGACTCAATATATCCAAAACTGAATTTATCTTCCTCCCCAAACTTATTTTACTTTTTTATCGAAGTACAAGTTACATAAAGTACACAAATCTTAAATATACAACTGACTAATTTGTACATGTGTATACACCCATGGAGCCATTACCTAGATCAACATATAGGTTATTTCTAGTGCCCCAGAAGCTCCTCATGCCCCCTACAGTTACACTCCTCCCTCCAAGGTAACCACTATTCTAACATTGCCATTGATAAGTTTTGACTGTTGTTGAACTTAATAAAATGGAACCATACAGTCTTTCTTTCTCAAACTTACTTCTCTGTTTCCTGTCTCTGGCAATGGCACCACCACTTACCCAATTACCCAAGCCTGGAACCATCTTTCACTCTTCTTCCTTTTCCCTTGTCCCTTCCCCCATTAATCCAACAAGTAAGTTGAGTTTATTGTACTAACGTCCTCATATCCTTACTACCACCGCCTCAGCCTCATCTTTGACCATCCAGCCTGCCCATCCACGCTCTCAGCACACTGAACTACTCTGTAACTCCCAACCAAGCAACTCATGCCACATTACATGCTTCTTCGTGCTCCCATGATGCTTTACTTACATTATTTACAACACTAATTACCTGTTGTAATTATTTACTTGTTGGGATGTCTTCCTCATTAGACATGTGAGAGACCACGTTGCATTTCTCTTTTTCCCCAGGGCCTAGCCTAATGCTTGGCATATCCCAAGCAGTCCATAAATGTTTGCTAAATGATTAATAAAGTCTCCCTGCTTGTACACATGATGGTCGTCCCCCCTGCTTGGATTCTGTCCTTGCACTCCCCGCAACTAGCACAATTCTGGCATCTTCTGCTAAATGCGTGTTCTTTGTGAACGGTCCACGCGGGCCTGAGTATCTAAGTGTGTCTGCGTTCCCACTGCCGAACCTGGAGTTCAGGTGAGCACTTCTGCCAGGATGTCCGTGTGTCCTGATCAGTGTGTGCGCACCAGGATCTCTGTCGGAGTGTATCCTATGTATCTGTTGTATACATGGGTCAGGATTAGTAGCTCTCCGTGCAGATGAGGTCTGTGTGTCAGAGCGTGGGGGCGGGCGGACGCCGTTCTCTCAGACAGGGTGTGTCTTGGGCAGGGAGAGGCCACCAAGGGGAGAGGCTCTCCGTCGGGATGTTCTATCTTGCAAATTTCCGCCGGGATGTGTGTTTTCTGAAAGTAAGGCTCTTTAAGGGATATCCGTGGGGATTCGAAGCGGTAGGATTTTGGTCAAACAGACGCCGGGCTCTCGAGGCCTCGACGCCGGTCCGCCGGCCCCGGAAGCCTGACCACACGCTCGCTTCTCCTCCGCGCAGGTGCTGGAGCCGCCTCTCGGGGCCCAGGGAGGGACCTTGGAGCTGCGCCCGCGCTCTCGCTACCGTTTACAGCTGCGCGCCAGGCTCCACGGCCCCACCTTCCAAGGTCCATGGAGCGCCTGGTCCGACCCAGTGAGAGTGGAAACCGCCTCCGAGACCGGTGAGGGCCCGGCGGGGCGAAGGCGGCACGCGGCTGCGCGAGTGGACAGGCGCCGGATCAGAGAGGGGCGGGGCTCCGGCCGCACCGGTCTGCGGCTGCGCAAACGGCAGTGGCGCCCCAGGGCGCGAGGGCCGGAGCCAGGGCGGGGTCTGGTGGACCTGGGGCGGGGCTCCGGCCAGGGGATGCCGAGGTCTGAATGTTTTTGTCCCACAGCCTGGATCTCCTTGGTGACGGCTCTGCTTCTGGTGCTGGCCCTCAGCGCCCTCCTGGGCCTGCTGCTGCTGAGGTGGCAGTTTCCTGCTCACTACAGGTACCGCCCAAGCCAGGCGGGAGACGGGGCCGCGATCGGGCGGGGCCGGAGGCCTCTAAACAAGCATCCCGGGGTCACTCAATGACACCCGCCCTCCGGACAACCGCATGTCCACACCTGTGGCTTCAGCCGCTTCCCGCACGTCTCCCCTGGGAGTCGCACCGCCTCCTTAACTCTAACATGCCCACCATACTGGACACCTCAAACAGCCCCGCCTCCTGGCTCTTCATCTCAGTAAAGGCTACTGTCCACCCATCACCCAAACCAAACACTTAGGCGCCTCCCTCCTGCTTCTCCAGTCTGGTCTGGTCTGGTCATCCCACCTCCTAAACCTCGTTCAAACAAGGGCCCCTTTTCTCTAGCCCTACAGACACTACCTGACGCGCTGAAACAGAGCCTCTTCTCCCTCCAATCCAGCCTCCCACAGCCACCAGAATTATCCTTCTAAGATGCGCACATGGACTTGTCACTCCCCTCCTTAAATCTCGTTATTAGCTCCCCAGGGTAGAATCCAGACTCTCCAATGACAAGCAGGACTCCGCAAAATCTGGCCCCTGCCAGTATTTCCACCCTCGCCCATCCTGTGCATCAGTCTTGCCAGACCGTTGGTGATTTCCTCCACCAATCAGCCTGCTTTATTTCTCAGTGCCTTTGCACATAATGTCCCCTCTGCCAGGAATATCCTCCCTGGATGACTAATACCCATTTATCTTTAAATAACTTTCTTCATCAACTCCTAGGAAACCCTTCCTAACTCTCCCCTATTGGCTACTCTCTTTGTGCCCCAGAGTACAGACTTCTATCATAGCACCAGTAGCCTTTTACTGCATTTCTTTCTTTATATTCTTCCCTCTACCTTACTTGGTCATCTTTAGATCTTCAGTACAGTGCCTGCCAAATAGCATGCCCTTAAATAAATGTTATTAATGAATGACTTGTTTATGTGGGAAGACTAAGGCTGAGGAGAAATGTCATTGGAAGTCATAAACATAAAGGATAGAATCCTTACCACCTCAGTCCATCAACTGGTAACATCTCTTGATTCTGGAAGACTCAGCTCAGAAGGCACCTCCTCCAGGCAGCCTCTTTTGATGGCCCTAGGCCAGGTTAGATGCCCCTCTTCTGGGCTCCTATCTCTCCTTGAACATGTCTTTCTTCGAACTTTTAATCTACTCATATGTATGAGCAGATGAATGTAGCTTCTACGCAGGTACCCAGATCCAACAACAAAATTGGGGGAGAGGAGGGAGGTGGTGCTGCTGAAGCAGACATACACAGTTCCTTTTCCCCAATTTGCCAGATAAATCACTCCTTCTCCCATGGAAAGATATGAGTGAGGTCACGGAAGAGGCCTGAAATGTTGAGCTAAAGTCCCTCCATGTGGAAATATGAGCCTAAAGAATTGGAGGTTCCGCCAACGTACCTTAACCCATACTCTTCCCAGAGAGACTACCTTCCCCAGTAACTTAATATTAAGCCCCACTGATTTTCTTCATTCATGCATTCCACTAATTTCTTGAGCACCTACTATGGGCCAGACACTGTTTGACACCCTAGAGATACAGGAGCGAGCAACTAGACAAACTCTTTGCTCTCATGGAGCTTATATTCTAGTGGGGTGAGACAGACAAAAGCAAATATATATATATAATAATATAATAAATATACAATAAGTCAACTGCTATAAAGAAAAATAAAGCAGAGCAGGAGATAGAGGGTGCTGGGGAAGGGAGGTGGTATATTTTAGACAAGGTGGTCAGGGAAGGCCTCTGTCGGGATGGCATTTGAGCAGAGACCTCAATGAAGGGAGGGAACAAATTGAGCATTCCAGGCAGAGAGAACTGAGAGTCCAAAGGCCCTGAAGCAGGAATGTTTGAGGACATTTTTGGAACTTCCCCACAGCTGACTTCCCTCCCCTGCCTGAGGTTTCCTTTGCACCTATGCTCCTTTACCCTACTTTGTTGCCTTAACTACACTCTTACCAAACCTTACTCCCACACCTTCCTGCCTCCCACCACTGCCCCACCTGAGTCCCCTCCTCCTCCCTCCCAACTCACTCTCATGACTCAGTCTCTTTCTCTTCCTTCTCCCCAAGGAGCATGAGGCATGCCGTGTGGCCCTCACTTCCAGACCTGCACCGGGTCCTAGGCCAGTACCTTAGGGATACTGCAGCCCTGAGTCCGGTGAGTGCACCCCCTCCCCACCACCCACCATCAGCCCTGCCTGAAGCTGGACCCTTGCCCCACAACACAACTTTTCCAAGGCCCTTGCCCTCCAGTATACCATCCCTGGGCACTACCCCCAGCCAAACCCTCCTTCCTTCACAATCCAGGCCCTCCTCCCACAGGATCTGCTCTAATTTAGACTCCTGTTCCCTCATCTCTCCCAGCCCAAGGCTCCAGTCTCAGATGCCTATGAGGAACTGGAACCCAGCCTCCTTGAAGTTATACCTAAGTCCTCAGAGAAGGCTCCCTTGCCACTATGTTCCTCCCAGACCCAGATAGACTACCGAGGATTGCAGCCTTCTTGCCTGGGGACCATGTCCCTGTCTGTGTGCCCACCCATGACTGAGTCCGGGTCCTACTGCACCACTCACATCGCCAACCATTCCTACTTGCCACTAAGCTGTTGGCAGGTCCCTCGCTCCCAGTACCCTGGACAGATCCAAACCCTCTAGCCCTCTCTTCCCAACCTCCCTCCCACCCCACCCCACAACACAAACATCTCAGAGCTCACTTGCATCCCCCTCTGTCTGCCCTTGTGGTTGTGATTCACCACACTGATCTTTCAATACTGCTATGACATAAGTCCAGGATCCTCCAGGCAAGGCTCATTTGACTAAGCTCCTCTAACTTCCACCTTCTTCCTCTCCTTTTTAATGCCAAGCTCCTCAAGAGGTCTGCACTTCCCCACTTCCCATTTGCATTTCAGACTACTTCAATCTGTGCCCCTGCTACCACTTTGCTAATGAAACTACTCAGGCAAGTTTGCCTCAAACTTTCTAATTGCAAGATCCAATAGGATCTTGTTAATCCTCAATTTTTTTGATCTCTCTGTGGTATTTGTCATGTTGACTACTTATTTCTCCTTTAAATTCTCTCCTCTCTTAACTTTCATAACATCACCATCTCTCCTGGCTCTGCTCCTGCATCTCTGAGCATATTTACTAGAAGTTAAGAGCATAAATTCTGGAATCAGAGCTGGGTTCAAATCCTGTCTTTCCCACTGCTAGCTGTGCAACCTTGGGCAAAGAACTTAAAGTCTTTGAGTCTTAATTTTCTCATCTATAAATCAGGGATAATAACAGAACCCCATAGAGTTGTGAAGAGGAGTAAGTGAGATAATCTAAAGCACAGTGCCTAGGACATAGTAAGTGTTTGATATATCTAAACTATCATAATTACTCTTTCCTAATCTCTTATCCTGGCATCTCTTCCACTCCTTAATTTTTGCAGTCCCCCATGACTCCATTCTTAACCCAGTCTCCAATCTGTCCATTGTCATTGCCTTTCCTATATGTGACCGCTCCAAAGTTCTCATCTCCAGCCCAGACTTCTACTAAATCACTTGTGATGCTTTATGCAAGTAACTGTGTATACATCTGCCTCCCGCTACTAGGTTGTGAGCTCCTTGAGGGCAAGGGCTATGACTTAATGGTCTTTTCCCCCCAGCACCTAGAGTAGTGCTTAATGCATGGTAGTAGGCCTCCAATAAATGTTTTCTAAATGAAGGAAATCTTTCTGTACAATGCCACCTTAACCCCATGCCAACGTCCCTCATCCTTTAAGCCATTCATATGCAGTGGTAAATGTGCTTAGGTCATTTTGGTTACGGATTCCGCTGACCCATTCAAATTCTCAAACAAATGGTATTTTTTGCTGGCTCCAAACATACCCACTGTGTCCATCAGAGTCTTGGCAGAAATAGATGGCACACTCAAACTGGGTATCTTGGGAGAGTTTAATAAAGGGCATATTCATAAAGATAGGCAGGATTTAAGAAAACCATCAACAGTGCAGTACCCCAGGGCTAACAACAGCTGAGAGCTGGTACCATCCCAGAGCATCTAGAGGATAAGGAGAGAGAGTGATTACTAGATATGGAGAGAATAGCTGTAAGAGAGGGCTGCCTGGCAGGAGCTGTAGCTTCCAGTAGAGAGATACAGCCAACCTGTGGGGATATGCCAGGAAGGGAGCCGGGGGAATAAATAGCTCATGCTCACCCCCCACCCCGATCTCCTCTGTATTAGTTTGCTAGTGCTGCCTTAACGTACTACCACAAACTTGGTGGCCTAAACAACAGAAATTTATTGCCTCCAGTTCTGGAGGCCACAAGTTCAAGGTGTCAGCAAGGTTGGTTCCTTCTGAGAACTGTGAAGAAGAATCTGTACCATGCCTCTCCCCTGGCTTCTGGTGGTTTCCTGGCAATCTTTGGTTTTCCTTGGCTTGTAGAAGCATCACCTCCATCTTTGCCTTCATCTTCACATGGTGTTCTCCCTGTGTGTCTCTGTGTCCAAATTTCCCCATTTTATGAGGGCACTAGTCATATTGTATTAGGGCCCACCCAAATGACCTCATCTTAACTAATTACATCTGCAATGACCCTATTTCCCAGTAAGGTCACAAACTGAAGTACTGGGGCTTAGGACTTCAACATATGAATTTGGGGGGGGGAACAATTTAACCCATAATATCCTCCCATTGGTGGAACCCAAACAGAAACTAGAGCCAAAGGGGATCCATTGATGCAGGCCACATGAATCAGCCTCACAGGGCACAGGGCAGGGTGGAAAAGGATGAAGAGTGGATCTGGATGGGACAAATGGATGACATCAAGTATACTCATTCTTCATAATTCTTTCCCTCCAGCCACGTTCAAGGCTCCAACTTTATTCCTGGGGACTCAAGACTAGGACTGAGACCCAAAGCACTGAACCTTTCACCTTTACACTCACTCAGCCATCTTGTCCTAAATTCCACAACTACTTCCTAAATTCTGCCCTCTCTTCTCCATTTCCACTGAGCTATCACTACAGCCTTCTAACTAATATCTCTGCCGCCAGTCCTTCTCCTGAAATCCAATCTGACGGTTGCCTCCAGATTGATCTTCCTATTCATCTCACTCCTTACCGCTAAATCTTTAGCTTGACTCTTCAGAACCTGATCTCTGTTTCTTCCACTACTTCCTTATGTGAGGATTGAAAAATGTTAACACGATGCCAGGCATATAGTAAATAATCAGTGTTTATTGAGCTATTTTTATTATTATCCTAATTAAGCTATTCCCTGAATATCACCTATATTTTATTCCTACCATGCCCTTTGCTTCACTAGATTCAAGTCCTTCAGGTGGGAGTTCCCCCTATCTAACCAGCTCCTCGGCCTCTAATTATCCATCTCTAAAGCCTTGTTCTCCTTCCCTCCAGCCTAAGAGGAAGTGATCTTTCTTTCCTAGACTGGAAAAGCTCCCTATGTTTTCGATCCCATTTCTTCCTGGCACCTTCTTCTATCAGCTGGCCCTTGCCTGGTCTCTTCCATCTCCCCTGGCTCTTTTGCCTTCACCTTCAAGCATGCATAGGCTGCTTGGTGCTGGTTCCCTCAAACTCCCATGCACTGCCCCTTTCTCATTCCAAAATTTCTCAGAAAAGTAGCCCCTGCTTGCTGCCTCCATGTTCTCCCCACCCTTCTTTCTGCAACCCCTTCCAAATGGAATCTGAGCACCCACTCTCCTGATCCCACTGTCTCCAAGGTCACTGATGATTTGTTTCTTGAAGGCTAAATCCAACCTTTTCTGTCATCATTCTGCTTGACCACTTTGCGTCATATTAGAATTCCTCCCACTTCAAGGTCCATGTCAGAATAATCTCCATTGGCTTCTTTCATTCTTTTATTTTTAAATGTACGAATTCCCTGAGGTTGTACCCTTGTTTACCTGATCCTTCTTTTTCTCCGCAGTCATCCTTACCCCAGAAGCTGCAAATTGCTGGCCATGCTCTGCCCTCATATATGTTTTGTTTGGCCCTTCCCTACACAGACGCTTTCCCTTATTTTGCAATGCCCAGCAAATAAAATCCAAACACCTTACCTTATTAAGGCCCTGCCAGCCAGACTCAGACTACCTTTTCTCTGTTCTCTGAGGCTCAGGATTCCCTATTTCCAACCCCAGCACATCCAACTCCTTGTTTTTCAAGGTAATTGAAAATAGAGAACATGAATGCTTCAAAGTCAAAGATAATAACAATATTAAGTTTGGGCTAAGTGAAACCGAGATTTTTCTCTGTCATCATCAGGGTCGATCATAGGCTAGTGACCGAAAATGTAATTTTTCCAGGCTCTCCCTGGGACAGGATAGCATATGGTTAGGATGGCAGGCGTTAGTCAGATAGTTTGACTCTACTACTTATTATTATTGGCTGTGTGGCTTTGGGCAAATTTCTAACTTCGTTCTCACCTAGTTTCTTTTTCTGTAAAAACGGGACAGAGTGTCTGCCCTATGGGATTAAGGATTAAACTTAATAACGTATGTAAACTGTTTAAACACAGTAGTTAGCAGATGGCCAATAAATGACATCCAGTATTACTTTTATTATTGTTGCCTCTAAGCATATTCACACAATTCATTCAAGTCATTATTAGAGCACTGTTTTGAACAGGAGTCAGACCTGGATTCCTAACTAGTGTGACCTCGGGCAAATCCCTTCCCTGGGCCTCTGTTTCTTCATCTGTAAAATATGGGTATGTTGCTAACATGAGGAGGGTGCACCATGCAGATTAGACTAGCGGGTCTTTAAAATTCCTGACACCTCTAAAGCCCCACGGGGGTAAGCCACAGTGTCACTCATAGGGCAGGCCCATCTTAGCTTCCAGATAGGCAGGTCTGAATCCTGATCCTTTTTCTTTTCCATAAGGAATTCCTCCTGTCTTTCAGCCTCATTTCCCCTATTTGTAAAACAACAAACAAAACAACTTAAAAAAATAAACACAGGTGCTACTTCCTTCCTAGCAGTGTTCCTACAGGTACCAAGCAAACAGCAGATGCACTCCGGCCTCCTTTCTGCTCCCAAGCTTCTCAAATGCTGCCCCCCACCCCCGCGCCCTCCGCCCCACCCCTGTCCGCCTGCCGCCTGCCCGTTGCCTCTCCCTTCTCTGAGCAGTTCAAGTGCTTTATAGGTCACCCCACCAAGATCTGTCCTTCTGTATCTGAAAACGACTCACAAGGAGGCTTTAAGTGTGGAGGGTGGGTGAGGGGAAGCTGAAGAATGAATGGAGGCGACCCGGGAATGCCGAGGGAGCGCAGGCCCCGCCCCCAGGTCCGCCCCGCCCCGCCCCTCTCGCTTTCAGGTCCCGATTCTCTGGGACCAGCTTTACAACTTTCTCACCCTTCAAATCACGCTCCACGACTGGGCTCTCGTGAGATCTGTGACTTGCCCCGGAAGACCCGCCCCCTGTGCCGTAGAGGCCAATGGGCGAGGGCGACGGTTGCGACGGTTGCGTTTTGAAGGAGCCAATGAGCGCTCGGAGCGGAAAGTTTAAGACGCAGAGGCAGGCGCTGCCAGGGCCGGTCCGGGATTGGAACCTGCTCCGAGCTGACGGTGAGGGCGAGTGGGCCGAGGCGAGGTGGGGCGGCGGCCGGGCGTGCCGGACCCGGAGGGGCTGCGGCCGGGGTGGCCCTGACTGCGTGGCCGCCCGTCCCAGAGCACGGTCGCCTGTCCTTCTCCAGGGCTTGGCGGGCACCCGCTCCAAGGACCCCTCCCCTCCAGACGCCCCCATGGCTCAGTTCGTGTTCGAGAGTGACCTGCACTCGCTGCTGCAGCTGGACGCACCCATCCCCAATGCACCCCCTGCGCGCTGGCAGCGCAAAGCTAAGGAGGCCGCGGGGCCGGCCCCTTCACCCATGCGGGCTGCCAACAGATCCCACAGTGCCGGCAGGACCCCGGGCCGAACTCCTGGTCAGTGGGGTGCGGGGGACGCGGGGAGGGAACGGATGAGAGCAGCCTTCATGCCTCCTTCCCCCGGTAGCCTGGTCAGACTATCTGGCTTCCCTCTCTTGCCCCAGGCAAATCCAGCTCCAAGGTTCAGACCACCCCCAGCAAACCTGGCGGGGACCGCTATATCCCCCATCGCAGTGCTTCCCAGATGGAGGTGGCCAGCTTCCTCCTGAGCAAGGAGAACCAGCCTGAAAACAACCAGACGCCCACCAAGAAGGTATGTATCCCAGAGGGGTCTACCCCGACCCATTTGGGTAATGCCATCCTGCCTCACCACTACCATTATGTGCCAGGAACATCAGAAAGCCTGGGCTTTGAATCTGAACGGTTTTGATGTGGAGGAAGCCAAGATCCTTCGGCTCAGTGGAAAACCACAGAATGCCCCAGAGGGTAAGGCCTGAAGTTCTTGGTTCTTGGAGGTATTAGCCCATCCCCAGGCCTGAGGGGAGATGCCTGTCTGCTTCTCCCACCAATGACTGGGGGGAAGGGAGGTGCTTATCTGGCTTTCCAGGCTAGAGACAGGGGGAGGTGTCAATTCTCTCAGTGTGTAGACCCACTCGGTTGCCACAGGTTACCAGAACAGACTAAAAGTACTCTATAGCCAGAAGGCCACGCCTGGCTCCAGCCGCAAGACATGCCGTTACATTCCTTCCCTGCCAGACCGGATCTTGGATGCCCCTGAAATCCGGAATGACTATTGTAAGTGCAGCCTTCTCCTTGCCCGATGGATGGAGAAAGAGGGCCCGGGACCAGGCAAGCAAGGAAGCTCATGTTCTTCCCATTGCCTCTCTGGCAGACCTGAACCTTGTGGATTGGAGCTCCGGGAATGTACTGGCTGTGGCACTGGATAACAGTGTGTACCTGTGGAATGCTACCTCTGGTGACATCCTGCAGCTGTTGCAAATGGAGCAGCCTGGGGACTATGTATCTTCTGTGGCCTGGATCAAAGAAGGCAACTACCTGGCTGTGGGCACCAGCAATGCTGAGGTTCAGGTGAGACTAGTCCCTGTGCTGTAGCTCTGTCTCCCAAACCCGGGGGGCTTGCCCAGCAGGAGGATATTAATGACAAGTCGTGATCTCTGATCCTGGTGGTCTCTCTCTCTAGCTTTGGGATGTGCAACAGCAGAAACGGCTTCGAAACATGACCAGCCACTCTGCCCGAGTGGGCTCCCTATGTTGGAATAGCTATATCCTGTCCAGGTCAGTGGTTTTTGCTAGTCTGTGACAAAATCAGTCTATGATTTTTGCCCACTCTCTCCTGACTATATATGTCTGAACTGAAGCAGCTCTGTTCTGCTGATGTTGTTGAGGTCTGCCACAGAACCTGACTCCGTTTTTCTCTCCCCCAGTGGCTCTCGCTCTGGCCACATCCACCACCATGATGTTCGGGTAGCAGAACACCATGTGGCCACACTGAGTGGCCACAGCCAGGAGGTGTGTGGGCTGTGCTGGGCCCCAGATGGACGACATTTGGCCAGTGGTGGCAATGATAACTTGGTGAATGTGTGGCCTAGTGCTCCTGGAGAGAGTGGCTGGGTTCCCCTGCAGACATTCACCCAGCATCAAGGGGCTGTCAAGGTGAGAGTGGGGCTGGGTTGGGGCCTCTGCAGACCCTCACCCAAAATCTGGGGACTATGAAGGGGAGATGGGATGGTGGGATTGGACTGGGTTAATCTGTGACCCCTATAGCTCCTTGTCTAGCTCTAGTAGTGCCTGCTGACCCTACCTTTATCCCACCTAGGCTGTAGCTTGGTGTCCCTGGCAGTCCAATGTCCTGGCAACTGGAGGGGGTACCAGTGATCGACACATTCGGATCTGGAATGTCTGCTCTGGGGCCTGTCTGAGTGCTGTGGATGCCCATTCTCAGGTACTCTTTTACCCAGTCCAGCCTCTCACTCCCAGATGTGTTCTTACTCTATAGAGTCTTCCTGGGCAACCAGGTCTCCTCCCATAGCTTCACCAACTGTATACACTGATGATTTCCAAACTTCTAACTTGGCTCTCACTCATGAGCTCCAGACCCATATTTCCAACAGTGTGGCTTATCTCCAACTCCATGTCCTGTAAGTGGCACCACCTTAATATGTCCCAAATTAAACTTGTCACTTCCCCTTGCATCCCTGAAATGTGTCCCTTTCCCCCTTCTCTGACATTGTTGGAGAGGGACAGAACCTACTCAGAAATCTGAAAAACCTCCTAGAATCTTTCATCCTCCTCACCTAGTTACCAAGATATACCAGTTTTACCTCAGAGTATCGTTCACATATGTCCCCTCCCCTCAGCCTCATTCATCTTCCCAGTGGAGGCCCGCTGCACTGGTCTCTCAGCAATTTTTTCTTATCTCCTCCAATCTGTCCTCTATGCTGTGGTCTGTTACTGTCTTCCTAAACCCTGCAGTGGCTCGCCATCACCCACAGCATATAACTCTTCCATTAGAGCAATATTGAAGGTCCTTGCTGGTGGATCTCCCTGCAATCACTCCAGCTTCCACCTCTCAACATGCAGCCTTCATTCTACAGTTGGGCTCTGGAGCCAGAATTCAAATTCTGGCTCTCTCACCTACTAACTTAACTTGCATGTCATCTTAGGCAACCTGCTGAACTTCTTTCTGCTTGATTCATCTGTAAAGTGGATATGATTCTAACTCTCAAAAGGCTATGATCATTCAAATCTAAGTGCACAGCATCTGGCAGGGTGCCTAACAGTATAATGGCCTCAGTTCTGATTTGAGTAGCATTGGTTCTGTTGTGCCCACACCATCCCCTCTCTGCAGGTGTGCTCCATCCTCTGGTCTCCCCACTACAAGGAGCTCATCTCAGGCCATGGCTTTGCACAGAACCAGCTGGTTATTTGGAAGTACCCAACCATGGCCAAGGTGGCTGAACTCAAAGGTAGGTGCTAAGTGACAGAAGCCAGACACAAAAGGCCATATATTATATGACTGTTTATCTGAAATGTCCAGAAGAGGTAAATACAGAGAGAGAAAGCAGATTAATGGGTACCAAGGGCTGCGGGGAGAGGGTAATGAGGAGTGACTTTCTTTATGGAGTGATGAAAATGTTATGGAATTATTGTACAACTTTGGCAGTGTACTAAAAACCAATGAATTATATACTTGAAAGGGATGAATTTTATGGTATGTGAATTATTAATTATCTCAATAAAGCTGTTATAAAAATTTAAGAAAGGTAGGTGGCCCTCATAAATGGAGGTCTGTAGATGTGTCTGCATTCATATGTACTGCTCTTACTTTTTCCCTCCTCATGACCCAGGTCACACAGCTCGGGTCCTGAGTCTGACCATGAGCCCAGATGGGGCCACGGTGGCATCGGCAGCAGCGGATGAGACCCTGCGGCTATGGCGCTGCTTTGAGTTGGACCCGGCACGGCGGCGGGAGCGGGAGAAGGCCAGTGCAGCCAAGAGCAGCCTCATCCACCAAGGCATCCGCTGAGGACCAACTCAGCACCTCAGTTTTTTGTTTTTGTTTTTTATTTTTCTAATAAAGTCATGTCTCCCTCTCTGCTCCTTGCATGACCTTGATCCCAGCAGCCTTCCCAGGGCCTCCTCTCTACTGTGATCAGAGAGCTAGAAATGTCTGTCCTGTGGGAGTCTCAATCACCCTGTTTGTAGACCCTTGCCCACCTCCTCCATTCACACATGAACACACACATAGCCTTGGTGGTTTCCTCTGTCACTTTTAATGAAGACATAAGTGAGTGAGTGAGCAGCCTCCACAGGCTGTATTTCCAGGCCCCTCACCCACCCTGACCTTTGGCCAAGAAGCTCCTGCTTCAGTGTGGGTGGAGAAGGAGAGAGCCTGAGTCCACAGTGACAGATTATTGCTGACCTCTTTAGTGTGAGGAAAAAGGCCACAAGACCCTGGTCGGGGCCAGCCCTGAGTGCTCCTCTCCCAAGTTTAAGGCAGAGAGGGGGAAGTAAGTGTCCAGCCCTTTCAGTCCCCAGCTCTGGAGTGGCAGAGGGCAATGAGGCCATGTCCCTGGGGCTGGCCAGAAGTAGGTGAGGAACGGAAGCAGTGGTCCCTGTGTACCAGCTGTGGGGAGGGGAGGGCCTGTCCCCTGCTCAGTCCTGACCACATAAGCCCTGGTCACAGGTGTAGGTGGGGAGGACACTGATGGATGCTGCCCAAGGTGCAGTCCTGAGGCACTTAGGTGGGCGCCTAGCTAGGCCATGTTTCTCAATTGGCCTTGACCTTGGCGGTACCTGGAACTCCATTTTGCTGAAGTACACGTGGCAGCCGCTTGCCTTTGGTGTAAGACTGATACCAGAAATTGGAGAAGAGACCGAAGAAGATGGTACCATACATCCAGATGAGGTGGATGATGACCGGATATTGGTAGTTACAGCTGGGCATGAAGTAGTATTGGGAGATGTGCAGTGAGACCAGGACAAACTGGATCTAGGATAGAGAAAGGCAAGGGTCAGAGGGAACGGAGAGGACTTGATGGGGAGAGGGTGTAGAGAAAGAGACTGACGATGAGTAGGGAAGGATGGGGTCAAAGGTGAGGTAGGCTGACTAAAGGTAGGATCCAAACTAAGAATGTTGGGATGGCTACAGGCCAGGCCCCGGCCCCTCACCAGCTGGATGGCTGTCATGTGCTTTTTCCACCAAAGGTAGGGCTGAGCCGCAGGGCCGATGGCAGACAATCCATAGTACAGGTACATGACGACATGCACAGAGGAATTTATCATGGCGTGGAAAGAGCCCATTCCTCCTGCGAGTGGTCAATGAATAGGGTCAGAAGAGTTGAGCCTCTGGTCCCCAGTGCCCACCCCTCATCTCCCAGTGGCCTTCAACACTCACCTGGCGCAATTTTGACCCCCCACCACCAGCTCCAGGGAAGAACTGAGTGGTGGAAGACATGTAGGAAGGTCACCTGTCCATCTTTTTTCCGAAGAATAAAGATCACCTGAGAGAAGAGTGAGGGGAAGAGGGTTCAGACCCAGGGCCTCTCCTTTCTCCCCACAAGTCCTCACATATAACTACTCACCGTGTCCATCAGCTCAATGAACTTGGAAAAGAGGAAAAGCCAGGCCACTCGAACCATCTGCAAGAAGTCAGGGCAGGCTTAGGACCCTCAGACTACTCCAAGAGACTCCCTAAACTGGCCCATGAGCACAGGCCACACCCAAACTGCTCCTATCCCCAGGTTGCTTATGACCCAGCCCCTGCCCCTACTTACCCTCAGTGCCTCGGGGTTGTTGGAATAGTCTACAGGGTCACAGCGCCAGGTGTAGGTACTCAGCCAGCCAGACATCAGGAACTAGGAAGGGATGTGGATTAGACCACCAGAGTACCCTCCTTCCCCTGAATCCCTCCCATTCTCTACTGAAGAAATGGATCTGAGCCACTCTGCAAAGAAGATACCATGCTCTGGCCCTAAGGCCTGCCCCTTATCCTGCTGGCAATGATTAAAGCCTAGGCATCCAGGGGCCCACCTCATAGACAATGTAGAGGGAGAGGGCCACTAGTGAGAAGTTGTAGACGATCATGAAGCTGCGGAGCTGGAAGGGCTTCCGATTGGCCATGATTCGAGGTCCAAGTGAGAGAACGAAGTACACATAAGTCAGGAGGATGGAGGTCATTAGCAGGGGAGACCCCATCAGAGGGTAGCCCTGGATCCGGGGATCTGTGAATAAGGGTCAGAAGAGTCAGGAAAGGTCGCAGGGTCCAAAAGGTTGACACCAGGTGTACAGATATGAGGTGTACAGATATGTACACAAAGGGTCATGGGGTTCATAGGGGCTCTCTATTAGGAGACAGCCCCAGATCCAGGGATCTTAGGGCAGGAGGGAGAAAGGGCTGGTGGACAGCATCTTACCTGCACACTTCATCATCTCCTGGTACAAGTTCACAACAGCCTCCATCCTGGCTGAAGACTCTGGGGAGGTATGGAGACGGGTGTCAGACAAGGCCAACTGTACCCGCCCATCCCACCCCTGAAACACAGCCAGGACACAGACCAGATGAGACAACTCCTGATGCCTCACTGCAGAAAGGACAGAACAGTGAGAGGAAGGAATTGCTGGGGACTAGGGGTGGGAAGAGGCAGTTTGGCAGGGGCACCTGCTTTCCACACATCCTGCCTGCCTGGGAAGGGCTCTTCCGCCCTTCCTCTCCACACCTTACTTTCCTCTCCTCACTCTCTGCTCCTCTCCAGAGATTTTTACTTCCTGACCTCCCCTCCCCTCTTCCTCCGCAAGAGAACACTCCAATTTCTGGTCTCTTTCTGGAAAGTCTTACCTCTCACCAATAGGGAACTCATCTCCAGAATGAACTGCCTCTCCCTTCCTCTCCGAAGTCTCTCCCTCTCCAGCTCTGGGTCTTTCCTCTCTCCAGGGATCCTCCCCTTCAACCTCTCCTCTCCCCTTTCGAGATGCTCATCTCACCTTCCAGTCCCTCCTATCCTTCCAGGATTCTCATCTCCCCAGGGTCCCTCCTCTCCCCTGCTGGGACGCTCCCTAGTGCTCTCCTCTGCTCTCTCCGGCTCTCACCTCCAGCTCTCCTTGCCTTTCCTGCTCTTGTCTCCGGAGCTCTGCCTCACCCTTCCTCTTGGGGAGCCGGGCTCTTTGAGACTCCTGCCCTGGTGGCTCCACCTGTCTGACTAGATCTGGCAGCAGCCCCGCCCTCTGCCTGCCCCTGCTGCACTGCGCATGGAGTGGAGGGTGGGTCCAGGCCACAGGTCAGTGCCCGGAGGAGCAGGACCCACCAGGATTGAGAAAGCCAAGGAAAGCGCAGGACTCACCACCCACCCACCCTGGACCAGCCAGGTGAGCTAGGTAAGGTTATTCTATGGTTTGAGCCAGAAACCTCCCAGGGGCTCCAGCCCCAGGCCTAGCCTTGGCCCAAAGAAAACTGCTGAAAACCCACACCCAGCATCCTCTCCTAAGCTAACCATAAATTCTCAGTCTGTCCTACTTCAGAATGGGCACAATCACCCTTCTCTCCCAGGGAGGGCGGGGAAGTCAGTGGCATGTGAGGAGCAAGGGAGTGGGGGAGGTCTCAGGAATCTTCCCCTCCCTCAGAGAGGGGTCCTAACGAGCTCAGCCCTCTCCTCCTTAGAGCCTGAAGGAATGTTGGGGGAGGGCTCACAGGGACGCAAAGCCTTGGCCCAGACCCAGAGAGCCTGGGACTCTGAGACGGCCCCAGAGGGACGAGGCATTCTCCGAACAGCCAGGGCAGTACATGCTCTACAAGTTGCCTGCACTCTAGTCTGCCAGGTTCCCTCTATCCAGAGAACAACCTGTGCAGGTACTAAGTGAAGAACATACCTTCTGACACATCCCTCGAGGCTGCACCTGCACCCCTCACACACACTCACTGGGCACACATCTCATAGATGCTCCCCTGACCCCCACGTCAACCCACAACTGCCCCACCACGGTCAGGCCCCAAGTCCTCCCAGACACACACACACCTGCCTCTGACACAGGTCCCCGCCCCCCAACAAAAAACTCACCAATGGCTAGCACACAGATGTACACACAGAGCCCACAGACACCCTGCTGGCAACAACTGCCCTCCTCTGACACACCACCCAAACCAGCCTCCATGGACTTTGACATGCATAGTTTCTAATACTCAGATCCGCTCCTAACTACATTCACAATGACAAACACACCCAAAACCCTCACACATCCTCCTTTACAGGTCCTGCAGCACCATGCGTAAATGCTTATGGCACACGCTCAGCCCCACACATACGCTTACTCATACGTATGTGAGTCACAGATAAATGTGGTCACATACATAAACTCACACAGCCCACTTAGAGGTGAATGAACATAAAATCACCCACACCTGCTCCCCGTCATGCGTCCAGGTCTCTTTCCGCGGATAACAATCATCATTCATTCATTCACAACCAGACCTGCTTGCCTCTTCTGCAGTAGGGCCTACCCAGCGTAGGCATGTGCTCTAACACACAGTTCCTCCCTGACCCACGTGAGTTTGCCAGCTTGTTATCTCTCCAGCTCTCTCTCAACCACCATCCCCAAGTTCACCCTCCCCCCACCCCCCAACCCCACACACGCATGCACCCTGGAGGTCAGGAGTGGCTCATGGCTTCTGGAAGGGACCTCTCCCCAAGCTAGAGAATCTGGGTGTGTCCCCAGTGGAGGAACTCAGTCCGGTCCTTCCTTCCTTTAAGATGGATGGAAGGGAAAAGGAGACAGGCAAAGGAAGGTGGAGGGGAGGGAGACGAGGGGAGGAGGGACGAGAAGGGCGCCAAGGAGGAGTGAGTAAGAGGCGGAGAGGGGCTACGACCAGGAGGTGGTGGAGGAGGGCCTGGGGTTAAGCAAATGGGGGCTAGGGCCAGGAGGGAGGTTGCTGGAGAGGCCCAGCCCCAGAGAGCTGGGACCTCCCACCCTCTCCCCAGGAACAGCCTCGCCCACAGCCTGGGCAGGGCAGGGCAGGGCCAGGCCAGCCAGGCAGGGGGCCCGGGCACGTGGAGAGCCCGCCATGGAAGGTCCAGACTCACCAGTATGGGGCCAGGCAGGCAGCAGTGGAAGGCTCGGAGGGAGCAGGGCCAGAGACAAGTCCCCGGGGCCAGCCTGCCTGCCACTTCCTCATCTGCTGGGCCGACTTTCTGTCACCAGAGGGGGAGGGGGCGGGCCAGCTGGGGGGCGCCTGCTGATTGGACCACTGCTGAGGCAGGAGGGGCTGTCCAGCCCCGACTCGGCAAGGCTGGAGGGGCGGGAGCAGGGGCGGGCCGCCAGATCCCAGGGCAGGAAGCACACCCAGCCCTGACTCTCCACCCCTTCCCTCGGCATCTCTCAGCCCGCCTCTGTCAGGTCGCCGCAGCCTGCCCCGGCCATGGGTCTTCCTGACATTCAGCGGCTGAATGGCCTCATTCTGGGCCCTCTGGTGCTTAATCCACCAACACATCTTGTGTTTGTGGCAGGCCCACCCAGTTTAGGACCCTGGGAAAAGTTCCAGGGCTCAGCCCTTCCTTCAAAGAGCTCCCTCTCTAGAGGGTGAGACCAGAGGGGTGGGCGGGAGGCAGTATGTGTGTGCTAAGGGCTGACAGGGTAGCAGGGAGGTCTCAGCCACAGGGAGCAGCTGGGCTTGGAAGCCCTCTCTATGAGCCTATAAACTGGGATGAGCCCTAGCATTAGGAGCCGCTGAGAGGATTTCACAGGACGGAGGTGGGAGAATACAAGTGGCCTGGGGCAGGAACAGTGCGTGAAGCACCTGGCTAAACTGGACTCCAAGGCAGGGAAAGGAAAAAAGAGGAAGTGAAGCTGGCTGTGGCTGAATGTAGTAGGTCTTGAAGACCAAATGGGGCAGTCTGATTTTATCCTGGAAGCAGAGGAGAAACAGTGAAGATTTTTGAGGAGGCTACAACCAGGCTTGTATTATCAAATATTTATTTACTGACCACCTACCATGTGCAAGACTGTGGTAAGTGCTGGTGACACATCAATGAACAAGGCAGATGCCGTCCCTGTGTGGGGTTTACTGCCCACCTGATCACTGTGCTCTGGCAGCCAGTGTAATGAGGGTGTTGGAGGGAGATCCAGGTGAGAGAGGACAGCCTGAGCTAAGAAGGTTTGGAAACTGATGAGACTGGAGAGGCTTGACACTGTGGAAATTTCCCTGAGGCAGTCGGACTCTCTATATGTACTTAGCTGTCTACCTGGCTTCCCACACTCTCCCCTTCCAGCTCCACACACTCACCAACTAGATTGAACTATTGGGGGTGAGGACGAGATTTTAGGGAGATGAAACCTCTATCTCCAGCAGCTCCTGGAACAGTGCTTTGTATATAGTGATCCAATAACTGCTTATAGGATTGGATGGTATAAATGTGGACAGACTTAGGGAATTTGGAAGAGTGGTGGTTTGGGAGAAGTAACATATTCAAAATGGTAAGCTGTAGCTATACGGAAGTTTAGTCTTAGAGGTAAGGCTAAGGTACCTGCCCTTGAAAGGAAATAGCAGGAGAATTCAATTATTCAAAAGGCTCCAACTTCTTAGCACTGTACACTAAGGCCTACCTGATCTGGTCCTCAGCCTCCCATTCTACCTATTCTCCTGGGCCACATCCTATGCCCTAACTGTTCCCCAAGGATGTCAGCATCTTTCAGACCACCCACCCCTCCTAGCCTTGTCCTCTGGCTCAACACAAGGTATTAGCAGCTCTCCCAGGCAGTAAATCACTCCCTCCCCTTGCTCCCACAGTCTTACTGCCATGCATTTATCTGCATCTCCCCTCATTATAAGTTCCTCTCAGCAGGAGCCACATTTTAGTTGTCTCTGTATCTCTAGCATGTGGCCCACTGTCTGGCTCATTTGACCTTCCATAATGTTTGTTGAGTGAATATTAGAGTGAATGAGAGAATGTGAGAAAGGGAAGAGAGGTTGAGGGACGCAGAGTCAAGCGGGGAGGAAAGTAATTATTCAAAAGCCTTTCTGCTTCCTTTGAGGTGGCAGTATCCAATGAGGCAGTAAACATTTATTGGAAGCCTAATGTGTTCTAGGTATGCCTTAGTGACTTTGGGTCACACCTGACTCCAAAGGCCTGAGTTTAAATCTTCCAGTTAGTGCCTGTGTGACCTTATGTAACCTCTACAAAACAGGAACAACAACAGTCCCTATCTCCTGACTTGCTGTGAAGACTAAAGGAGATAACCCACATGAGGTGCACAGCACTGTTCCTATCTCAACATTTCCTAGAGCAGGTGGGAAGCAATCCACACATCAAGAAGGTGTATCCTTGTAAGTAGATTCATGAGCATTCATTTAACAAATATTTCCTAAATGCCTACTGTGCACAAAGCACTGTTCTGAGAGCACTCGCGAGAGGTTTTGGATTCAGTGTCCATCCAGAGATGAACTAGAGCTGAACAGCAGACTATTATAGATGATCAAACAGTCCCCGAGGTCAAACACCGTAGAGAGAACAAACTTCAACTACCTATTTATTCACCTGGACCACATTGGCAGATGACCACAGCAAGTCCTCAATAAATGTTGACTGACTACAGGAATGAACATGCCCAAAGACTCACTTTGTTCCGTTCTTGTCCTAATCCTGGGAGAAAGCGTCTTCAAATGTCTGATATAGACCACCTAGCCCCCAGTCCTACCAAGTGGCATCTCCATGGTCCTTGGGTTTCTGAAAAATACTCACAGTGTAGAGGAGAAGACAGACACATAAATTAACAATTGTAGTAGCACGTGGTGAGTATTACCGTAGAGACAGACTCAGAGGGTTAGGAAAGCACTGATGGGGGTCACTTTCCTCAGGATGGGGGTTAGTTCTTGAAGGCTTCACAGAAAAAACACCCAAGCTGAGCCTTAAAGGACACTTTCCAGAAGGCAGGGAAATGCATTCTAGGCAGAAGGAAGCATGTGTGTGAAGGCATACAAGCAAGAAATGTGGGAGCTCTACGTAGTTTGGTGTGGCTCCAGCTCAGAGAGCATATGGGTAAGGGAGAAATGTAGGTGGGAGTCAGTTTACAAAGAGCCCTCTCTGCCACAGTAAGAAGCTAGGATTTTATTCCCTTTATCATTTCAGCCCTGGCCGCACACTGGAATCACCTGTGGAGCTTTTAAACTATCAGTGCCTGGCTCTCACCTCCACATTGATTCTAATGGTTGTTTTTAATGGGAAGAGGCCTGAGCATGTTTACGTGCTGTGTGGAAGGAGACAACGGGATCCAGCATACATATGGAGGGATCAGCTTTTGGCTAAGGAGGACACCTCACAGACTGAAATGTACAGAAAATAAGGGTAAATGTGTCAGTGGACTGGGAAGAAATGGGACCATTTGGGACCTGCAGGGAAGCTAGGTGGAAGGCCTTGGAGGGAAGAGGGTTTGGTTAAGCGTACCTACCCCTGGGGCAGGCTGATAAAGTGGAGACACTGAAGGGGTGCAGGAACTCACAGTCTTGATAAGGATGAAGGCCAGATGTGAAGGGGCAAGACTACCCAGTCCAACAGTTAAAATTCCCCCTCCTTCTTGGAGCCTTCCTGACAAATGGGAAGTGAGGTGACAACTTCCCGAGTCCCACCCTGCCTGACTCACTCCTCACTCAGTGCTAAGGGGCCCTTCTCCATCCTCTTTCCCCAGAAGATAAACCACTGATTTACTTTCTCCAAGGGTTTAGTCTGAAAACCACCATTCGTAGAAACTCCAACAACTCTATTGCCATGATTATTTGAGGCTTTTAAGTTTCAGCACAAAAATCAATGGGAAATGGGATCAAAGCAGGAATGGCAATGAGGGAAAAATGGGAAAAGGTATGCCTGCCTGTATGTGTGTGAGTGGGTGAGTGAGCAAGCAGGCAGAGCAGAGGAGGGAACAGAGTACGGGAGACATGGGGGAATGGGCTAAGGATGATAGAAGTGACGGTCTAGGCTGAGGGACGACAGAGTGGCAGGCAGGGATGGAAGCAACCTCCTGGGGGCTGTGTCAAGCTTCTCTCTTCCCCATCCCATAAAGGATAAAGGGCACTTTCTACACAGCACTCACACAGAAGAGTTGAGGGGAGGGCTGAGTCTGTGAGGCAAGGGGAGCAAAGATGAGGGTGAAGGGTTTGTCAATTAATTATTTGGCATGTCCCTCGGCCTTAGCCAGGTGTCTAGTGTCCTCTGCCTAAGGCTGAGACCTTGGATGAAGAAACTTGGGCAGCAAAGATGTCCAGCTGGCAGAAGGGAAAGACTGCATGCAAACACATACCATATCACCCGGAACTGGGGGGTTTGCCTGGACCCCTGCGACGTCAGGGACAAAGTCTGATCTGGCAGTGGGTAGCCAATGCCAACACTAAGGATATCATTTAGTGTTTGCTGAACTGAACTAAAGAAACTCAGGCAGGGGGAGAGAGGGAGTGAGAGAACCTGCAGGGAGAGCTCTGGAGAGAGAAAACGGAGGCTTTGGGTAGGGGACAAACTAGGGGAGGTTGTCAAGATAGAGGAAAGAGAGTTCTTAGCAAGATCTGGAAGATGCGTGAGAAGGGCCAAAAGGGGAAAAGAGGAAACGTAGCTTACTCTTCAATACTCCCTGCGGCAAGCCTGGGACCAGCTGCTTTCCATCGCTGTTATGGTTCAGTCCTGTAAGGTAAGCACTATGATCACCACTTAACAGAGGAAAAGAACGAAATCAGAAAGGGTGAATGATTTTCTCAAAGTCACAGAGCAAGTAAGGTGGAAGCAACATAGGTGTTCCAGGCTGAGGAAAAAGTGTGGACAAAGGGATGGACGTAGGAAAGCAGAGGACAGGTGTAGGGAATTGCAAGTGATTCTGTTTGATGAAAGGATACGGTGAATGAAAGGCCTTTGCATGCCAGAAGGTTAAAGAGTAGATTGGCCCCAAGTCATAAAGTGTTTTGAATGAAAGAATGAGGAGTTTTGCTTGTATTGAAGTGTCCCTGAAGATTTTTAAGAAAGGGGTTGGTATGATCACCATTGTCCTTTACAAAGAAAAACCTCGTGACAGTAAGGCATATTATTAAGAGGAAAGCAGAGGAAGGGAGGCGAGCTCAGAGGCACAGGTGTGACACAGTGAAGGCCTGACCTAGAGCAATGGGAGAGAGAAGGAAGAAGAGGAGAGCCAGTATAGAAGATCCAGAATCGACAGCAAGGTTGTCAAGCTGGGTAACTCAGGTGAAGCAGGATGGAGGAAATGAAAGCAGTCTGAGACATCCTGAGTTTGAGGTAAGATGGCACATTCCACAGGCAATCTGGAACACAGTACTGTAAGTTTAGGAGAAAGGACAGGGCTCGAGAAAAAAAATCGGAGGATCCTCTGCAGAGAGATGACACCACGCAAAGTGGACTGTGGTAGCTCTAGTTTTAATGTAGTCAGACACTTTCCCATCCCCCCGCTTTCATTTCCTTTAAGGAATTCCTGCCCCACTCCATTGGCCGGTTAATCATGGGTGTTCTCCTGACTTCTCCCAATCCAAGCTCCTAACGGCACAGAATCCAAGCAAGAACAGAGTTCTTCCACAAGACGAGTTATACTGCTGTAGAGAAATGCAGAGACAGAGAGCCTAGACAACACTGGAACCCCTAAGCCCACCTAGAGCCAGTCACCCTTCAAGCCCCATCCGCATTTGGGTCCCCCTTTTTGATTTTGGTTAAGCTAGTTGTGTCGTCGTCGTTGTTTTTTGGTGAGGAAGATTGGCCCTGAGCTAACATCTGTTACCAATCTTCCTCTTTTTGCTTGAGGAAGATTGTTGCTGAGCTAACATCTGTGCCAGTCTTCCTCTATTTTGTATGTGGGTCACTGCCACAGCATGGCTTGATGAGCAGTGTGTAGGTCCTCACCTGGAATCCAAACCAGCAAACCCCAGGCAGCTGAAGCGGAGCATGAAACTCATTGGTTAAGCTAGTTTAATTGTAATGTGTTCCAATCAAAACAGTCTAATATACCATGTGATATAAATGAGATTGCTCAGGAGAGAGAAGAGGAAGGAGAATGTAGTTAGCATTTGAGCGCCAACTATATGGCTGAACGGCCTCATATGCCCTTCTAAGAAACTTGGACTTTATCCTGTAGAATATTAAGAGCTACTTAAAGGTTAAGTTTAATTTTAAATATGCTCAGTTGAAGACCCCCTTTTGAAGTTGGTGCTATAATCTCATTTTACAGAGGTGGAAACTGAGGTTCTTGGAAGTGAAGTAACTTGCCTAAGATCACACAATGGCTAAGTGTCCAGGTCAGGTACAATGTAAGAACGCACAAGTATACAGGAGAGGAGGTGGTAAACACTTTAGAGGACTGGGTGACACCGGAAGGACGATTTGTTCACTAGGTGAACAAGGGGGTTGGAGCAGGAAAAAGAGAGGGCAGAGTACGTGTAAGCCATGGAGGTGTGAGACAGTGCCTGACCCCAGGTACTGGCTACAGCTGAGAGTCCTGATGTTAGTGGCAAGAACGCTGGAGTTGCCATGACAAGACAAGGCCCAAGGACTGGGGGTGAGTGTGAAGGGAAGAGAGGCAAGCATGGAGCTCTGGTTTGTGACACCCAGTGAAGCACACACAGCCCCCATGAAGACCTGAGCCCAGACCTACTAAGCACAGACAAAGGAGGAGAGAATGCAGCACAGCTGCACAGAGAGATCTATGAGTGGTGAAGGCCCCCTGTAGGGACAGAATGGAGGTAGCCTGTAGAAATGAGTCTTTAGCTAGTTTGGACATGGAAGAGGTACAGTTTAGAACAGACGAAAAGAACATTTCAGGTGAGGAAGCTTGTCATTTGGTCTCAAAACCAAATAACACAATTTAAGAGACCAAACTGGGCTTTAATGGAAGAGTATAGGTGACAGCTAAGTGGAAGAAAGAAAATTCACAAAAGTAGATTAAAAAATGACTTATCACATCAGGCAAGCCAATGTAAAAATGTTCCAGTGCCCGCTCTGCACAAGGTGCTAAGGAGACACCAGGGGGGATGAAATGTGCATGCAGGGTCCCTCCTGAGGCCGAGCTCCCAAGAGACGAGCACAGACACAAGCAGAGACAAGCTGCAGAGTAAGGAAGAGGTTAAGTCCTCATAGAGGTTGGTCAATCATTGATTTAAGCAACAATTACTGACGGCAGAGTTCTTGACACTGCCCTGAGGATAGCTAATCTTTAGTGAGCTGCTTCTATTGTGAAGCACTACTTTAAGCCTGTTGTATGTAGCAATCTACGTAAATTTGGCAGCAACCCTATGAAGTAGCCACGATTACTTTCCTCATATCCATGAATAAGGAAACTGATGCACAGAGAGGCAAATTAACTTGCCCAAGGCCACACAACTAGTAAGTGGCATGGCTAGGATTTGGACCCAGGCAGTCTGGCACCAGAACCTGCTCTTTTAACCAAAATGCTACATTATACTATCTCTCTAAAGTCAGTTAAATCATAACAGTAATAATAATAGTAATTATTTGTGATGGGCCAGATGCTATAGTATGCCAGACACACATCTTTCTTCCAAAGATCACACGGCTCTCAGGTGGAAGGACTGGGATTCAAACCCTGACAGTTCAGGGTGCTTGAACTTGAGTGACAATAAAGGGCAGAAGGAGCTAGAGTAAGTTCGTACAAGGTACAAATGCGGAGCATGAAGAGGAGGTAATTGACCTGACCTGGTGGGAGTGGCACTGAGTTGTGGACAGACTGGGGTTTCAGAAAGCTTCACAGTGGAGTGACTACTGAGCAGAGTCTTGACAGATGATTTGATGATTCATCTGACAGAATGACGGGGCAAAGTGTTCCACGCAGAGGGAACAGGAGGAGTAAAGGAATGGAGGCCAGAGTCTGTCACATTCAGGAAACTTCAAGCAGTTTGTACTGCTTGGGAAGAGACAGGTGGCAGGACAATACAGAAAATAAGTCAGGAGAAGTCAGAGACTAGATCACACAGAACCTTATTTGCCTTTTCAGGAAATTTGAGCTGTTTTTCAAACTTTTCCAATGAAGTAAATAATGGCAAAAAAAAAAAAAAAAGAAAGACATAAATATCCCCAGGGAATCTGGTGGCTTAGTCTGAAGCCCTTCAGACTAGTAGGAATTCTTTGAGGTCTATTTTCTCTTAATAATGCATGCATGATAATTTTGAATTCCCCCTTTACATTAAATTTACACACAAGTAAAAGGGGCATTCCAGGATGATTTTATCCCATGACTTTCAGTATGCCTGGAGCACTGCCCCTATCAACCTGGCAGGTCTGTGGACCCCAGTTTAAGAAACATGGGGAGGAAACTATCAAAAGGATTTTTACACCTGCAGCTTAGGAAGATCTATCTGGCAGCCATAGGGAAGACCAGTCAGAAGGGGGAAAGACTGGAGACTGGAGTCTGAACAATACTTTTAGGATGAGAAGCTCAGGGCCTCAACTGCAGGGCAGGATAGACGGATACTGGGGAGACGGAAGTGACAGGATTGGGTTTCTGATTGGGTACGGGAGGCTGGGACATGGAGGCAGAAGCGTTCAGAACGGCTTCCATAGACCCGGCTTAGATCATGCTCAGGAAACTCAAACAGAAACAGGTTTGGAGGGAAGGATGATTGGATATGGACGTTCAGAACCTGAGGTACCTGTGGACCATATGGGCAGAGGTGCCCCATAGGCATCTGCAGCTCGGCAAAGAGGTCTGGGCTGAAAACAAAACTTGTTTGACTTATGTACCCATAAGTTGTGGTCACAGAGACGGCAAGAAGACAAGATGGTTAAGGACAGAGTCCTGCAGAATAACAACATTCAAGAAGCAGGTGGAGGGATAGAAGGCCAACAGCTGCAGAGAGGGAATGGTCAGAGAGGTAGGAGCCAAGGGGGAGAAAAGAAAATTTGTCAGCATCATTAAACTATGGAGATCAAGGAAGATGAAGACTGCAAAAACTCTGGATTTAGTCATTAGGTCAACAGTGATCCTTGATAGAGTAGTTCCAGAGAAATGGTGGAAGTGAAGCCCAACTGTGGAGCTGAAGAATGAATGGGAAGTGTGGAAAAAGGGAGGTGATTGTAAGCTCTTTATTTAAAGAGCGTGGCTGTGAGTCAGTGAGTGGGGATTTAGGGTCAAGAAAGATTAACATGGAAGAGACACTGAAAGGACACTACCCAGGGCCATGAAAATGGGTGCAGCCCAGAGAAATCAGTAAAAAAACAAGGATGGTCTACATGTGGGGATGCAGACGAGATGAAAAATCAAAATGACCACAAACTAGAGAAATTTGGGTGAGACCAAGGGAAAGCAGGGGAATGGCAGAGGGAAAGTAGGAAGGGGACAGCCCAGGGCTCTTGGATTTGATTCAGAAGGGAGGGTTATCATCACGTGGAGAAAGTACAATTTACTGCTCTTGCTGGAGGAGCCTCTCTGGTACAAGCGTCTTGCCCAGGGGAGGACACGGATGCCTGAGAGTGGGAAGGAGTCTTCTGACATACAAAACACGGATCTCTCTGGTAACTTACCACCTCTTTGATGAGTTTTCACAAGAGAACTAGTGAAAGCTGGAAAACAATTTCAGGGAAGTGGTCTAAACAACTGAGGCCCAGGGAAGTCAGGTGCCTTGTCCATAATGCACTTGGGAAAGCTGCCATGTCCAAATGGTAGGTGACATCTTGAGAGCATGTGAACTCAGCAAGAGACCACATTAGAGATCCCAGATCTGCCTCAGTGACACACAGGAGCTCAAGAACAAAGAAAGAGAGAAATTAAAGGGAAGAGAGGAAGTTTGTCCAGTGGGACAAAACACACGTTGAAGAGAAGGGGTGCTATGACAGCCCTGTCAGACAGGTTGGAGAGTTTGCATTCTCTCCCAATTAGAGAGCCCCGTCTGCAGGGCTGCAATTCCTTCCCAAGTGTCAGCCCCTGTGTGTTCGAGGCTGTCAGGCCTGAGCCACATCAAGCCTCTGTAGGTTGGCACAGTGAACCCTCAGGACTGAACCAAAAAGGGACCACAGCCTCTGGCCATACTCCTGGCTCACTACTAAACTTCAATATACTATCCCCCCAAATCTGGAACTGATGGAAGAAAATGTACATCCCTTAGTAGTTTCTCTGGACAGTGATCAGGAGTTGACCCAGGGTGGGCGTTTGGAAAGATTCAGCCTCCGTTCTGCCTGGTGCTGGGATCAGCTCACACGGCTCCTGTGTCCACAGAGCACAGAGAATACATTGTCCATAAGGAGGATTATTCTCCACAAGAAGCTCAGACAAAGGGAGAGGTTGTTCCCAGCTGCCTGGGGGAGGTTAGAAGGGGGTGGAAAAAGGGACCAGCCTTGCACTAGGGCATTCCTGCAGAGTTCAGCTTCTTCTCTTCGACAGGAGGACAAGAGATGGGCAATACACCCCCTCCAGCTCAGTCCTAATGCCAGGACCCATTATGGAGTTGGAAGGAGCACTTAGCTATAACCTATCTACCTTGGCTATTTCCCACATACAAGGTTAAGTGAGGTGAGCTAGCTAGGTAGGGCAGCAATAGACACCAGAATAGGAGAATAGGGTGATTGGGGCAATGAGCAAAAGGGAAGTTCAAAAAGATGGAATCCCAGCCTCAGGGCAGAGCTGGAGAGGGAGCGGTCCTAGGCGATGGGCATCATGCTGACATTGATTCAGTAAGCTTCTGCCTTCAGCAGGATGAACTCTGTGCTGCAGTAAGATCTCGAGGTGTCACAGCTGCCGCTTCTTTCTCCATCCGAGACATAAACCTGGGAGACAGTGGCCTAATCTCATTCTCCAGGGGTCCCAAGAGTAGAAGAAAGCACAGTTCCCAGGCAAAATAGAGCAATCAGAAACTGAGAAATATTACCAGAGTGGAGCAAGAAAGCAATCTTCCACAAATCCTAAACCTGCACAAGTGAGCAGGTCCTGTCCTCTTCAAAGGAAACTCTGCACATACTCCCTCCTGAGGCGATGAGGGTGTTAGGGGTGGAAGATACTCTCCACTGAGGCATTTACTGGGTTGTATGGGCCCAAAGGTGGCAATGCTACATAGGTTTGTGTATTCCCAAGGATATGGCTGGGTGGGGGGGTGGTGGATGAGAGCATGTGCTTCCAGAGTGAAGAATATAGAAAAGTGAGTGCCTCCAGAATAAAGAGTATTTGCCTAAGGCCTCAAGATGTAGGTGAGGTCCTATACATGTTTCTCTTGGGGCAGGGGAGCATTTCCACTCTAGGAGGACAAGGAATCCATTTCATACAGCATGGTGGGAATGAAGTCAGTATTAGCCTGGGACAACTTGAGGTTAGTGCCTTTCAATAGCAGCGAATGTTCTGGGGAAAGAAAGGACAGCAGCCACGAAAAGATGCTCCAGGGGTTTTAGAGAAGCATAGTTTGAACTCTATCCAATACGAAAGTTAGCTTTGACATTTCCAGTGGGAAGGGAAGAGATAAGAAGGAACAGTTGAGTGGGCTGAGAGCAGAGGGCAGGACTGCTGAAGTGAGGGAAAGGTCTGGCATTGCGTCTGAGCTGACGACAGGACTCCCCATGCTGTTGTGTGCTATGGTCAGTGAGCTTTGTGGATACCATTTGTCTTGACAGAACAGGAATGGATACGACATCTGGGACCACTTTTCCAGTCCTTTGCTGCCACAGCCTGGCAGAATTCTGCCTGGCACCAAACAAATGCTAAAGTACTAGTGTGTGACAGAAGAGAACAGGAAAAAAACAGCTGGAAGGGATGAGCAGACCTTTCTCATACCTCTCAGGACTTTTAGATCAAAGATAATCAAAGATAAGAAAACTTCTTATGGAAAACAAATTACAATTGCCTTGCAGCACCCTTGGATGTCTCTGATCCCTATACAGCTCTCTCATAAACTGCTGCCAGACAACTCTGACACAGTGGCCATCAATTCAAATAACTTTATTCAGAGAAACTCTTTGACCCACTTCTGCTGACTCATCCTCTGCTCTTGCCTGCAAAAGAGCACTAAGAAAGGCAGCTTAGGCTGGAGACTCAAACTCACTCTGCTCCTCAGCTTTATAAAAAGCAGGCAGTTACTGGGGACTGCCCCCTCCCATCATCGATCTGGCTCTTATTTGAGCCACAGGCTCAGTGGACTAGAGGAAAGCCATCCTGTCTGGAGTCCAGGACATAGGCACTATTATGAGGACAACCAAACCCTGATGAAAGACAGTGTGAAGTGCAATTCCTCCCTCCCTCCAAAATAAGAAAAATGAGTCCAGGGAAGAAGGGGCTTTTTCATGTCTAAGAACCTTTTCTCACACAGTCCTGTCTGGCAGAGCTACTTCCTGACGAAGCCACCACCTACTGGGCCTTTGACATCTTCCTTCATGTGTACAGCGTGGAGTAAAGGATAAGGGACTTTGTGACTATTTTCCAGGTAAGAGCTAAATTGGCTTCTCAGAAAATGGAGAGTACAGCAGGCCCCAGCTTCACCTGAGCTGCAGGTGAACAGTTTGTCCCAGCCCAGAAGCCTTGTCACCTGCAGCTTGGAGAGACAGCCACAATGGAACCTGGGCAGGAGGGTATGCAGAGACAGTGTGCCCTAACGACAGAGAGGCTGCCACCATTTCCGGCAGGACAAAATAAGCACAGGCTTTCAAACAGAGCGGAGCAGTCCATGATCTTGTGTCCATCAACTCACCACTGACATGAAGCAGTATCAGATCAGGGTAAGTTCTGGATAGAGGATTGAAGAGGGCAGTAGGGAGAACTGGCTGTAGAAACTATCATTTATTGAATACCCATTATTTCATATACTGTGCTAAGTGTTTTACATTCATTTTCTCATTTTAATCCTCACAACAACCCTATGAGGTAGGTATTATCACCATTTATAAACACAAAAACAGGCTCAGAAAAATTAGGTCACTTGCCCAAGGTCACACAGCCAGTCAGCGGTGGAGCTGCGATACATCTGTTGCTGAAAGCCCATGTTCTTTTTATTGTACCCATTTAGGTCAGCTTTGGGCAAAAGGCAATTTCACTGCCCAACTGTGCAAAGTGCATCTGGGAGTGGAGGTTGCCGTCCACACTCACCGCTGGTAGGGATGCATTGAAGCCGACTTGATGTTGGTTTTTATTCCACTCGGCATTTTCCCTAAAAGGAACACGAAGAAGGATACCTGAAGCATGCTAAGACTTTCATGATAAAGCAGAAATGTGGTCTCTCAGGTTCCCTTCTGCCACCTCCTCTGTCATTTCAGAACCTCTGTGGAATGTGACCTTGGGTGGCAAGGATCAGAGGTGTGGTTTCTCACCCCGCTCTCTCCCTGAAGGTGTCTAGGAGGAAAGGGGTGGTCAGGGAGAATCGTGGAAGGGGTCAGAACACACCCCAGCCGTCTCCTGCTTAGCTACCCCTGGAAAACATAGCTAAACCTGTGTGACCTCCATGTAATGTCACAGGTAAAAAAAAGTACTATGTTCTCTCTTATTTTTTTAATTTTTTTTTTAAGATTTTATTTTTCCTTTTTCTCCCCAAAGCCCCCTCGTACATAGTTGTATATTTTTTAGTTGTGGGTCTTTCTAGTTGTGCTATATGGGACGCTGCCTTGGCGTGGCCTGATGAGCAGCACCATGTCTGTGCCCAGGATCCAAACCAGCGAAGCCCTGGGCCGCCACGGCAGAGCGCGCGAACTTAACCACTTGGCCACGGGACCAGCCCCCTGTTCTCTCTTATTTTAATTGTCCTTTTACCTAGACAGCTTGGAAGAAAATACCTCTTCTAGATGCTTGCATCTGAACTCCTCCAAACTGTTCTCGTTATTACTAAAACTGAGCAGGAGAGATAGGATCAGAGAAAAGAATACATGTAGCACTGGGAAACTTGCCTGCTTGTCAATTCCCAATGCACCTACCAAATGGTCTTAATTAAGGTCTAACCATTGGTTTCTCTAAGAAAAGACATTTACAACACACCTAATATCCAGAGTAAATGGAACAGAAGGGTACTTGAGACAAAGGTCTGGGAGGGGGGTGAAAAGAGAGAGTAGTTTCTGCTATTCAAAGTTCTTCTTCATTCTCTGGTACCTGTCACAGAGTCTCAAATGAGATTTTTACTCCTAAAAATTGTTTTCTGGGTCACAGTCCAAAGGAGAAAGGGAGAAAATCTCCAGCTTTAGGGATATTGGGGGCCCCAATAATCCAGTTTATTCCCCCTGCTCAAGGTGTGCCACCATGTCAATCCTGCCACCTTACCTGGTTGACCTGCTTGGGCCATTTGCACCCCACTGAGCATTGGCTGCTGCTGGCTTGGAGCTCCTGCCATCTGCACCTGCTGTAATCCTGAGGCTCCCGCAAGGATTGTCGCAGCTCCTGGCTGACCTGGCTGGCCAGGACCACTGCTGCCTGAAGGTCTCCAATTAGACAGACCCTTCCCAAAAGCAACAGCTGCCACCAAGGCATTGGTGTCTGCAGGGTTAAACGTCTGTTTGTTCGGCCGGAGACCTGAAGAAAAAGGTAAGTGAGGACCCTGAGGTACGCCTCTGGCCCTGGACTGAACCTAGCAGCCGGAAGACCAGAATGCATACCAGGGCTTGGAGCTCTGATTTCAGCAGCATGTAGACCCCCTGGCAGCCCAGAGGAAGAACCAGAGGACTCCTACATCTATCTTAGAATCCTCCCTTCTCATTTTGCCCATTTCCTCCACTTGCTCCAGGGCCGGCCTTAAACACAAAAGGCTAACAGAATGGAGGCATACGCTTATGTCCTCGCTTCACTACTACCAAAACCACGACTCCTGTTCCAGGGAGCTTATCCCTTTTCCTTCTCCATTTTGCTACCAATCCCTCCATACCTCCACTCTCTGACTCTCGTTCCTCTTTGCTGATTTTCTCCAGAAGGTTTGAGCACATTTTATTCAAGCTCTGGATCTGCTTCTGTAACACACATAAATTTGTGCAGAGATTAGGGCAAGCAAGAAACGATCACGTGGAAGTTTCTTCCTTGTGCTCTTTCAGGGGCAACTTAGATACAACTCGTCTGGTAGGTGCACTCCTACCAGACAGGAACAGTAATGCCTAGCTTCTCATGATGGGACTCAGGGGTGGGGAGCCACAGGGCAGTGACTCAGTCCAACCTGAGCTGCATCAGCACCAATGCGGGCAGCATCTGTTGTCAGCTGCTTCTCCTGCTCTTCGACCTCAGGGTCAGGTTTAGTTCTCAGATGGTCAGGGACCACCTCATGGCTGAACACAGGTACTCGTCCTTCAGTCTGCCGCTGTAATACAAAGATTTTATTGATCCTACCATGCACTCCAAGAAGATTCAGTCTGGTCTGATATATAGTTCCTACCACAGGCAAACAGTGCATTTTCAGGGAAAACACAACCTGAGACTTATAATATCTGGCTTCCTAGGACACTATTCCCCTTACGTAACATCCTTTATTTCTGTCTCCTCACACCCCTATCTCTACTAGACCTAGAGGAAAACCTCGCTCTAGCACATTTGAATCTAAGACTGAAATAGACAAAAGTCACAAAAGAACATACTTTTTGCTCAAGATAGGTGTTGGAGGAGAAGGGTCTTTGCCTTGGTGACACAGGCCTCAGATTAATTCAGCACTATTTGGGAGTGGCTCCCCCAACTCCAGAAGGACAAAAAGCAAGGCCCCCAAAATGCAGCCCTTGCTTCTTACTGCCACATACTACTCCACATTCAGAACTTCTAGAATAACCAACCAACAACTGTGCTCTACATCCCCATCTAAGAACTTCATTTCCCAAGTTGTACCCTTCTCCTCCTCTTACCATGAGATCTTCATCTCGGTCTGGGGACAAGACCAGAGGGATGATGACCTGGTTACGGAACAGTGGCGTCTTTTCATGCTTCAAGACCTTGTTCAGAGTGTTCAACTGTCCAGAGAGCAATGCAAAGCTATCCAGGACAGAGGGCCTGGTGGTGGTAAGAAGGTGTCAGAATGTTCCCAGTAAAGTAGCCTCAAAGGAGTCCTTCAGACTAAGAATACCCAGACTCACCCTCAAAAGACTCATAACCCTATGGCTGGGCTGGGTGGGAACCAGACTGGCTCACAGGGATTACGTGGTTAGGAAGTTTCTCACATAGAAGGAGAAAAAAGGCAGTTCATTATTTGAATGGGGTGAGGAACACTGGCAAAATAGGAACCATGACTACACTGTTATCACTAAAAATTCAGAAACTGAATAAAAGCCTCCTTTCCAGCCTGGAAATAGGATCCATACTTCCAGAGTGGGTTGGACCTAAAAGACTCAGCACCATCCATGCCAAGAAATCCAGTATGAATACTGTGTTTCTACTATAGGGGGGAGGATGCACTTTTCTCCTCCCAGAAAAGTCAAGGAGTGAGAATCAAAAGCTAGAAAGAACCTAGGTTGGCAAACTGGGCACTTCTCTACTTCCTTGCCATGGAGGCCCTAAAGCCAAACTCCAATGTTGGGAAACCCAGCTCCTTCCAAATACAAAAAAGTTTGCAAACTGATAAATGGTTACATCACTGGAGATGTCCTATCCACCAAGAGGACTGGCTCCCCACTCATGAAGCCCTCCCCAGCTTGCTCTGGCAACCCTTACCAGGTCAGCCGGTCATACTCATTCTCCAACTTGTAAATGAAACTTCCCAGTGAGTTCTTCAGATCAGCCACTTGACTCAGCAGTGCATCTAATGATGCTTCAAGCTGCTTCTCCTCCCTCTGCACCAACAGGAATAGGTTGGTTACCCAGATGACAATGAGTATGACACATACAGAGGAAGGCTGAAATGCCAGAATAACAGTGTGTAACTGTTACCAGTCAAGTAACTCAGGATTCTCACTGGCCTAGAAGAACCAGGTTTTTTTTTTTTTTTTTCTACCTTTGGTATTTGGGTTATAGACAGCATCAACCCTTAGACCTGTCAATCCATTTACCTGACATCAATTCCTCCTACCAACTGATTCCTTTCTCTCATCACATCCTAATCTGTGCCTGGCTTTTCCCCTCATTAGGCACACTCTAGTCTCGCTCATTGAGAAATCTGCACCAGAACTAATGCCTGGGATTTATTATCTTTTGTGTACCTCCACAGCACAGGTATTCCAGCTTCCTCTGTTCTAGAACTCGCCTTGTGAGCCTGCCTGTTCTTGCCAATGACACACTCTGGGAAATCTACCTACACATGAAGGTTTCTCTGAATACCAGCCTTGCACCACCACTGCCTCCCCCTCTTCATTTGCCCTCAGCATTTGATATTTCAACTTCCTCCCTGCTGAATTAGTCTGCACTCATTTTATCTCTGTCCCAATATTCCCGTGCCCCTTTCACAAGCTTTGTCAACCTATAACCGTTTACTGACTACCAGATGCAAAAAACTAAGTGACAAATGAAAGACAAAAAAATGCATGTGGTCCTAAGCACTAACGATTTTAAAAGTTTGGGGATCTGCAAAGCATTTCCTTCCTGTCTATGGTCTCCACCTTCACTTCATTTCTTCATCCTTAACAATTATCAGACACAGGCTGAGAAGAATGATACAAAACTGTCTTGCAAACTCGCCTACGTGTAGGACAGGAACCTTGATCCTTGTTCCACCCACGGCCTCAGATTATAATTACCTTAGCTTTCAGCCATGCGGCCCCACAATTCCTTCACCCTTGGCTTCTCTCCAATTACAGATGCCTTGCTATGTATGCATCCAACAGCGTCCATCCAACAGCCTAGGTCGGGGCCTGTGCCAGCCCGTCACTTCCTTGAGCCGTCTGTTTTGGACTGCATCTCGACCTTCCCAAATTACAACCGGATCCTTTCCCACACCCCAGCAAGTCAGTGCTGCCTCCCCGCCCCCGACCTCGCCGCATCTCTGTCTCCTGTTGGCCGGGCTCCACCCCATCTCCCATCGGCGCCACTCCCTCTCCAGTCGGCCTCGGCGCCCATCCTGCGTTCCCTCATCCGTCAGCCGCAGGCGCTGTCCCCTCTTCTTAGCCCCAACTCCTCACTCTCTCCTCGGCCAGCCCCCTCTCGGTCCCGTTACCCAAAGCCAGACAGCGGTCTAGATGCCCAAGCAGCTTCTCACCTGCATTGCGGCGGCGGCTTCCACTTCCGGTTTCCAAGTCAGCCAGCCACTCGGGAAGGGCTTCGTCCACCAATCCGAGAACTCAGAACTCGGCCCTCCCTGTCACTTCCGGTTCCGGCCGGGAGCGAGGTAGCCGGGTCAGGGGTTACGAGTGGAACGTCTTATCTGGCCCGGGCCGGCGCTGGAGGGCTGTATGATGGCCTCGGAGCGCCCGGAGCCGGAGGTGAGGGGCGGGCAGGCGCAGCGCTGGGCCCCGAGATCCGAGGGGGGGAGGGGGGTCCGGCGGCCAGCGCGGCCGTGGCCTCCTCCAGGTCTGGGGGCGGCCGGGCCGCGTAGCCCCGAAGGCCCGACCATTGAAGCTCCTCCCCGCGGTCCGCAGTCTCCTCGGGGGCTAGAGAAACTTCGTCGCTTTGTTTTGTTTACTGAAATTTCATCCACGTCGCCGACTTTAGGGCTCTCAGGTTCTTTGACATAATAATGGTATTAACAAAACCTGTGTTTTGACTTTCTGTTGCAGTTTCATATGTTGCATACGGCAATAGACTGATTTTGTCGGTTTCTGCATTTCTTCAAGCATTGCAGTGCCATAAATAGCGTGAATTAATTTAGTTCTAGCGCTCAGGCTTTTGGAAAGCAGCTTTGGTTTCGTGAAAAAACATTTAACTGGGAGTGAAACCTCGGTCTAATATTGGTGCTGCTGTTTAGCTATCTGTGCAACTTAGGGCAAGTCTTGACTTCCTCGATCCTGTTTCCTTCTTCATAGAGTGCCTACGTTGTGGTGTGTTGTGAGGATCACATGTATTAAAGCAGAAAATGCGGATGAGGTATCCATTAGGCGCTAAGGACCATGCAGGGAACTTTATATACTGCATTGTGTTACTCAAACTTGTGTTAAGGAAGGTGGCAATATCCACTCTCATTTACAGATCAAACTGAAAAGTGAGAGAGGTTCCCCAAGAGCTGCTCAGCTGAAGAGTAGCAGAATTTTGGAGTTAGAAGGTCTGAGCATAAAATCGCTCAGATTTGGAAAGAACGATGTCACAAGGAGAGGTACCCAGTATTACAAGAGAATATTTGAGTAGATGGGAAGGATGAGGCATATGGATAATGACACAAATTATAGTCATTACTTATTGAATGCTATCGCATGCCAGGCACCATTCTAAGCACCAGTATCAATTAATGCTCTCAACTCTATGAAGTAGACATTGTTATCATCTCTACTTTTCAGTTGAGGAAACTGAGGCACAGAGATATTCAGAGTAACAAAGTTACACAGCTAATAAGTAGTAGAGCTAGGACTCCAAAACAGGTGGTCTGCTCCAGATCTTGTATTCTTTTTTTTTTTTTTTTTGAGGAAGTTAACTCTGAGCTAAGTACTGCCAGTCCTCCTCTTTTTGCTGAGGAAGCCTGGCCCTGAGCTAACATCCGTGCCCATCTTCCTCTACTTTATGTGTGGAACACCTACCACAGCATGGTGTGCCAAGCGGTGCCATGTTTGCACCCAGGATCCGAACCAGCGAACCCTGGGCCGCTGAGAAGCGGAACGTGTGAACTTAACCACTGCGCCACCAGGCTGGCCCCCAGATCTTGTATTCTTAACCATAAAGTTTGTAGTATAAATAGTAAACTAGCCACAGGATGGCAAATCTCCAGTTCATTAGAATTTGGTGTGATGAGACCCAAGATTGAATATGGTTGTAGGAAACCGTCATATTTAAAAGAAACAATCTTTTTCACAGGGGTAGTGGAATAGCCCATGCATCAGAAATATCAATATTGAGAACTCCATGAAAGAATTTGAATTATGTTTCATTATGGATTAAAATGAGAGGAAATGGAGGGATGTTGTGGTGAAGTACAACATACCTTTTAGGTAGATAGCCTAAAACAGCATTGTCTAACAGAAACCAAATGCAAGCCATATATGTAGCTTTTCTAGTAGCCAAGTTTAAAAAAGGTAAGAAACAGGTGAAATTAATTTTAATATATTGTATTTATTTCCAAAATATTAGCATTTCAACATGTAATAAATATAAAAAATTATGAAATATTTCACATTGTTTTTTGGTGCCAAGTTTTTAAAATCCAGTGTATATTTTACACTTAGAGCACATCTCATTTGGACTAGCAACATTTCAAGTGGTCAGCAGCCCCATGTGGTAGCAGCTGCCATATTGAACAGTGCAGATCTGAAGTGACTTGGAGGCAAGACGCACACTCCTGGGAGTCTTATTCAGCCACAAGTTAAGCATTTGTTAAGTTCTTGATTTGCATTTCTGAAAATTTTCTCTCAGAAAGTAAAGAGTGAAGAGTTCTGCCCCTGGGCAGAAGAGTAAGTGAGTTTTAGGGGTTGCTACAATCCCGAGAGAGAGATTGAGCATAATCAGATTTAAAAAAATCATTCATTCATCAAATACTTAAAATATTTTATGAGTGCTGCTACGGACTCAGATTGTGCCAAGTATCAGGGTGGGTACAGAGCAGTGCAGGTCAGACATGTTCCCTATTTTAATGGAGTAAACAAACGTTGAATTATGATAAGTGCTGCAAAGGAAAAATACAGAGTGAGTGAGTGAGTGACAGGGGTTCTTAACCTACTTTGTTGAGAAGTGGTGGGGTGAGGGGGATCAGGAGGCCTTCTCAAAGGAAGGACGTTTAAGCCTGAACAATGAGCAGCTGGCCATGAGAAGAGGCAGAGAGCGTTACAGGCAAAGGGAGTAGTGAAGACCCTGAGGTGAGTAGGAGCTTAGAGCCCTCAGAGACCCGAGAGGGAGCAGCTGTTCGCATGGGCGCCTTGTGACAATGAGAATGGCTAGCACGGAGTGCTTACTAAGTATCATGTAAGACTTGTAAAATCCCCATGAAATAGGCACTGTTCTTATCCCTGTTTCACAGATGAGGGAACTATGGCACAGAGAGTTTAAGTAATTTCACCAAGGCCTTATACTCATAAGCAGCAGAACCAGCATTTGCTCCTAGGTGCTCTAACTCGGAGTTGGTGAGAGATGAGGCTGGAGAAGATTCTAGTTAAGACCGTGCTAGAGATTGAGGACTTTGGCGTAAGTGCAGTGGTAAGGAGGGTTCAGACAGTTCAAGGGGGAAGAAAAATCTGCATTATTTCATGGGACTCTTAACAAGACAGCACAAGGGTTGGAAAAGGCTCAAAAAGTAATTTGTACCTTAACCACAAAGGGACAGGTACAAAAAACAAGTTAATGAGATGGGCAGTGTTTCCTTTATCTTGATATACGTGGTATGCAGCACAGTGCCTGATAATGTTTTATTCATCTTGTTATAAATGGTATGTAGGCCTCAATAAATGTTCCAAAGAATGATAGGCTGCCTTCATCATTGTTCTAACTTTCCTCTTTAATTGCAACAACCTCCTTATGAAGTAGATACTCTTTTTTTTTTTTTTTTTTTTACAGAGAAGGATTCGCCCTGTGCTAACATCTGTTGCCAGTCTTCCTCCTTTTTTTTCCTTTTTTACCACCAAAGCCCCAGTCCGTAATTGTGTATAGTTGCAGTTTCTTCTGGTTCTTCGATGTGAGCCACCATCACAGCATGGCTATGACAAGTGATGTGGTTCCACGCTTGGGAACCTAACCTGGGCTGCTGAAGCAGAGCATGCCGATCTTTAATCACTAGGCCATCGGGACTGAGTCTGAAATCGATATTCTTATCCGCATGTTATCAGTGAAGAAACTGAGGCCTGGAAAAGTTAAGTAACTTGTCCAAGCTCACCTAGATAGCAAGTAGTAGAACCAGATTTGAATCCAAGTCTTTGACTCCAAAACCCTGCTTTCTCTTTGCCAGACTGCTACGGTGCACTTCAGACTCGGGGGAGGGGGTGGGATTCAATCTGGGGTAATTGAAATTCCATGTGAGTGTGGATGCTGTGGGAACACAACCTGTTCAGGAATTCTCAAACATTAAAGTGGAAGAATCACTTGGGGAGCTTGTTAAATGTAGATTCCTAAGCCCCATCAACTCTAATTAGTCTGCACTGGTGCCCAGGAATCTGCATTTTAATAAGCACCTTAGGTAATTCCAATGTGATTGGTCCTAGGATCACACTTTGAAAAATACCATTCTAGCTTCTTAAATTAATTCTTAAGTCTTCTGGTTCTAATAAATTACATCTTGAATGCAAAGAAAACTTAAAGAGGACGTTTTGGAAATGTAGTTGTTGACTTTGAAAGATCATATTGTGAGAAAGCTCAAGTTAGGCAGCTGCTCCTGGTTTTAAGAGAGTGGGTTCTGTAAGAACTGATTGATGAACTAGACTTGAGTTTGGCCTTGGACAGTCAGTCCGTTGTTCGAAATAAGCTTTGAGGCAAGGTGGAAAAATGGAAGCTATACAGTACTAGAGTTAAGCGGCCTACTAGCTAATGACCTGAAGAAAGTTTTCCCTGCCCACTTAGCAAAACCCTGCTCAACCTTCAGTGTCACTTTCTTCTAAGACCCTAGCCTGGGTCGAGTTCCTCTGTTACATGCTGCCGTAGAACCATGTTAGTCTATGGCACACTTACTCAGTTTGTAATAATAACAAGAATTAGAGTGATTCTTTCATGTTTTTTTCTCCATAGGGTAAATTTTGTGAGAGCAGAGAATGCCAGTTTTTGCTTTCTGTCGTATCCTTAGGACCTAGCCCAATGCTAGCATGTAGCAAGCTGTCCATGAATCTGTTAACTGATAAATGAATGTGTACTCACCTTGCCTTTGTCTTTTTTGGACTTGAATGAGGACTTGATGGCATCCTGATCAAATTAGCAGGGAAGTTAAGCTGGAAAGAGGTTTACTAGAAGACAGAACAGCACTCTAAGCTTCACAACAGAATAATAGACTGAATTTATCCAATGTAATAGGACTAATTGAATAATTGTGTGTCCAAAAACTGCATGAGGACAGAATGGGGGCTGTGTCTTAGCAGCACAAATGAGAAAGTCACAGAGGTTTCCTGAGTCAACAGTATGGTAAAGCTTCCAAAAAGGTAAATGGAACCAAGGAGACTCTTGAGTCTGTGACCTCACCTGGGTGTTGTCTTCCGTTCTGGCCCACACATTTTAAGGTTAAAAGTAGACCAGCCAGAATTCATTCAAAGGCACGTGATCTAAGCTGTAAAATAGTAAGGAAACTTGAAACCATGCTGTTTGAGACACTTAAAGAACCTGGAGATGTTTATTATGGAGAAGCAAAGACTCAGAGCTGATAGCAGATGTTTGATAGATTCTCCTTTGGCAAAGGGTCAGACTTTCCCTTTGTGGCCTTAGGAGGTAAAACTAAAAGTGGGTTAGAGTTTTTCAGGAGAACACGTTTCAAGAACAGGTCAAGATAATATCAAAAAGACAGATTCTGGCACAGTTTGAGGAAATTTCCAACTATGCCAACTAAATGGGGATGAGCACAAAAAGCTGAAGTGAATGGCTGTGCAGGACTTCACCTTGTTATTACTAATGTGTGCGTTTATGAGCACTTTTAACTTTACAAAGTGCTTTCACACATTGGGGTAGGAGATGATATTTTATAGAGAAGGAAACTAAAGCTCAACCCAGAGTCTCAGCTGTCAGATCACACTTTCTTTCCATAACACCATTCTTCCTTCTAAAACAAATCTATTAGAAGTCACACCAGAATCCCCCTCCCCCGATTCCAGGAACAGTCAACAAAAAGATAATACCGTGAAAGAATATACTAGTGAAAATCTGGTAAAAACAACTTTCAGGGAAGCAAAGGAAAAATCCAAACAATAGAATAAGCTAGTTTTTCCATAAAGTGGATGAGGAAGGATGGGGACTTTTGAACAAAAAAAAAAACATGTTGATAAATGAAAAATTAGGAATCACTGGTAAGAAACTAACAACATAGCTTGAAACAGAGAAGAGAATGAGTATAACTTATGAGAGCAATTTCCCTCACTCATACATTCGTTCAGCAAATTCTTGGCACTGTGCTAGTTGCTAGGGATACAGCAAAGAACAATAGATGGACACAGCTCCTACTTCCCTGGAGCTTCTAGACTTGTAGGGGAAGCAAACAAACATTCAAAAGAACACAAATTCTTCATTATAAACTAGGTAGGTGCTCTGAAGAAGTATAGGCTGCTTTGAGAATACCTAGCAGGGTTACCTAACTTAATGCAGGGAATCATGGACCAGTTTACTTACTAAAGCCAGAATTGCCAAGATTTTAGTCTTAGAAGATGGAGTGACCAAGTGTCCCCAAGTGTCCTTATGGTGCTGACCCGTGGACCTTTGCTCTCCCCCTTTAACCGTGGCTCAGTATGGGCCCAAACTCCTTTCCTTGGTGGTCTCCTTGCATAGCTGAAACAGGCTGACATTTTTTAAAAGTCTTTACTAACTACAAAGAATAACAAAAGGAAAATAATATTGAGACTAGTGTTAAGATGATCTCACCTTGAGAAGAGTTGTACTGATTATGATTAGTTTTAAATGCCACATTTGCTTTGCTTAAAACAGAGTGAATTCACCTATTCGGCAAAATTGTATTGAGCATTCTATGTGGCAGGCAGTGCGCTAGGCTCTGGGGATAGAGTGATAAACAGAAAGGACTGCTGAATTGGGATATCCTTCCTATTCTGATAATACTCTGAGCTCCAACCCATCCTTTTTTAGATAAGCACCTTGGCAGGGATCCAGCACAGTCAACTCATAAACAAGAGCAGTCACTAATATCGCCCCACACCAGCTCAGTCAATCCAGAGGGAGAAGTTGCCAGTTTATGAGTATCCCTCTCTGAGACCAAGGATCAGAGAAAGAGGACGAATAATTGCTGCGATTTCCTTCTTTGCCAATAAATAGACCCCTTTTCTGTTTTTAGGAGCTTGGCAGTAAGAGTGTACAGTTCCATGGGACCTTTTGAGGGGGATGGTGGTTAGAAATGATGGTAAATAACTATATCAAATTTTTCTAGCTAACTTGTTAATCATTCTGCAACTTACTGATGCTACCTTAGACATTCTCGACACCTTTCTTTTTTTACTTTCCTCTCCACTTCCAGTTAATCACCAGTTCTTGTCTGTCTTTTTCTAAAGATCCCTTAAAATGCAACCAAGCTCACTTGTCTCAAAGGTTAGTTCAAGCTGACTGGTTTTTTTCTTCATAGCAAGACTTTCTCAACAAAAGGCAGTGGTGATTTTACATTCCAGCACAACACCTTGTCTCATCGGGGACCAGTCTCAAACAGTTCACAGAATGGCTACTTTGAGTAGCTCTGATCTAGGCCACTATCATCTCCCCTGGTCATTAGGGGATCTTTCTGAATCATATGGTAGCCAGAGGGATATTGTGTGTGTGAGTGAGAGGAAGATTGGCCCTGAGCTAACATTTGTTGCCAGTTTTCCTTCTTTTTTTTTTTTTTGCTTGAGGAAGATTGTCACTGAGCTAACAGAGCAGGAATTTTTAAAAATGCGGATGTATTACTGCCCTGCTGGAAAAAGAGTTCGGTAGCTTGACCTAACTCTTAGGGTAAAATCAAAAATCGTCACCAGGGCCTACCTCAGCACAGCGTAGGGAAGCAGTATAATAGAGAGTAGTGTTTCCCAGCCTGTGATTTGAGAGGCATAGAGACATAACCAAATAATGCTGACTCACATCAGATCGATGTTTCAATTGTCTTTGTCTTTCTGATTATCTCAGAGCATCCTTTCTGCTTGTAAACCCCCGTCATGTTCCTTCTTGTGACAACTTTAAATCTTTTCTGCTCCAAAGTCCCCAGTTTTATCCATTTGTCACACTCAGTAGATGGGCTTTGTAGCTCATTGGGCCCGGGTTTGACTTCTGACCCTATTCCTACTAATTATGTTAAGTCACTTAACTTTTTTGAACCTCAGCTTTCCTCTGCTAAGTGTTTTGTGTGAAGACTGAATGAACTTACTTGTGTAAAGGTCCTAGTATTGTGCCTGTTAATAACCTGTAACAGTTAACTTTTATTATATTCTTACTAAGTGCCAGGCACTGTGCTGAGTGCTTCATATGCATACTTTCACTTAATCCACATAACAGCGCTAGTAGATTGGTACTAGGATTATCTCCATTTTAGGGAGAACACTGAGGCTTAAAGAGATTAAGTAGGTACCTTTTCCACAATCTCACAGCTAATAAGAGGCCAAATTGGGATTCAGACCTAGGCTGTCTGAATCTGAAATTCTTGCACTTAACCTCCACATTGTACTACTGAACGTATTTGAGATGCTCAATAAATAGGAGTTCCTTCCCTCTTCCTGCCTCCGCTTTCGTCCCTGCCGTTTCCCAGTATCTGTTTCTGTATCTTTTTATGCTTGCCTTCTGTCTTAGAAAAGAAGAAAGACTTTATTCATCTTGAGTTGTTACATCTCTGTTCGCCACACTCTTCTCTGAGATCATGCACCCTTCACTGTTGCTTTTCCAGGGCTTTTTCCTTCTCTTCTCAATGCGTATTTCCCCATTTAAAAAAAAAAACAAAAAAACTTCACTTCCTTCCAGCACTGCATTTCTCAAGAGGCAATCATTGCCTTCTGTTCATTTCTCCTCTACCACTCTCTTCCGTCCCCGCAACCTAGCGTTTCCCTCTCACTAGGAACACAGGAGGAGAAATTTGCAGTTTGCCCAAAATAGGAGGAGCGTAATCTTTTCATTTGAGGCCAGAGTAAGGGAGTAAAGGAATGTTACAGATAAGGGTTAACGTGGAAGAAACACTGGGAAAGTTCAGACCGGTTGATCCTTCTTGTCTCTGTGAGACAGTAGGCAAGTTTATCTCCCAGGACTGCAGGGGTTGAGAGATTGGAAAACCTTCTGAGGGGAGTAGGAGAGATTGCTGACCAGAGAGAGGCAAAAGGATTGGTAAAGACCTGCTAGAGGTGGCACCACTGGCCAGGTAACAAGTTTCTTTCTGTCAAAGTGCAGCTGGCATGGTATGTGTGTGGATAAGGGAAGATGTCGAATTCATCCTGAGTCAAGATTTGGCAGGGCTTGTATAGTGGAAGGACAAGGACACAGGCAAGGGAACTGATACTTATTAAGCTGTTGTCAAACTGACTGCACATGAGGCAGTGTAGGAAAGGAGCTAGAATATTGACAACTGAGAAGTATGGAAGTTTGATTTTGAGGTATTCGTCAGGCTTGCCTTTCACCCAGTGAAGATTCCTTCAGTGCCTGCTGTTGTCCAGGCTTATTAGGGAGAACTGTCTGACATTAGTGAGTGAGTGCTCTATTGTAAGCAATTTACCAAGCACGGGGACACAAAAATAGAGCAAGACACGATCCCTGCCCTCAAGGAGCTTATAGTTCATAGGAGAAACTCACGTAAACATTTGAAATATACAAAAGTCAGTTCACCTACATTGAGGTCTATGTAGGGGGAATGGGAGCAGAGATTGGAGAATTAATCCTTGGAAACGCCTTGCACCGAGGTGGGGGTAAGCTTTTCACCTCTGCTGCCTTGCCTCTCACTTAGGGATCATGAGCTCCTTGGACAAGTTACTTGCACCATGATCTGTATGTACTGGGAACTCAGTGAATTTTTATGGATTTATTAATGTCTCTTTGTCCCCAGGTAGAAGAAGCTGGGCAGGTGTTCCTGTTGATGAAAAAGGATTATCGAATCTCCCGAAATGTTCGCCTGGCTTGGTTCCTCAACCACCTGCATCAAACTGTGCAGGCCACACCCCAGGAGATGCTGGTGAGGCCCAGCGCCACACAGGATGTGAGGGGCTGGCCCAGAAGCATCTGTTTTATGTAGGAGGGTGCTGGAAACAGACAGCAGGGGAGACTAACTCTGAGGGGTCTAATTCTGGGAAGGGCAAGTGACTTTGCCCACAAGATGCTTCCACAGGGGAAATTTTGTTTAATAATTTTTTCAGATAGGGAGAGTATATGATTGGGCTGTTGGAGATGGAATCAATGGTGTGTCATTTTGGATACGGGAGTCAGATCCTGGAAAGAAAGGGTGACTCTTCCCTGACTTTTTTCCTTTTCTCTCCATCCTAATCATCAGCTTCAGTCTGAACAGGAATTGGAAGTCCTCAGTGTCCTGCCCCCTGGGTGGCAGCCAGATGAACCAGTGGTCCCAAGACCATTCCTCCTTGTACCTTCCACCCGGGTCACCTTCCTGGCTTGGCAGTATCGATTTGTCATTGAGCTGGACCTTAGCCCGTCTACTGGCATTGTGGTAAGGAGTTGGAGGGAGACAGTGGGAAGCAAAGATGGAAGGGAGGTAAGGAGGAGCGGGAGAGGCCTGGGAAGAGTAAAAAATGATCTCAGCCTACCATTGTGGAAAGCAGACAGGTGTGTAAAGGAATGGTGAATGTTTTAAGACAGCTCCCATCCCATCTGTGGCGTTGTGTTTGGGGGTGCAATCAAACTTAAGAGTTCTGCTGACCCATGGAAGCTGTTTATTTCTGCCCTCTGCTCAGGGCTGCCTTTGGTTACCCTTAAGAGTTCTTTTTCTCCATTGCCCTCAGGATGATTCCACAGGGGAGATCTTGTTTGATGAAGTTTTCCATGCCCTCTCCCGCTGCCTAGGTGGGCTGCTTCGGCCCTTCCGAGTGCCTGGATCTTGCATCGACTTCCAACCTGAGATCTATGTAACTATCCAGGCCTACTCCTCAATCATTGGCCTGCAGTCTCACCAGGTATTGCATCCTTTTTCCAAGTTTATACCTTCAAACCTAGTTTCTGATTGTCCGCTGACCAAGTCCTTATCCTATCTCTACTATCCATGCCCAAAGTCCCCAGCTCTGCTGGCTTCTTGAACCTGTTTCCTAGTCATCTCCATGAGTCTCTCTCCTCTTGAGAAGTATCAGTTGCTCTGGTCTTAAAGGGCCTTCCCATAAGCTTTAGGTGAGTTGGCATGATTGGACAAATACCTCTGTCACTCTTCCTGTAAGTCTCTGGTTCTAGCTACTGGGCATTTGTTTTCTTTACTCCCCCCTCCTCCTTTAGTTCCATCAGAAGATTTGCTGGTGTCTGGATTCCTGGTACTACCCCCAGGTGGTGGTCTCTTAGAATAGGTTTATGATTTTGAAATATAACAAATACCTGGAAACATAATTTCTTCCAGTGACAGAGGAGGGTCATTTTCTCTGAGGGCCTTGTGAACTGTTGGGTGTAAGGCTGACCATACAGATAATTATAGGGTTTATCCAACACCCAAGCAAGCTATCACCAGACACTCCTTTTGAAGAATGGCCAAGTCTGTTACTGGAATATCTGCTTTTGGCTTAGATAAGCATTGGCCCAATTTCCCTTCATCTGCCCTTAACTAACCTCAACTCATTGGTAGGGGCTTACCCTGAAATGGTCCCTGATAGCTACCTTGTCTCATTAGCTATCAAACTGCCTTTGAGAGACAGGGATGCAAGGAATAGCACCTGAGGGTGTGAAATATACCACAAGCAATTGGTGCATGCCTAGATCCCAGCCCCAGCCTTGGTTAAAGTACTCTCCTGGTGTAACTGTTGGGACTGCTGGTTGTGGGCTACATCCCCCGATAGGCCAGGCTTTGCAGGTACTGGTAGCCAAGGCAGGAAAGGCATGGGTATTAGGTAATCATAGTGTTGACTTGGTTCAGTTTGGCAAACACTTACTGAAGCCTGATCTATGCCCGGCCTGGGCCAGGTCCTGGAGACACAGATGAATCAGACACTGTCCCTATCCTGATGGGGGGAGTTGAGAGTTTAGTGGGAAAGATAGATATCAAAGGAGGTAATTTCAGTTGAATGTGCTAAGGACACTGATAAGTTATGACTCAGGCACTATAGGAGCACCGAGAGGGAGCACCCAGCCAAGCCTGGGGCAGTGACAGGGCAGACTTTTGGACAAAGAGGCATTTGAACTGAGTCTTGAAAGAAGAATTGAGTTTAACCATTCAAAGAAGGGGTAGTGGGCTTTCCAGTCAGAGGGGTGAGCAAAAGCAAAGACACAGAGCTGTGAAACTGCTCTCAGTCACAGGTGTTCTAGGGAACTACGTGTTACTCAGTTTGACCCAGTAAAGTTTGAATGAGGATGGGATGGTGGTAAAGAGGAGACTGGAGAGATAAGAGGGAGCAGGATTATGAAAGGCCTTGAATGTCCTGGATAAGGACCTGTACTTTATTCTACAATAGTCCCCCCTTATCCCTGGGGAATATGTTCCAAGGCCCCCAGTAGATACCTGAAATGGCGGATCATACCAAACTCTATATATACTATGTTTTTTCCTGTACCTACACACTTATGATAAGGTTTAATTTATCAATTAGGCACAGTAAGAGATTAACAATAACTAATAATAAAATAGAACAATTATAACAATATACTGTAGTAAAAGTTACCATAGATCTTAGCAACCTCAGCATACGACTTGTTTTCTTTTCTTATTAAGTGGAGAATGTTCACCTTTTCACTTAAAGGAAGCACTTTATGGCTGGCTTCTCTTTGGCATACCCAAATTGCCAGCATCACAAGTCTTGTGCTTTGGGGCCACTATTAAGTAAAATAAGGGTTACTTGAACACAAGCACTGTGATACTGTGATAATCAATCTGATAACCGAGACTACTAAGTGGCTGATGAGCAGGTAACACGTATGGCATGGATGTGCTGGGGATGATTCATGTCCCAGGCAGGACAGAACAGGACAGCGCCAGGTTTCATCACGCTACAGAACCATGCGCAATTTAAAATGTGTGAATTGTTTATTCCTAGAATTTTCCATTTAATATTTTTGGACCATGGTTGACCATGGGTAACTAAAACCGTGGATAAGGGGGGACTACAGTATAAGGGAATTTAGTGTGGTAGTGAAGAGCACTGGTTCTGGAATCATATAGCCTGCTTTTGCTTACTGGCTCTGCCCTTATGCAAGTTACTTAACCTCTCTGTGCATCTGTGTCTTTTCTTCAAAATGGGGATATTATCAGTACCAATATTATATGGTGATTGAATTGGTACATGTCAAGCACTTAACAGTGCCAGCCACATAGAAAACATGCAAATGTTAGCTGTTAAAACTATTAGCCATGGGTAGTAGGGAACCATTGAAGATTTTAAATGAATGTAACTAGATCAGATTTGTACATTAGGAAGATCACACTTGTTTGTGGCCGGTATGGAAGATGGATTGAGGGACAAAGTCTGGATGGGGAAGAAGAGGCAGAAGATTATTATAGTATGAGAGGGGAGATGAGGCCTGAACAAGGACAGCAGCCGTAGAGGAGAGGACTTAGTCGCTTAAGCCCCCAGGGCCACTTGCTAGCCCTGAGCCAGCTTCCCACTGTCTCCATAGCTCCCTCAAGATGTATCCTGCTGCTCTTTAAAAAAAAATTAAATCACATTCATAATACATGTCCATTGAAGGAGATTTGAAAAGTACATAAAGGGGCCGGCACAGCAGTTAAGTGCACACATTCCGCTTCGGCAGCCCAGGGTTCACCAGTTCAGATCCCAGGTGCGGACATGGCACCGCTTGGCAAGCCATGCTGTGGTAGGCATCCCACATATAAAGTAGAGGAAGATGGGCACAGATGTTTGCTCAGGGTCAGCCTTCCTCAGCAAAAAGAGGAGGATTGGCAGCAGATGTTACCTCAGGGCTAATCTTCCTCAAAAAGGAAAAGAAAAGAAAAATACATAAAATATAAAGAAAAGCAAAACCTACTGATAATACACCACCCAGAAATAACTACTATTAACATTTTCTGGAATTTCCTTCTTGTCTCTGGGTATGCCTTTGTCATATTCACCACCACCCCTCCATCCAAAGTGAGGAGAAACATCAGGACCATTCCAGGCACACAGTTTTACATCCTGCTTTTTTAATGTATAATGTAGGCGTTTTTCCATGTCACTAAATGTTCTTTGAAAACGTTATTTTTAATGGCTGCTTGACTTAATATTTATCATATTTTATCATCATGCATTTAGCCAAACCCTTATTATTGGACGCTTAGGTTGGCAAGGCAATTTTCACTCTTCTAAATAATACACCTGTGAACATCTTTCTCACCTTTTTATAGCCCCAGCTCCTACTCTTCCTCTGATTCTGTTTTTCTTGTTACAATCAGGTCTGTAGAGTGGTACAGAGTCCCCCTGTCCCCTCTTCTGGCTGTCCCCTCACCCTCACCCAGTTCTCAATAGGGAGTGAAGAAGTAGTTGTTGTACAGGAGGGCAGGGGTTGGTGAGAAGTAGGCATTGAGACAGGTTGTAGAAGTCTGAGGGAGAGAGAGGAGAGATCCCGAGGGTTACCACCATGGCTACCAGGCCTGTGTAAAATTTTCAGGATGGGGCCACTTATTTATGTTGGAAGTAGAAGGAAAGGAACCCCAAGGAGAGAGAATGAAGATATTAGAGAGACGAAAGGTCCAAGATTACATGGAGAGATTAGCTTTAGGGAAAAAGAGGAGGAAGAGGAATGTTTTCTTCAGAGCTTAGAAGGAGGAACAAGAACACAGAGAGACATAAACATCTAGCAAGCACTGAGGGCATCTTCAGTGGGTTGGAGAGAGTACACCCTCAGGGGTAGGGTATGCAGGGAGTTCCTGTTGATTGGTTGCCTTTCTCTGTGAAGAGGGGCGTGGGAGTTATCTGCTGAGGGTAAAAGGAAGGAAGGAGCCTTCTTAGGGAGAATAAGAAGATTTTGAGCTCAAAAAAGAGAAAAGGTCCAGAACAGCCCCTGTGTGCAGTGCTTAAAAATCAACCAGAGTAAAACAATATGAGTCAGAATGAAAAAGGCTTTGCCAGGCTGAGGTAGGGCAGCTTATAGACAATGTCTATAGCCATCTGGTAGCCCAAGATAGAAGGAGCTAGAAGAGTTTATGGCGCCCCCATGCGGGGGCTTGGGGAAGCCCAGTGTGGAGGACTATAAGCAGAGGAAGGCTGTGAACCCAGATTAAGGTAACTAATGACCTAGGGACCCTGAGCAGGGATATGGCATACCTGGGCTGAGGACTGATAGACTAGCTGATCTGATAAGAGAGGAACTGGCTGTGGAATAAGCCTACCTTAGAGCCTGCGTGGGTGGGAACTCAGGATCGCCTAGAGGGAGCTGTGGAGAATAAATAGGGGGACCAGCAGGGTACTGCCCAGTGTCCCCCGACCTTCATGTCTTAGTCTTTCCTTTATGCTTCTCAGGTGCTGGTACAGGGCTGCCTTTTGGACCCTTCCCAGCGGGACATGTTCCTGCAGCAGGTATATGAGCAACTCTGTCTCTTTGAGGATAAGGTGGCCACCATGTTGCAGCAGCAGTATGACCCCCAGAGCAAGGTATGTGGGAGAGAAAGTGGGTAGAGCCCGCTTAGAAAGAGGAACTATTAAGGGATGGAGGGGAGAGAGGGAAGACAAGCCAAGTACAGAGGGAAAGAAGGGCTAAGAGCTGGGGCCAGAGTGAGCTAAGGATAGAAGTGCTAGTGAGTGCACACAGCAGGTTCCCCGTGGGAGGAGGGCTCAGATACACTCCTCAAGACAAATTCTTGCTGGGAGAAAATGTGAAGGCCATTTGCTTGTGTTTTTTCAGTCCTGGATCTACTCCCTCAATGGATCTGAGAAGGTGATCTTGGGTGGTGTGGCTCTCTAGTATTTTGTTCAATCAGGGATAAAACTGCTTGGCTTGCTAGAATGCACTCTCTCATTCTTTTGGGTATCCTAGAAGTAGCCAGGCAAATTCATTTCTATGTGTCTGAAGACTTAATTTAAGTATAAAATATTTCATAATAGTAATAGAAAAATATGGAAAAGGGGCCCTATTGACAAAAGGTGGGGAAGCCCTGCTCCAAGACCATCTGTGCTTCGTCTGGTTCTGGACTCCTGGCCCATCTGAGGGTCAGTATTCAAGCGCTCATTGGGGGAGGGAGCATAGTCAGGCCTTGGCTGCATAGTAGGGGGATTGAGGTCCTCACAGGATTAGGCTTGTCTGGCCTGGGCAGTGCTGGGCTGTAAATTCTGGCTTTGCTATGGATCAGGCAGCAATGCCGTCTGTCCCATTCTATCTTTTCTATAACTTGGGCCAGGTAGATGACCAGTCCCCAGACACAGGGGAGCCCCCGGGCCGGAAGGTAGGAGTCTCCATGGTGACAGCTGATCTTGGGCTGGTCAGTATGATTCGTCAGGGCATCTTGGCACTGCAGTTGCTGCCCTCAAACTCTAGTGCAGGTTAGTAGATGGAATATTGGTGGGATTGGGGAAATAGGAATATTCATGAAAGTTGTGTGGGAAGGGGGTTATCAGCAAAAGTAGAGGTTCCAGGGGATTGGTGGGCCCCAGGGAAGAGGATCTGTTTCCTTGTTTGTAAAAGGTAAGTGTGTATTAGTGTATATCAGGGACCCTAGTGGAAAGTGGAGCTCCAAGGACATCACTTAGGAAGAGACTGGGATTCCACACTAAAAAGGAAGAAGTGGGAGGGGGGAAGTGTTTGAAGATGATAAAACACAATGGTTGGCAGACACTGAGGTCTTCAGAGCCCCATCAGTTGGGTACCTCCCTATGACTTTGATCTGGTCAGTGTCTCCGGGTCTGAGTCGGATGTTTCCTCCTCCAGGTATCATTGTCATCACAGATGGTGTGACCAGCGTCCCTGATGTTGCTGTCTGTGAGACGTTGCTGAACCAGCTTCGCAGTGGCACTGTGGCTTGTTCCTTTGTGCAGGTGAGGATTTTCTAGGAAGGAGGAGAGGAAAGTGTGGTATCTCACAAAGTGGGATATGGCTGGTTACTTTCTTGCGGGTGATGATTTCCCAAGTAAAGCCAATGGCAGTTACATGATGAGGGGGAGGTGTCCTGTCTAGAACAGAGTAAGTGGTGGTGGTGGTGGTGGGAGAGGACTCTCATCTTTGTCCTCTTTCTTTAGGATATGAGAGATAGCATGTTATAGTAAAGAGAATGCAGAATTTGAAGTCCAGCCATCAGTTCCAGTCCCACCTCCTCCATTAGATTAGTTATTACTGTTTTGGTTGCAAGGGTCAGAAAATCCAGCTCAAACTAGCTTAAGTAAAGGAGGGAATAGGCATATTCTGGGAACTACAGCCAATTTGGATTGATGGATAATCGGGTAGGAGGCAAAGAGCTATGGGAAATAAGACTGGAGGGTAGGCATAGGGCACAGTATGAAAAGCTGGCTCTGCTATATTAAGGAGTTTCAGCATAATTCTGAGTGATGCAGATATATAGAAGGAAAATCACCTATTGGGTTTATGTTTTACAAAGGTCATTCTTGCTGCTGGGTGAAGGGAAGGAGTGGAGGCAGGGAAGCTATTAATTGCAATAGTCAGGTGAGAGGGGATCAAGGTTTAAATTAGGGGAATTAAGAGTAAGAGGGAATGTGATAGGATGGAGAAAATGAAGAGGTAGCGTCAACATGACTTATGATTAGCAAAATGAGAGGAGTAAGGGAGAAGGAGGAGTTAAGGATGTCTCTAAGTTTCTGACTTCAGTGATTACTGGGTATCTGTTGGAGCAAACAGGAACAGAAACAGCTTCAGTGGAGTGAGGACAGGATGATGAATCCAGGTTTGTGCCTATTGAGTTTGAGATGACTGTGGGTCAAAAGGAGAGCAGTTAGAATATTGCCTGTGGAGTTAGGCATGCCTGGCCTCAATCCTGGCTACACTTATTTTCTGTGTGACATTGGGCACATTACTTCACATCTTGATTGGATTCATTTATAAATGGAGATTATAATAGTACCCACCTCATTGGATGAGATGATGCATTTAAAGTGCTTAGCATACTACATAATCAGGTAATAAATGGCTACCATTCATAGCAGTTAGCAGTTGGAGATGCAGATCTGGTACTCAGAAGACAGCACCAGTTAAGAGAGAGAGAGTTAGGATTTGTCAGCCTACAGATGGTAATTGAAAAGAGAAGAGGGTCCTCAAAGAACCTGGGGAACACCGGTGTTTAAAGATCTTTCATAGGAAGAGGGCCCAGCAGAGAAAGAAGGAAAATAATCAGACAAGAACCAGGAGATTCTGGTGTCAGAAGTCAGAGTTTTGGGAAGAAAAGAGTAGTTAACAATGTGAGATGCAGCAGAAAGATCGTGTAAAATGAGGAATGAAAAGTGCCCTTTGGATTTGGTGATTAGGAGGTCACGGGGATCTTTTTCAGTGAAGAGATGGCAAGGGAAATGACTGCAGTGGATTGAAGAGTGGGTAGAAGAGAAGGAAGTAGAGACAAGTGTTGACACAAGGAATTTGGCTGTTCAGGTCAAGTGGGGAGTGAGAGAGAGAATGGTGGCCAGAGGGAAATACAGGGTGGAAGGAGAGGGGTGTTTTGTTTTGGTTTGTTTTTTTCTTTTCTTTTTTTTTAGGAAGATTAGCCCTGAGCTAACATCTGCCACCAATCCTCCTCTTTTTCTTCTTCTACTTCATATGTGGGGCACCTGCCTCAGCATGGCTTGATAAGCAGTGTAGGTCCATGCCCAGGATCCGAACTGGTGAACCCCTGGGCCGCCGAAGCGGAGTGTGCAAACCTAACCATTGTGTCACTGGGCTGGCCCGTTGTTTTTTTTTTTAAGCTAGAGACTTAAGCATGTTTCTAAGGAGCCATGGAGAAGCAGAGTTTGAAAATAAGGGAAAGAAAAGGAAGTGTGATGAAGTCCCTAAATTGACAGGAGGCCATGGGCTCAAGAAACAGATTGGGGGACTCTAGAGCAGGAGTGTCACTCTTTCAGACTAGAAGGTAGAAGTGAAGATGTCAATAAATTCTGCCAAGGGCCTCTGATTTCTCTCTGAAGTAAAGGGTGAAGATGAGTACTGTAAGGGAGGGAGGCCAGAGTTGGGAAGAACACACAGTACTGGGACAGCCCTGAAAAACTAGCTGGGTTGGGTGTCATATGTTTTGGTGTGGTACCAACCTACACAGCTGTGCAGTGTTCTCCATTTGGGATCCATTGGGATCCCATTGGGGATCCGAGTAGAGAGGCTCTGATCCTAGTTGGGGTTTTGGGATGGAAGCAGAAAAAAGCGAAGAGGACGAGGGAGTTGAGAATGATGCTTATGAAGTTGCTTGAACGTAGGGTGCAGGCTGGATTGAGGACGGAGAGCCAGGAGGATGTGGATAAACTTGAAGAGAGCAGAGGTTCAAGCCCTGGCAGTCTTAATGAGATCAGAGCAGCAGGAGAAGGAGGATAGACGAAACCTAAAGGAGTACGTTGTATGTAATCAGTGGGATGTGGCAGTTGAAACTGCAAAGATGAAGTAGTTCCAGGTGGAGCCAAGAGCCAGCGTGTAGCCAGTGGGCAGGTGAGTGGAATAGAGAAAGTTCCCGGAGATTGTTCTTAACCTGGAGGACTTAACCTGGAGTTCTCAGGTTAAGGAACTGAGAGGCCAGGAAATTGAAGGAACCATCTAGAATAGGTCTGCAAACATTTTCTGTGAAGGGCCAGCTAGTAATTATTTTAAGCTTTGAGGGCCACACAGTTGTCACAGCTACTCAGCTCTGCTCTTGTAGTGTGAAAACAGCCATAGACAATGTGAAAATGAATAAGCATGGCTGTGTTCCAATAAAACTTTATTTACAAAAATAGGTGATAGGCTGGATTTGGCTCACAGGTCGTATGTAGTTTGCCTTTGTACTCAAAATCTGGTCCACAGACCAGCAGCATTGGCATCACCAGGGACCTTGTTAGAAATGCAAGATCTCAAGCCCCACACCACACCTACTGCATTTTTAACAAAATCCTCAGGTGTTTTGTATGCATCCTAAAGTTTGAGAAGCACTTTGTAAGAGAGACACTGACATCTCTTGGGATGATGACATGAAGCCAGTGAACCAGTTGCCAGAGTCTTAAGTGAATGGGAGCAGGCTGGTATTTGACGTTAAGGAAGAAGGGTGTGGCCAGTGGCATGGGCTTCAGACAGAAGGGCTCAGGGAAGGAAAGTTGCAGAGCAGTGGTCTGTCCTGGGAGAGCACTGGCCCACTTCCCACTCTGTGGTCCAGGGGATGGGAGCGGCCTCCCAGCCCCATCTCTTCCTCTCTTGTACTTCCTACTCTGATGCCTCTTTTGGAGCCAGGTCTCTAATTGCTCACTTTCTCCAGGTGGGTGGAGTTTACTCTTATGACTGCAGTTTTGGCCACGTGCCCAATGTGGAATTGATGAAGTTCATCGCAATGGCAACATTTGGCTCCTACCTGTCCACTTGTCCTGAGCCCGAGCCAGGCAACCTGGGTCTGACTGTCTACCACCGGGCATTCCTCCTCTACTCCTTCCTGCGCAGTGGGGAAGCCCTGAACCCTGAATATTATTGCGGTGAGGGGCAGGCTGGGGCACGTGTGGGAACAGGGAGTGGAGAATGGACCCTGAGGTGATGGGGACTGAAAGGATGACTGGGGCTCTCTACTCTGGCACTGCTGTCTTCCCGTAATTTCAGTGTAGCCTCCCCCGCTGTATCCCTGTCAGCCAACAGATAACCACTTTCCCCTTCCCCATCCTCACTGGTCTTCTAGGCTCCCAGCACCGCCTGTTTAATGAGCACCTGGTCTCCGCCAGCAGCAACCCTGCCTTGGCCCTGCGCCGGAAGAAGCACACTGAGAAGGAGGTGCCAGCTGACTTGGTCAGCACTGTGTCTGTACGGCTTCGAGAGGGCTATAGTGTCCGAGAAGTCACACTGGCCAAAGGTAAGGGTCACTAGACCTTGCTGTATCCCACAAGTCTCTCAGATTTTGTGTGGGGAGGACCTGTTGAAAGAAGTAAAAGACACACCTGTAGCACATGAAAGGGTGTCACAATGTGAAAGATTCTGCTTGTCATTTGAGACAAGTGAGTTCCAAGTTGCCTTCAGGGCTTAGTTCTCTTAGCATTTAGCTTCCCAATTTCATCCTCTGTTGCCTGAGGTGAGTCAGCTGATGGTTGTGTGGTGTCCTGATCTTGGCTTTGTTTTCAGATTACTCCTAAACTTCTCTTTGTGGCAGTTGGTAGGCTCTGAGCCTGAAATCTATGGCACCATGCTTCAAACCTTTGGCCAGGCTAGAGTTCCATAAGGCAGATGGGGGTTTCAGATAGGACTCAGTCCCAGGCCTGGAGTCCTATGCCTTCTGCCCCTAACTAGCCCTCCTGCTTCCGCTGAAGGAGGGTCCCAGCTGGAAGTAAAGCTGGTGCTGCTGTGGAAACACAACATGCGCATTGAGTACGTGGCTGTGGCGCCCTGGCCCCTGGAGCTCGAGGGCCCTCGAGGAACACGGGTGGAAGTGACAATGGAAGGTGGCTATGACATTCTGCATGATGTGTCCTGTGCACTAAGGCAACCCATTCGCTCGCTGTATCGCACCCACGTTATCCGGCGGTTCTGGAACACGCTGCAGAGGTGAGGCAGGTCACCGCTCAGTGAGTGAGGCCCCATTTGTTTCATGGAGGGACAGATGTGTGAAGCTGGGACCTGGAGAGAGTCACCCTGAGCACCAGGCTCATGTCCAGGGTCCCATGTCCCGCTGGAGCTCCCCTCCTCTGCATCCACCAAAGTCAGGTATGGCTTAGGGTTGGCCCTCTTTCTGCAGCATTAACCAGACGGACCAGATGCTAGCCCACCTTCAGTCCTTCTCTTCAGTCCCAGAACATTTCACGCTTCCTGATAGCACCAAGAGTGGAGTGCCCCTCTTCTACATCCCTCCCGGCTCCACCACCCCGGTGAGTGGCTCTGGTACTCATTATTCCCATTTTGTGCCCACCCAAACTTGGAATGGTGACGCACTGGAGCCCAGAACCACCCTCTTTGTCCTTCCCTCTCAAGTCTGAGGCACCCAAACCAGAACCCTGAGCTTTAGCCTTGAGAGCAATTCTCCCTCCTTTCAAGCCCCTGGGGGAGGAGAAGAATCTATAGAGACAGGCTGTCCTCAGCAGATCCCGGGTGTCAGAGGCAAAGACCTACAGTATAGCTAGGTAGTGGTATCCCAGCCAACTGCGAGCCCCTCGCCCCATCTCCACATGGCACACTCTGGCCTCCCCACCACCTTCGCCCATTTCCCACTATGGCTGACCACCGTGAACTGTGCACTTCCTGAAGAGCATTGCTTTCTTGGCCCTGCTTTCTTCACACTCAGCCCATGGCTATCAGGCTAGCACTGACTGGCGGGGAGTTTATGCCATTGTGCAGATGCTTCATTCTGAGGTCCTGCCGTCACTCAAAGGCTTTCCTCCAAAGTCAGTGATAGAAACATGGCAAGTCCCGTCCTTTGTCTGGATTCAACTTTAAAAGGCCACACAGCCTGTCCCTGGACTCATTCATCCTAATCTAGCCTTTGTATTGGAGGCAGTTTTTGCTGCCATCCCAGGCTGGGCTATAGGTTCCTTCAGCCTTAAACCACTACCATCTCCGACCCCCTGAACCCCGTGATTCTATTTGCTGTTTGGAGGTTGTACCCTCCTTCTCCATGAGTGCTCCTATAACCTGTCATTCCTGTCCCCAGGTGCTCTCCCTTCAACACAGTGGGTCCGACTCATCTCATGCCCAGTTTGCTGCCTACTGGAAGCCAGTGCTGTCCATGGATGCAAATTCATGGCAGCGTTGGCTGCACATGCATCGCCTAGTGCTAATCTTGGAGCATGACACGTGGGTATCCTCCTAGGGCCATAGTTGGGGTGGGGAGCAGGGGTGAGGGGGCAGGGAGTGATGGGGAAGCAGCAGATGAGCCATTACCAACCTTGACCAAGAAAAACCCTTTCCTAGTCTTCCTGCTCATCAGCCCGCATATCCTCAGACAGGGCCTAGAAGAGAGAGGTAGCAACTGTTCTTTTCCCCCAAGATTGGGACTGGGAGGTCTGACCTCACTCCACACCCCTCTCCCCAGACCAATCCCCAAGCACTTGCACACCCCAGGCAGCAATGGGCGCTACAGCACTGTCCAGTGCAGGATCTCACACTCCTCGCTGACTTCTCTGCTTCGCGACTGGAGCAGCTTCGTGCTAGTCGAGGGCTATTCCTACGTGAAGCTGCTCTCCAGGTGGGCAGAGTGAAGTCCCTTCACTCCTCCCTGCCGCCTCATCCCATGTCTCTTCCTCTAACCCTATACGTCATCCCTACTTCCTCCTGAATCTATTTACTCCCAGCCTAGAGCTGCTCACTGACTCCCATTTCTTCCCAGTGCCCCAGACCAGCCTCCCTCCTCGTTCTACATGGTCCGCATCATTTCCAAGGCGCCATGCATGGTTCTTCGCCTGGGTTTTCCCATCGGCACACCAGCACAGGCCCGGCACAAGGTGAGCTGGGCCCTGACTGAGTTCCAGACCAAGGAACCCTGGAGTGTAGACTAGCTCCTCCTCCCTAAACCCCAGAGGGGCAGGGCCAGTAGAGAGATGAGGCCCTAGACCAAGTAAGGCCCGAAGACCAAGGCCTCTCTCACCTTGTCTGTGGACCCTCTCCCAGACCTAAAGGAGATGGAAGGAGGAGGGTCTGACCACATTTTTCTCTTAGATTGTGTCGGGCCTACGGGAAGAGATCCTGCGACTGCGTTTCCCCCACCGGGTGCAAAGCAAGGAGCCAACACCCAAGGTGAAACGAAAAGGGCTGGGGGGCATTGGTGGGGGTAACTCTCCCTCCAAGTCCCCGCCTATGCTGGGGCCACAGCAAGCCCTATCTGACCGGCCCTGCCTTGTGGTCCTGCATAAGCCACTGGACAAGCTACTCATCAGGTTGGTACAGAGGGTGGGGATGGGGCCAGGAGCATGTGGGAGGGCTGTGGCTTAGCTTGGTATGAGTAGAGCATTGCCTCCGTTTCCCAGGTATGAGAAGTTACCTCTAGACTACCGGGCACCCTTCTTGCTGACACTGGAGCCACCAGGGCCACTGCCCTTGGTGTCAGGCCGCTCAGCCTCTTCTAGCCTAGCGTCGCTGTCCCGCTACCTCTACCATCAACGCTGGCTCTGGAGTGTCCCATCAGGACTGGCCCCTGCCCTGCCGCTCAGTGCCATTGCCCAGCTCCTCTCCATTCTCACTGAGTACGTCGCCCTAGCCTGCCAGGAAACTTGGGGCAGGGAGAAAGCAAGTGTAGGCCCTGAGTCTGGATGCTGACAGGAAGCCTAAGCCAGAGAGCGCCCCTCTCTAAGCCCTCCCTTTGCTGCTGCTGTTCTGCAGAGTGTCCAGCATAGAGCAGTGCATGCTGCTGCCCTCTCCTTCCTCCTCTCCCCCTCCTCTGTTTATTTTGGCCTCAGGTCCTAATTGGACCTGTTAACCCTTGAGGGACCAGTAGTCTGAGCAGGGCCTCCTGCAGACAGGTCTTTCTGGATGGCTGTTGGAAGGTAGATATGGAAGTGGTGTGGGGGCCAGGGGAATGTAGTCTGAGTGTCTCTTCCCCCATCTCATCTTGTCCCCACTCCTCCTTTATGGGGCTTCAGAGTCCGACTCTCTGAAGGGTTCCACTTCGCCTGCAGTGGAGAAGGAATCATCAACATGGTCCTGGAGCTTCCAATTCAGGTATGTGCCATACCTCATGACACCTCCCCACCAAGGTCCGTCATCAGAGGGACGCTTGCCTCTGGGCTCGTTTGTGACTGCAGGAAACTGCCTCACAGGGACCCTGTGGCCAGAAGACCCAAGGCCATGTCCAGTCCCAGGACAATGTGGGGAGGGGACTAAAGTTCTGAAGGCCAGAGCTGGGTGGGGCGCCATCTCTGCCTTGGCTGAAATCTGCCCAAAATCTCCCAATCTACCCACAGAACGAGCCCCCAGGGCAGGCTGCAGTTGAAGAGAGGCACACATGCGTTGTCCAGTACATCCTCTTCCCCCCACACTCTACCTCCACCAAAGACAGGTGAGACTGAGCCCTCTCTGAGAGCTGCCTCTCTCCACGTTCCCCCTTCTCCCTACTGTCCCCTGAAGTTCTGTCTCCCATGCCCGGAGAGTGTCGGGGTAGGAGATGCTATTTTTAGATGCCTCATAAGGCAGTCAGGTCCAGGAAGGCCACGTGCAACTGTGGCTGTCCTGTGTGCCACCACCTTGCCCCCCTCCATGGAGTGACTGCCTGCCATGGGGTTGTGGATTAGATTCTGCTCTCTCCCAGGCTCAGGGCCCTTCTTCCTTTAGCTTCTCAACAGATGATGACAACGATGTGGAAGTGGAGGCCCTGGAAGGAGACTCAGAGCTCAATCTGGTCACTGAGGTGTGGGTGGAGCCGCAGTACGGGCGAGTGGGACCTGGCCCTGAGAGCTGGAAGCACCTGCAGGACTTGACATACTCTGAGATCCCTCAAGCTGTGAGTGACCTCAGAAGGACCCCCACCCCTTACCAGATTGGGTACTATCCCCTTGGGAGTACCACAGCCTGTGGGCTTCCTGGTCCCTCTGAACCTCTGGGTTCTGAATGTCTGCAACTGTATGGGCTTCCTTGAGAGCTGGAGGCTGGGTACTCTGGGCCAGAAGGGGCTGACCCCTGACCTTTGCTATTCCTCCCCTAGCTCCACCCTCGGGACGCTGCCTGCATAGGCTCCATGCTGAGCTTTGAATACCTGATACAGCTGTGCCAGAGCAAGGAATGGAGTCCCCTGCCCCCAGAGCTGAGAGTCTCTGATGGTCAGCGGGGAAGGGGCCCCCAGGGTTGGAGCAGGGGAGTGGGTGGGCAGAAAGCAACCACAAACAGGGAATCTGAGTCTCACCGTGAGTCTTGTCTTCCTTGCCTCCCTGCTAGGATTGGACCAGGGAGGAGACACCTGTGTCCATGAGATCCCCTTCTGTTTTGACCTAATGGGACTGTTGCCTCAGTGCCAGCAGCTCCAGATGTTCTTCCTTCTGCTTTCTAGAGGTGGGTGAACTTTGTACTCACTCACCCCACACCTAGAGGGCCAGCAAGCCTGGGAGTATTAGAGAACAGAGAGCAGATGAGTCTGCAAATGAGCAGATGAGTGCTGGGGGCAGGAGGAGGCTTGGAGGCTGAAGGTGGGGCTGTGCTGGTCAGGGCTGAGTCGGGGGCATTGGGCAGCAGGAGGCTTTTGGTGCTGAGTGGAGTGTGTGTCGGGCAGAGCCAGAGGGCGTCCCTCTCGCCGAGGGGCCCTGTCCCACCAACGACATGGTGCTGTGCCTGCTGCACAGCTGCCTGGGGCAGGAGCTGAGTGACCGGGAAATCCCGCTGACTACCGCTGACCAGGCTGCCTTCTTGAGTGAGGTGCTGCGGCGGACCTGCCACGGTCCAGGTGAGCTCCCCACCTCTGTCCTCATACTAGACTCTGGCCCAGCCCTTTTCCCCCACCCACAAGGTAGTCTCTGTCTTTGGCTTTTCGCCTCCCGCTGTCTTCACCTCAGAGCCCTGCCTCTCTGCTGGCCTGGCCCTCTTCACCCATCTCTACCCCGACTGTAGATGCAGAGAGGCCACCAGCGAGGGGCCCCGGGATCCTGAAGGCTCAAGCAGTAAGCAGCACCCAGGCCCCTGGAGACTCAGCTCTTCCTAACCAGGTCAGCACTGACTCATCCCCTTGAGCCCTTTCTCATAGTGACCTCCTTCTGTCACCACATAGTCGTACCCCAGCTTTCCATCTCCCTGGGTACTGAAGGTCTCCTCCCAATGACAAAATAGCGTCATTCCCCTTTGTCCTGGATCTTGCAAACTGTGCCTAAGGTCGGACTCCAGGGTGGAGGAAGGAGCAGGGGTTGCATAGTCCCTTATAGATTGCTCTAATTTTGTCTTTCTCTTACAGAGTGTAGTCCCTCCTGAACCCCTCAAGCCTGTCATCTCTGCCCAGCCCCCTCAGTGGCGCTGCTATGCAAGGCTTGTGACACCCCAGCATGTGTTTCTGACTTTCCTCCCAGCTACCTTCTCAGGTACCAACTGCTGACCTTCCTCACTAACCCCTCAGGTTCAAACTCTGGAGCTCCCTCACCCGCCCACCTGGCGGCTCTGATTTGTATCTTTTTTCCTCTTCAGATGTCCAGCATCTGTCTGCCTATGGCCTAGAGGGACCCTCTCAAGAGGAGACAAAGCCTAAGTTTGGGGAATGGAGTGGGGCCTCCAGCCTCAAAGATCTGGGAGGAACTGGAGTCAAGGCCACAAAGTCCCAGGTCCCCATCCTCAGTGTCACCCCAGCTGGCGGTAAGGGTGCTGACTCTAAAGTCAGTTAAGCAGGAGTGGGAATGGGAACAAATAGAGGGCTGGAAGACCATGTGACACCTCTTCCCACAGATAGTGCCCAGAATCCAGGAGAGCTGAGCCCACCCTTCCGTCAGGACTTCCAGGCTTACAGTGGGCGTCAGGCTCCACAGACGGAGAGTACAGATGCACCCCGAACCCGGTGTCCTGTCTACATCTACAGCTGTGCCCTGGAAGCACTGAGGGAGCAAATGCTTGGCATGCAGCCCCCTCAGGCACCCCGAGACCTCATCTTCCGGTGAGTGCCCCCAGTATTGACCTAGGTCCTCCCTGAACCATGGCCCCTAGCCAAGGCTCAGGTACACACTTGGATATGACAGACAGGTTGATGGTCAATGGCAGGAACTTAGCTTCTCAGTCATCTCCTGCTAGCTCCTTGTTGGGCTTCTTTTGGCAAGTCAGTTGAATTTGCTGGGCCATGAATACAATTGATAGGAACCTACTGATAATCCGTTGGCATGTAGGTTGATGGCAAGTTTTGCGTGTCACTTAGGGGAGTTGACCAAGCTCTCTCTTTCCTCACATTCGTAGGACTCAGTTCCTTGACCAACCATCCCCATCCTCAGCCTGGATGGAGCCCAGGCACAAGGAGGCAGCCAACCATTGTGCCTTGCTGCAGGAGCATGCCCAGCGATGCTACGTCCGTGGTGAGCAGGAGGCCGTGTGCGGGAGCGTCAGGGAGGAGGAACAAAGCAGGGAGAGATATAGAGATTACAGGGATGGGGACTGGAGAGCTCGTTCCAGAGCTTGCCCCTCATGGCTCTTTCCACTTCCATCAGGGCTGTTCCGGAGCTTGCAGCAAGCACAGAGTGTGTCCTCCCAGGACTTGCTGATAGCAGTAGATGCCTGTGAGGAGCTGCTACAAGAAGTAGACATCACCCCTTTTCTGCTTGCACTGTGTGGCCACACTCGGGGTTTGCCTCATGCACCCCCAAGCCCTGGTCCTCTCAGCCCTGGGCCCTTCAGCAGCAGCATCGAGGAGGGCCCTGAGCCTCGGGAACGAACTGTCCTGGCTTCTGAGTCCAGGTTAGGATTGTCCTGGAGTGATGTGTATGGGGGCACACAGACCAAGTCCCTATACAGAGGGACCTTCTGAGCTGTGAGGATGGCTGTGCAGGGTAGCACCCACACACCAGAGAGGCCGTAGTGCTTGTCACCAGCTTCTGCCTCCCACCCAGACTTCTTTCTCCCATTTGGCGTGGGCAGCAGTCTCCCTTCCTGGCTCTCCTGTTCTGGTGTGGAGCGCTGAGCTGGATTAGGGGGAGGGAGTTGCCAGTTGCCATCAGTCCGCAGCTCACTTTAGGGACCCAGCAGGTGGGAAGAAAGGCAGGCTGGCAGACAGCTCTGTGTCTGGCATCTGCAGTGTATTAGCACTGGGGAAACAGAGGCAGCAGAGGGAAGAGCATGCTAACGATGCCCAGTCCAGGTCCCTGCCTGCAGCTCTAGATCCCCACCTTTCATGGCCCCAAAATGAATGCATTTTCTTCCTACCAAACCTCACTTCTCCACCTGGGTTCTTCATCCATGGTGAATGATATCACCCTCCACCCAGTGGTCCAAGTCAGAAAACTGGGAGTCATCCTTACTCATTCCTCTGTTTCACAGAAATGTCTGGCCATTAAGAAATGTGGAGGTTAGAGCCAAAATGGGTGGGTTGGTTCTCCTTGCCTCTTCTATTGCCCCTGCTGGTGTGTGTCAGACAGACAGACGTGTGCTGCTCCCATTTGCAAAGCAGGCTCCTCTAGGACTTGGTGGTTCTTAACACTTCAACACCTCTACCCCCAACCCTGACCACTCAGCATAGAGACCGAGGACCTAAGCGAGCCTGAGTTTCAGAGCACCCGTGTCCCTGGCAATCCAGACCCTGGCCTGGAGATCTCTCTAACAGATGTCTGCCAGCTGAGAGGAGAAGCACATGATGCCCTTCACAGCCTCATCCAGGTGGGAAGCTTGATGAGGGTAGAAGAGAGGTGGCTGCACAGTGGGTCAGCATTCTCTTCTGGTTTAGGGACGTGTTCATGTCTGTTCTAGAGTAGGGGTAGAGTGCTGCTCAGGAGTGGCTGACATGATAGTCTTCTTCTAACCTCAACACAGGAGAAGTTCTTGGAGATCAGTGGTCTCCACTTCCGCACGGTGCCCTCCAATCCCCACTACTTCTTCTATTGCCCTCCATCCAGCAGGCGAGAGGTGAGTAGCTTTCTTCCTTACCTCCCTCATACCACTGACCTGTAGCCCCAGAGGCCCCAATTGGCCCACCCGGATCCTCCTGACTCTTGGTTCCCTAAGACCTGGATGTGACTCTTGTCCTGCCTTGGATCAAGCTGTGTCTTTCTTTTGCCCAGGATGAGGGCCCCCGGGACACAGTAGACAGAAAAGTCAGTGACTTGGAGTTTTCAGAGGCTGAGCTCATGGGAGAAGAAGGTGTGTGGGCAAGTGGGTAGAGGTGGGAACACTGGCTTCAAGCCAGGATTCAGGGGCCTCCACTGCCAGCCTCTCCCACTGACCACACGACATGTATCTCTAGGAGACACATCAGCCTGCTGTGTGGTCACTGAGAGTGACCCAGAACTGGAGGTGGAATACCGCGAGAGCCGTGAACCAGACCTGGGGCCTGCTGGGCTAGACTCCGCCTCACTGTCAGATGCAGACACTGTAAACCCTGATGAAGACTCCTTTAGTATCCTGGGGGGTGACTCACCCACTGGACCTGAGAGCCTTGTGCATGACCTGCCACCACTCTTCCTACACCTCACGTGCTCCGTGCGGCTGCGTGGACAGCACAGCTCAGTACCTGTATGCAGCCTGCCCACCTGCCTGGGTGAGTTTGGGGGTGCCCAGGGAGGGGCACGGATCCCAGTACAGCCTGCCTGCATGTATGGGGGAACAGAGAGCCTACGGGTATAACTCTAACGCTGAGAACTTGGAATCTGTACTTTCCCCAGGGCTCCCAGCAACACCTAACTCTCTCCCTCTCCCAGGCCAAGTGCTTTCCATTCTGGAGGGCCCCCCCATTGGAGGCCGAGTGCCCCTGAGGGACCTCAGTGTCACTCTGGACGTCTTCGTGCTGACCTTGCCCCTGGAAGTGGAGCTCCCCCCGACCTCGGACCCTCAGCACCACCGGTGTGGCAGCAAGTTTGGTGGGGGGATCTGAGGCCTTGTTGGGGACCATCAAGGACTCTAGGGGCACTTGGGGACTAAGGGGGCCTTAAGGATTCCAAGAAAGGAGTGCTGAGGAGGCTCTGAGAGGCCAGTAGCTGCTGACCTTTGACTTTTGCTCCCACCCTGTTCAGGTCAACTTCTGAGAGCAGTGCTTCATTCCCACGATCCCCAGGGCAACCATCTTCTTTAAGATCAGATGATGGCCTGGGGCCTCCACTGCCACCCCCAGGAGAAGACAGGTACTTTCTTATCTCCCTCTCAGAGTTCCTTCTTCCTCCTCGGTTGTGTTTTCAGGAAACCGGTATGTAAACCTTCCTTCCAATTAGGCACCCAGGACTGTCCAATTTGGCCGCACCCCACAGACTGGCTGTTGAGACCACTGTGAGTGAGGTGAGGACCTTCCCTCCCCCTTGCTGGGTGACAGCCCCTCAGCACTGTAACAGATGCCCTTTCCATATATAAGTGAGGTAAAGCACCCCCTGTATTCTGGGATCAAAGAGAGGCCTCCCTCAGTCTGAGGCAGAGTATCTTCTAGTATGTTTCAGTCTAAGAGTAAGGTGATGCCCCAGTCAGCAAGGGAGGCGCCCTTTCTGCATTGCTCTCTGACTGTAGATCCGCTGGTTGCTGGAGGATGAGATGGTGGGGGCACTCCGAAGAGGGGGCATCCCCCAGAGCCCTGCCCTGCACCGTGCAGCTGCCCACATCCATAGTTCTCCTGGACGCTCCACCTGCCTTCGCCAAACTCTGCCACTGAGTTTTGTGTTTGGACCAGAGCGTTCCCTCACGCAGTTCAAGGAGGTATGCTGCCCTCAGAACACTGCCTACTCACCTTGGGGCCTGTCCTTTCCTGGAGTTCAGATACAAAAGGGGAAGCCCTGTCTTGGTTTGAGTCCCTAAAATTCCCCTCCTGTCCAGCTTCTCACCACATTGTCTGTCCCTCACCCCACGCCCGCCAGCCCAACTCAGTGGGAAAAGACCCAGCTCCCAACCTTGCCTCTGGCCTGTTGAACCTTAAACAAGTCACTGAATCTTCTCATACCTCAGCAATGGGGATGCTAGTGTCTGCTTCACCAGGTAGTTGTGGGGGTCTTATGAGGAAGTAGGGAGGGCTGCTCTTGCCTAAACTGTGACCTTGGCTCCTGCTCCCCAGGAGTTCCGCCGCCTCCACCTCCCTGGCCATGTTCTTCTTGAGGACCCTGACAGTGGCTTCTTCTTTGTGGCAGCTGGCCAACAGCCAGGTGGGTCCCACGGGGAGTCCCCTTCAGCAGCCTGGGCCTGGCACAGCCACGAGGACAAGGCTGAAGGCATCGAAGGGGAGGTGAGTCTTTCCTGGGCTGGCCTGGGAATGTTGAGGGTACTGGCTGGTGTGTGGGGCCTGTACTCAGTCCTGACTTCCTACCCCTTAGGCCCTGACAACCAGCCCCCAAGCCCCTGGCTCCCCTGAGGATTCTGAGGGTCTGCCCAGCCTGCCACCAGGAGGTAAGAGAGGACTTGGGCAGCAGGGTCTGGAGGCCAGGACCTGGGACTTGTGGGTCCCTGGCTCTCCTTCCATTTTCAGAGAGTGGTCCTAGGCAGGATTTGAGAGAGGCTCCAGGCATTTCCCTTCTCTTCTCAGGGAGTCAGCCTGGGCCCAGCCGGGGACTAAGCCTTATGTCCAGTCAGGGCAGTGTGGACTCTGACCACCTAGGTAAGCTGAGCAGGAGGTGGAGGACTTTACACTGATGGGAAGTGGACTTAGGGCTGCACAGGGGAAGGTCTGAGCAGCAGGCATCAGAAGGGACGAACCTCGAGGGGCCCATCGAGCCTGATGCACTTGGGGGCTCAGATGAGCCTAAGGATGGGGTTGAACTTCAGCACATTTGACACAGGTTATGATGGTGGCAGCAGTGGCTCAGACAGTGAGGGTCCCAATGACACCGTCGGTGAGAAGGCCCCCTTCACATTGCGGACCCCACCTGGGCCAGCACCTCCACAGCCCTCACTGTCAGGCCTCCCTGGGTCCTGCCTGCCTGACTTCTGGCTCATCGTCCGGGTACTGCAGGATCGTGTAGAAGTGTATGCACATGCACAGTAAGTAGAAGCCAGGGCTCTGCACCCTGACTCTGATGTCAGCTTCTTTTCCCTGGTCCCATAATGTTCCTCTTCAGTGTTGTTAAAAAGTAACTCTTGGGGCTGAGGGTTTGGGTAGGGGTTTGACTTGTATTCTAAGATTGGGGGCTCCTGACCACTTCCCACAGCTCGTAGCAAAGCATGTCACTCGCTGTTTTCCTGATGGAGTTGAAAAACGGATGGGGACTTTGGCTCCTAGCTGAGCATTAATAGCATGCACAATTCAGAGCAGCTTCAGGAGTTGATATACACAAGTAAGGAATAACAGAGGTTGGCCTGGTGGTGCAGCGGTTAAGTTCTCACGCTCCACTTCAGCAGCCTGGGGTTCGCCGGTTTGGATCCTGGGCGCTGACCTACATGCCACTTATCAAGCCATGCTGTGGTAGGTGTCCCACATATAAAATAGAGGAAGATGGACACAAATATTAGCTCAGGACCAATCTTCCCCAGCACAAAGAGGAGGATTGGCAGCGGATGTTAGCTCAGGGCTAATCTTTGTCAAAAAAAAAAAAGTAAGGAATAATAGGTAATATTTAACAAGTGCTTACTATGCAGCAGGCACTGTTCTAAGTATTTTACCTGGATCAACTGATTTAATCTATATAACAGCCCTACAAAGTATTATTATCCTTATAGTATGGGTGAAGAAACTCAAGCGCAGATAAGTTAAATACTTGCCCAAGTTACAGTTAGTAAGTGGCAGAGCTAGGATTCATACGTAGGCGTCTGGTTATTAAATATTGCTCTAATCACAGGGGTGGGTGGGATTAAGAGAAGGGAAGACCACCATTCTTATAAAGAAGGTCTGAGAATAAAGAAGAGGTAAGCTGCATGATGGAAGCCTCAGTGTGGTGCCCACATGGGAGCTGGTGAGGCCAGCATGGGGCCCAGGCTTCCAGAATTGTTATTGAGAATTCCATGTTTACCATTTCCCAGCAGGTTTACTTTCCTTTGTCCAGTCCTACTTCCTTTTCATGGTTCCTCTTGGCCCCAGCTCCCATAACTTCCCCCCTGAACTCCCTCCCCACTGCAGTTCTGTGTCTGATCCATCCCTCCCTCCTAGGAGCCTGATGCGGGAGGATGGGGGGCCAGGCACTGAGTGTCGCCACCTGCAGCAGCTCCTGGTGAGGCGAGTTGGCGAGATCTGCAGGGAGGTCAACCAGGTAACGGGCAGCCGGGGGCAGGGCTCTCTAGGCATGGGACACAGCCCAGATGAGGAAGGAGTTTCCAGGAACTTGACCTTCATAGGTTATTCATCCATATTGGACATATTCTTTCACCTCTAGTTAGAGGGATGCTATTACTCCCCGGATTCCCTTCAAACTGGGGAACTCTCCTAACCTACCCCAGTACTGTGGGTTATTCTCTCTTACCTTCCCAGTGACTGTGAGATGTTCCTCTCGTTAGAGTGTGCTAGCATTAGGGATGTAACAGTGGCTAAGACACAGGGAAACCCTGAGTCTCTGGAGCTTGTGTTGAGTGGGGGAGATAGACATTGAACAACTAAATTACACACATTATTTCCATTACAATTGTGAAGACTTCTACAGAAGAAAAGTAGAGACTGCTATGAGAGCACATAACAGGAATCTGACTGTCTGAAATGTCAGGGAAAGCTTCTAGGAAGAAGCTGAGACCTGAAGGACAGTGAACAGATTCTGGCAAAGGGGAGGGATGAGTGTTCCTAATTGAGGTTCAGCGCTTAGAGCCCTGAGCCCAGTGACTGTCAGCCACCATCTCTGACCTCCCTGTGATTACTGATGCTCTTTTTGACCTCTGATCCCCAGTGATAATGGGCATTCCCTCTTCACCTCTGATCACCCCTCACCATCACCACCAATTTACGAGGGACTATTTCGGCTCCCTGATAACTTGCTCCTTCTTCCCCAGCGGCTGCTCCTTCAGGACCTTCATGACAGTCACGTGTGTAACTCTCTTCTGGTGGCTGAGAGTGAAGAAGATCTATGGCGCAGTGAGACTCCCTTCCACTCCCGTCAGCGGCTACTCCTGCCCAGTGATGGTGAGGTCCCACACAGGAGCCTCTCTCACAGCGGGTGCTATTAACCTTTCCTTTATCCCAGACTTTGGTGAGGAGCTGAGGGCAGAGTCACCATTACTTAGTCATTGGTGCCAAGTAATACAGGGAGAGTGAGGAGGAGAGGACAGAAAAGGATCGCTGGATTAGGCTGTTGCGAGTTCGTTAGTGACTTTAGTGAGAGTTCTTTCAGTGGAGAGATGGGAATAGAAACCAGAGGAAACTGAAAAGTAAAGGGATGTTAGGTAGGTGGAGCAGAGTAACTGCTCTTTCAAGTAGCTTGGCAGTGAAGGGAGGGACAAACTAGATATGGCAGGAACTAAAGGAAGATGGTGGGCAAGGCTGGAATTTTTAAATAAGGTGGAGACTTGAGCACGTTTATGTTGCACAGGGAAGGAGCCAGTAAAGGGAGAGGTTGAAGAATACAGGCGGGAAGGGGTCATGGGAGGGGCACCGGCTGTGACCTGTCTTTCTAAGGGCATGCCTCTGCCCAGCCCTACTTTGTTTTCCAAAATGACCATCTTTCCCCTGCAGGATAATAGACCGGGCCGAGGAGTCAGGGGGCAGTGTGGACAAGTAGGCCAGTTCACTGGTGAGAGAAGACCAGAGGGGCAGAGCCTGAGGTCTGGTAGAAGGACTTGCCTTGTGATTGCCTGTCCCTCCAGACCCTTTTGAGTTTTCTGAGATGTCTGGTAATGGTTAGGAAACACATGAATCTACTCGAGATGGTAGTTAAGTCTCCACACTTCTCCCTTCTCTTACTCCTGATGACCTCTCACCCCGAACTCAGAGGAAAGCCAAATCATGCCATTCCTTTGCAGTTTTCCCTTCTGGTTCGAAGTAAAATCAGACCACTCCTTATTTTTAATATTCTCAGCAAGTCTGTAGATGAACATTCCTAACAGCTCTAGGAGACTGTGTCCTGGGATGTACTCCATATCAAAGCAGAATCCCCGCAGTTAGTGGACTTCCCAGGGTTTTGAAGGCATCTTCTGCAAATTGAGCATGAGCTAGGACAGCCAAGCACTTTCACTTCAAAATGACTTCCGGCAGCCTGAGATATAAGACCAGTCAGAACCCAGATACGGCCCTTCCTCATTTTTAGTCTCTCCATATGGTTTGGCCGAAACCCTTAGCGACAGCATTCCATTCCAGACTTTGCAGCCTCCTGGGTGTCCTATATACAGCTCACATCTGACAGCAGCTTCTCTGGGAAACCAAATTGCCACCTTTGACCTACAGGAAGCTTCTTTGTCAACCTGGAAACCTGGAAACGGTCAAACAAAGGCATTGGACTGTGGCCATGGGCTCCTGCTTGCTGCCATATCGCCCTTTGGGTTCTTTGGGGTAGCTGTCCTGCAAAGCACAGAACATAGTTTTCCCCGACTCTGCAGCAAGTGTGTGTAAGCAGTTACACCCCTTTTGTTTTAATGGGGTTATTGTTGCAACTCTTAGTGAGTACACAGATGGGGTATATATTATACTATGACAGGGTCAGTGTCTTGGCATTATCTTCAGTATTTTCTCATGCTTTGCCTTTCCTGACACCTCTTCTTAGGTCCTTCTCCACATCTCCCTGAGATAGTTCTGAAAACCTTCATGTTATGACCTGTCTTCCTTAGAGCGTGGTCCTGCCTTCTTACCCCAAATGACCATCTTCCCCCTGCAGGGTAACAGACAGGACTGAGGAATCAGGGGAATGAGGACAAATAGGTCAGTTCACAGGTGAGAAGACTGTGGAGGTGGAGGGTGGTGCCCCTTTGCTGAGCCACTGTGTCCCTTACCCCAGATTATGCTGCTGATGAGAGCTGTGCACCGCGAGGGTACCTAGCAGCCACAATGCAGTTTGTCCCTGGTCATTTCTCCTGTGACGTTGTGTGGGGAACCGTGATTCGAGTCCATTCACGCCTCAAAATGGGGCCCAGCATGGGGGTCTCTCGGGGTATGTGATTGGCCTGAGAGGGTGGATGAAGTGTTGGGGGGGAATCTGGCAAAGAGGGTCTCCAGAGCCCATGTTACTCTCACAGCCATCCAGGCCCTGCGCTCGGTGCTCAATGCCTTCTCTGTGGTGAACCGGAAGAATATGTTTGTTTATCAGGAGCGAGCAACGAAGGCTGTGTACTATCTTCGGTATGTGGGCCCTGGGAAGATGGGATAAAGCATGGGTCAAGGATGGCGCAGGAGGAGGTATGTTCAAAGACCTTGCCACTCTTTCTCAGGCTCCTGGAGACATCCTGCAGTGAGCGGCCATGGGAAGGCGATGCTCTGCCCCCTTCCCTAGCTCTGTCCCGAAGCCAGGAGCCCATCTACTCTGAGGAACCCTTGGTATGTATCACCCCCACACTGATGCCCCTGTGCTCCCCTGATACTTGGCTCAGTGGACCTGGGCCCTGACTGCAGTTACCCTGCAGGGTCCTCGTTCTCCCCTGGACATGGCTTCCAGCCGCGGTTCAGATGCTGCTCGTCCTGTGGGCCAAGTGGACAGACATATCCAGCTGCTGGTGCATGGCGTAGGGCAGGCCGGTGAGGACTCAAGGAGAGGGTAGAAGAGTGACCTGATGAGGTTCCAGAATCCTCTGGGACTTCCTTGGAGCCTTCCAACTCCAGCTCATGTTGTGCTCTCGGCTTCCCTCAAGCAGGAGCTGGATGGGAAAGGACAGGCTCCCGTGGGGTTTAGGGGCTAGTACCTGTAGCTGATTGAAATGCAGCCTGGGGAAGAGGAGACGTTAAAAGTTGACACCCAGGTATCCAGTCTGGGTGACTGTGTGAATAGAAGGTGTCCCACTGGCTGGATACTGGCGGTGGGTTTGGGGTGAAGATACTGGGTTCAGTTTGGGAGTTGTTGAGCCTGGGGTGTCCAGTAGGCAACCAGACTCTCCAGCTAATATTTCTGGCTCAGTTAACGTGTACCAGATGTTGGGCTAAGACTTTTACATATGAGGTAGCTCCTATTATTATTCCCATTGTATGGATGAGGGCACCAAGGCTTTGAGAGTTGACTGACTTGTCCACAGTCACACAATGAGTTGCTTGGCAGAACTAGAACCTAGTGCTGGCTGCCTCCAGTGTGTAGGAGAATGTTTGAGTCTAGGGTTTAAGGACTGATATAGGGGTAGCTGGATTCTCTGCCAGTGTCTCCACCTTCCTACCATGGCTGTGTCAAGGTCCTGAGATCACAGATGAGCTAGTGCGGGTTCTGCGTCGGCGCCTGGATGAGGCCACGCTGGACGTCATCACAGTCATGCTTGTTCGGAACTGCAAGCTGACACCAGCTGATGTGGAGGTCAGCTCCCTCCTAGACTCCACCATCCCTCCATGGCTCAGCCGCAGGCGCATGGACAGTCTCGGCTGGAGCTCTCAGTTCAGCTCTTAACGCCCCTTCCCACTCTCTGCAGTTCATCCAGCCCCCGGGAAGCCTCCCCTCAGAGGTGCTGCATCTGGCCTTACCCGCCTCCTGCAGGCCCTGGCTTCCTGCCCTGGCCTGGTACCTGCGGCAGAACCTGCTCATCTTCCTACACTCTCCCAAGTACACAGACAGCAACAGCCGGAACCACTTCCAGGTGGGATCTCACCCACCTCTCTCCACACCCAGGTGCACCCATGCCCCCCCCACAGACACCTTACAGTGTGACTGTTTTCTACAGGTGCCCCATGTGTTCCTCTGCCTGTGGCCCTGTGTACACTCATGCCCCCCACCTTGATAATCTACCTGGGTCTCCTGTGCTCTCTGTGTGCTTATCCCCCCTCCCAACAGTGGACACCCATCCCCTGATGCCTTTTGTTCATTTTCATGGTCTTAGTGCCCTGTGGCTGTTCTCTCCCCAGCATCCACTCCCACCACACAGTGGCCTCCCCGACTTGGACATCTACTTGTATAACAAGCCTGGTGGACAGGGCACAGGGGGTAAAGGTATGGTGAAGGGCCCAGGCCTATGGCACTGCCAAGTGTGGGAAAGCCTTTTCCTGCCTCGTGGCTGAAAGGGCCTTTCCTAGCCTTGCAGCTGAGGGGGATTTGGGCGGGGTAGGGGTCTGGAAGTCTCAGACCTGAGCGTTCCTGTGGATTTCTACCCAGGGGTTGCCTGCATCACTCTAGCCTTTGTGGATGAGGGTGGGGCTCCCATCTCACTGGCATCATGGCCCCCCCCTTCTCCGGGGCCCCCAGACCTACTGCAAGAGGAGGAATTTGAGCAGCTGACTCAGGTTACTCGCTGCCCAGTTGTGCTGGACAGTTCTTCAGGTAGGACAGCTTGGTCAGATGAGGGGGTGTTTAGTTAATGCTGTGGGAACTAGGGGCACTCCCAAGTGACCCCCATTCTTTCCTCCAGCTCAGAATGGGGCCCCACGGCTTCGATTAGATGTGTGGGAAAAGGGGAACATCAGTATTGTGCAGCTGGAGGAGAAGCTCCGGGGGGCAGCTCGCCAGGCCCTGGCTGATGCCATCATGGAACTGCAGCTGCTGCCAGCCTCGCTGTGTACAGAGGACACCTCACCAGGTATGCGGGGTCCAGGTCACACATCCAGGCAAGACAGTTTTTCTTTCAACTGAGGGTGTAGAGGTAGGGGTCTAGGAATATATCACAGAGTCCCCATCTGACATACACATTCACGACTGTCCATTACCTTCCCTGCCTCAGCAAGGTGACAGCCAGCAGAAATGTGCACATGCAGTTGGTCACCCGCTTGAGAGGGATATATCCTCAGAAACTAACTTCACACACACACATGCAGCCATGCACTATCAATTGCATATACTGTCATTCACTAACAGGTGGAGTTAGGTGGCAGGTCACTCTCATACCAGTCTTGGGGCTAGGTTGTCTGGAATGGGGATTGATGGTTAGTGATGGGAGTCTGTGATGTCTGGTGCTTACAGGAAGTCTCAGAAGCGGGTCGCTGGAAACCAAGAGCCCTGCAGGCCGAGCTAGCACCTTTCCCCCTGGCCCTGGCCCTGGGGAACCTGTGACTCCCCCCAGCAAAGCTGGCCGGCGTAGCTTCTGGGATATGCTGGTAATGGGAGAATGGGAGGAAGTGGTGAAGTTGGCCTCTACCTTCTTGCCTGCCTCCCAGCTCCCCCTACACTCTCCCCTACAGGCCTTGCCCCAGATCTTGTGTTACATAAAACTACTCTGTCCCTTGGATAGGAGTTGTCAGAATGTGGCAAGTTCTCACTGATGTAGAGAAAGCGTCAGCTTATTAAGCACCTTCACGTCCCCTTTTCTCGTTGCATCCTCATAGCAGCCCACAAGTTAAACAGGGCTTTTCCCAGTGAGGCAGCTGAGGCTCGGGAAGGTTAAATAGCCTGCCCAAACCTGAGTAGTCAGCCTCCAGTGAAGCCCGGGCATGAACCCGGGCCTCCAAAATCCTCCAGGCTCTTGTTGCCGTTCCACGATGCCTCCATCTTCCACCCCTTCTGCCTTCCCAGTAGCCTCTCCTCATTCACTGCATTGCCCCCAGAGTAAAACAGAATGTGGGGACTTGGGTTCCCCCAAAACAACTGATGACATTGTCCTGGATCGGCCAGAAGACACTCGAGGCCGGAGGCGTCACAAAACTGAAAGTGTTCGGACTCCTGGTGGAACTGAGCGGGCACCAGGCACGGATCCTGGAGCCCAGAGGCAAAGGTATGTGTGTGTGTTGTGGTATTGTGTCGTGGGGGGTTGTGATGTGAAGTCACAGGTCGATATTGGGTTTGTGTAAACAGACATGTCACGTACGGGTGTGAGGTTCTTACTCCTGTGTCTTCAGGCGCCGGACCACACAGCTAGAGGAGGGCGAGGTGGGGACACTGCAGCCTGTGTTTGCTCGTGTCACTCAGCGCTGGATGGAGTTTATGGCTCAGATTGGTGAGACCTCAGCCCCTCTCTCCCATCCTCAGTCCCATGGCCTGGTCTCTGTCCCACTGTGACGTCTCTGCCCTGGATCCAGGTTGTGCCTCAGTGTCCAGGATCTCTACCCACATGGTGTCCCGGTTCCTCCTTCCATCCATCCTGTCTGAGTTCACTGCTCTGGTCACCTCAATGGCTGGAGACACCAGTGTCCGTGTCTTTGAGCAGCATTTGTGAGTTTGGGGTCTCATGGAGACTGAGCTAGGAAAGGTGGGGGCCTAGGCCCAGGGAGGTGATGGCCAAGGAGTGGGACCATGGGTGGTCTACTTTCTGTCTGTCCTTCCCTCCCACTAGGGGTTCAGAGCCAGAGAACTTTAGTCCTTGTTCCCTTGGACAACTGGGCCCAAGTCCCCGCCCAGCGGTTGAGCGGCATCTGCTGCTTCTGGGAAGGAATTTCTTGCAGTGGAGGAGACCAACCCAGCAGGGTGAGGGCATGGCCTCGGGGAGGGCGTGTTCAGAGTGACTGATAATGCAGTCTCTGACCCTGCAGGGGGGAGGGTGGGATGGAGCGGGATCTGCCCCCACACCCCCGTTTTGCCCCTCTTCCACCCTGTAGCTGCCAAAGCCGTGCAGCGCTTCGAGCCAGGAGGCGACGGGAGTTCAGGCCGAAATGCTCCCCGGCAGAGGTTCTTGCTGCTGGAGGTCTTGGACAAGAAGGTAGATGTGGGGCCAGAGGCTGGGTGGGAGAAGGGATTCTGTCATCCCACTGACTCTGGCCCCTGACTTCCAGCTTCAGCTGCTGACCTACAACTGGGCTCCAGACCTGGGGGCGGCATTGGGCCGAGCGCTGGTTCGCCTCGTGCAGTGGCAGAATGCGCGTGCCCATCTCATCTTCTGCCTCCTCAGTCAGAAGCTTGGACTTTTCCATCATTATGGCCAGTTGGACTTCCCAGTGCGGGATGAAAAGGTGCTCCCTCCTCTAGTTCTGGCTCCTGAGGGGTCAGTTAAAGGAAGTATCAGCTCAGAAGCAGGGGAAAGGGACAGACTGAGGGCAGAGGTAGTGGGGAGGGAGAGTCAGAGAGGAGGCCAGAGGGTGGGAGAGAGGGTCTGAGGGCAAAGGCCATGAACACATTGTGAGGCTCCATCTCTCTCAGGAGCCAAACCCATTCCTACTGCCAACCATGGAAGCAGAGACCCTCATCCGGAGTGCAAGCCCCCCACTAAGCCGTGAGCAGGGCCGGCTGAGTGGATCGTCTCGGGGTGGGGGTCCCCATCCTCTGGACACATTCCCCTTTGATGAGGCCCTGAGGGATATCACGGCTGCACGCCCCAGCTCCTCGCTCGGCCCTGTACCAAGACCCCCTGATCCTGTCACCTATCATGGACAACAGTTCCTAGAGATCAAGATGACAGAGCGCAGAGGTGAGGGCACTGAGCCAGGCAGTGGGCAGGGGCAATCTGTGGAGTCTGGGAGGGAGAGGGGTGGCAGCTCCTGGGGCCTCTACTAATGTCTCCAACCCCCAGAGCTGGAGCGCCAGATGAAGATGGAGAACTTGTTTGTAACCTGGCAGCAGCGTTCCACCCCAGCCAGTATGCCCATCAGTGTGAGTGACCCAAATCCATGTTCTCCAGGAGCATCCTGTGACCCTTCCCTGGCCACCACTCTAGTCCTCACTGCCCATTTCCCCAGGCTGGGGAGCTGGAGACCCTGAAGCAGTCCTCTCGTCTGGTGCATTACTGCGCAACAGCCCTGCTCTTCGACCCGGCTGCCTGGCTGCATGAGCCCCCAGAGACCTCTGGGCCCCCTGAGGGGCAGGTGAGGCTCAAGACTCCAGGATTTCTCCCATGGGACCTCCCTTTACCCCACAGTGACCTCTGTTCCTCCACCCCCAGTAGAGTGGATGACAGTGGGTAGAGCCTTCCTTAATCTCCACTCCCACAGCGGCGCCATCGCCCCGAGTCAGGGTCTGGGAGCCGCGAGGCACCGGCAAGCTGTGAATCCTCGGATGTGCCTCCGCCCAGCGCCCGTGAGGAGCCTTGGCTGAAGGAACTGAGCTTGGCTTTCCTGCAGCAGTATGTGCAGTATCTGCAGAGCATGGGCTTCGTGCTGGTGCCATTGCGGCCCCCCTCACCCGCCCGCAGGTGAGCCCACCTCGTCCTTGCCACATCTTCTCCTCCACTGCATTTGCGGCCCCACACACCCTTCCTTTGGCCCATTTGGACAACTCGAGCCTTGTGCCTCTTCTTCCCACTGGGCCAGCATGCATACAGGAGGATCTTGGACACTTTCAGGCAGCCTTCACACATGTCCTATAAACCTCACACAGCTTGTAGAACTCATGGCCACATTCACACACGGAACTATGGACATTTTCACAGAGCTCATGCCCACGTACATCTGTGCTTACATGCTGGTATACCTCCACACACGTGAATCTTGTACGTGCTCCTAAGCTTCTGGACCTGGCTCTTAATGATTGCTGTCCTGGCCACCCCACTGACCTCTCCTGAGATTTTACACGGTTCCTGGCCCGGAAAGTCCTTTTCTTGCCAAGGTTAGTCTCTTTTCTTACCAAGGCCCCCTGCACTGGGCCTACTTGCGTCACTGTCCTCCAGCCTGTTCTTGGTCATGTTCAGTTGCTGGCCAGTGATGAGAGGTCTGAGTCTTGGGAAGTAGACAGCCCCTCTGTCACTACCTTCCATCTCTCCAGAGCCTGTGAGAACTACACAGCCACCCTTCCCATCCTGTGTCAAACCCCAAAGTCCCTTCTCTGTGGCCTCTGCTCTGTGCTCCTCTCAACCCCTGAGCCTCTGTGTTCTGTGTTCCCAGCCCCTTCCCAGCGACTGTATGGGAAAATATTGGTTCACAGTCTACAGTTACTTTCATGTCTCCAGATTTGTGAGTTAATTTTCTCCCTCCTCTCTATTTTCAGTTTGATACCTTTTCAAGCTAGTAATTGTGAATTGTACTTCCTTACTCAAGACACCACCTTGGCCCCGAAAGTCAGTTCCAACTCCATAACATTTTTGTCACCATCTCTCCACCTTTTCCAGGCCTTAGGAAGAGAGGACAGGCCTCCATTTCCAGGACCCCACCCCTCTCATTTCTCAGGGACAGACCCCAAGCTGTAGGAGCTCCTCTGAGAGACTTAGTTTCCATACTTGCCATTCAGTTATATTCTTCCCAGAAATCTGAATTCCTTTTTAAAACAAAAGACACTAGGTTAAAAAGTTTGTTTCTAGAGCAAAACTTAAAGTGGAGCCTTCCTTTCTCACCAGCATTAACTATCACCAATCACTAGTCAGGTCTCCTCCCATTTTCCTTGAGGATTAAATGAGACATTTCTTGTCACAGAGGCTCTGAACCACTAGCAAGCGTCCTGGCGGTTACAGCTCCTGAGTGTAAGGAGTGCGGCTCACTGGCCCTTTCTGTTTCGTCCTTGGTCACAGTGCCCTCCCTGCTCTCTTCTCCCCTGGCCTCTGAGTCGAGAAATGAAGAGCAGGGGCCTGTGGAATGCTGCGACTGCCATCCCCCAGGCCAAAGAGGAAAGTACCTGTGCAGGACATTAGGCATCTCCTTCAGTTTTCCTAATGAAATTTTAGACATCCATCCCCCTCTCCCTCCCCACTGCCCCCAGTAAGCAGACCTCTCCCGTCCCCTCGTGGGTATCTCCCCATAGTCACAGCAGCCTCTCCAGCCCCACCCTCATCCTCTCACTGGTGGAGAGGCCTGGCATTGCCCACTTCCCCTTAAAGCAGCAGCTGCTGTGAAGAGAGCCCTGCCCTGCAGTCTGGACCTGGACTCTAGTCCTAGCCTTGCCATCTACTCACCCTGGGACCCCGAGCAGGTCCTTCCCCTCTCCGAGCCTGTCTCTTCTTGTGCAAAACAATTTCACGTGCAATGGATTCTGGGTCTGATAGCCGTAATCCTCCACTCCACTGGCCTGCCTCATCCTCTTGCCCCTCTTTCTTTTCTGCAGCACCAGCCGGCTGCGGGCCATGGCTATCCTTGGAACAGATGGTCGGGGCTCCTTCTCCTGTCCTAAAACCAAGACTGATGGGAGCCCCAAGGTAACATGTTGTCATGTACCTTCCCTGACAGTGAAATCAATGATGCCCCAGACACCAGTGTCACTGAGCCTGAATGATTTTCCTGAGTTATTACCCTGGGTAATGACTGAAGTTGTTGATCCCACCCTGACACCATTAAAGTCACTGACCCAAGGGACTGCTTCCCTGCTGGTCTGAGGCTGGGTGAACCCCCAGTCCTTGCCCCTGAACCCCAGTCTTTTTCCTTTCTTCAGAGCACTGGCTCCCCAGTCACCACCTACCACCTTCAGCGGGCACTGCCTGGGGGCATCATCCTCATGGAGCTCGCTTTCCAGGTGAGCAGGAGGAATACTGGGTGGGGAGCCAGACCCATCTGTCTCTTGCCTTCCTGACCTCATCTTCATGCTCTCTCTAGGGCTGTTACTTCTGTGTCAAACAGTTTGCCCTGGAATGTTCCCGAATCCCCATGGGGCAAGCTGTCAACTCTCAGGTATGTGGTAGGGACAGAGGAATATGGGGCCTCAGGCATAGTGCATCCCCAGTGTGCTATGGCCAGTAAGAGTAATGCATGGGCAGTCTGGCCCAGTGATGATCTGATGCTCTGGGCTGGCTAGGTCAGTGATCAGTCTGGTGCCGTGACTGGACCATCCACCAGACTCACTCTGCAGGCAGTCCAGAGCTGTATTCACTCTGCAGGTGATCCAGAACTATATTCAACTGTAGCAAGAGGGCAGAAGGCAGTCCAGCGCAGTGACTGGTCTGGCCTGTGGTCATTCTGGCGCTGACAGCCTGGTGCTGTGGTCGATCCAGAACTGTAGATGTTAGACAGTGAGGAGATTTGAGTGTAGTGGGTAATCTGACACATGGGTAGGTCGGTGCCCTGGGGAGTCCTGGCCTAATCTAGAGCTGTGGACAGCCTGGCATTGTCAGCATAGTCACTAACACTTAGAGAACGTGGACTAGGGTTCCCACCCACACAGCACACTGCGGTCACTTCATTGTTATTTGTGTCCCTCACTGTCTGCCTCAAGGCAGGGCCTCTGTACCCTGTGAGGGCTCAGCACTCAGAGTGCTCAGGATGGGTCAGAGGACCAAGTGAGGTCAGGGACCTGTGGCCCCCTGTGTTGAGGTAGTTCCACTCCTTCAGGTTGCAGGCATGTTAAGCGGGGGCCTATGTCTTCCTTGTGCCTCACATTTAGTTTCTGAAAGATCAGGATCTGCCTGGGCCTCGTGTGTCGCCCTCCAGTACAGACAACACAGACTCCTCTCATCTAGACAGCTCATACTCAGCCCACAGATGGTTGCCTTTGACTTGCGTCTCGATACCTAGTCTAGTCATCACAGGATAATGTGATCCAGAAAAGCTTGGTGACATTATGTGCAGGAACCTTCCTGGGCCAGAGTGCTCAGAAGGGAGGGAAGGACCCACCCCAACTACTCTCTTGAGCTTCCTGAAGTCCTGGCTTCCCTGCCCCCTGATCTCCATCCAGTGTGGCTCTCTCTGCCCCTGCTTATCTAATCTCTAACCCGACTTAGATTTCTAAATGGCTTCATTATTGCTATTGTTTATTAAGTCCTTAGTATATATACCAAACGAAGAGGAGAGTTCTCCTCTTGTTCAGATAAGGAAACAGAGGTTCATGGAGGTTAAGTAATTTGCCCCAGGCCACACAGCAAGTCGGTGGCAGTACTGGGCTCTGACTCTGAGCTCCTCCTTGGTCACTGCAGTTTATCACACTGCCTCAAACTTTCTGAAGACCTTTACTTGATCTCCTGGTAGATGAGGAAACTGAAGCTGCAGGATTGTGACTTACCCAAGGTCATGCAGCTATTCTGCCTCCTAGGCTATCACTTCTTCTCCAGTCATTTATTACTTTTCCTATTAACCCCAATCCCCAGTGCATGTATATTCTGCCATTCAGCACCACAGATCCAATGTTAACACAGTTTCAGAAATGGTCATTTCCACCAAGAGAAGCACCAGCTCTGTGTCTCTGCCTTCCCTTCTTTCTCCATCAGTGGTTCATTCAGGCATTCACTCACAGATCAGTTAGAGGAGGCCCACGCTGGCCTAGCCTTGGCAGATGAAGCTTTACACAAGAGTAGGAGTTAGCCAGATTTAGGGATCAGGAAGAGCAGTGTTCCAGGCAAAGAGAAGAGCAGGTACGAAAGCATAGAGAGAATATGTGATATACTTGGAAGAGTGAGCAGCTTGATGGGAAGATAAGTTGGAGAGATGGGGAGGGGCCAGGAAAAACTTTCTATAGAAGTAATTACACACCTGGCCTACCCTGACCACCTATTTAAAACTACATCTGCTTTATTCCTGGATTTGCCATAACACCATCTCCTAACATACTATGTACTCAGTTACTCTAATGTTTGTTGTCTCATCTCCCCACCACTAGAATGTAAGGGGTTCATTTCTCTTCCCAGTGTATCCCAGCATCTAGAACAGCACCAGGTAGGCACGTGGTAGGCACTCAGCAAGTATCTGTGGCATCGATGAATCTGTGCCAGACTTTAGTGCAGTCTGGGATACAGAATAACAAGGCCCATCTCTGAAGATGGTCAGTTTCATGTAAACAGAGAGTTACAGTACAGTATAAAAAAAGAATATAGGGGCCGGCCCGGTGGTGCAGCGGTTAAGTTCGCACGTTCTGCTTCTCGGCGGCCCAGGGTTCGCTGGTTCGGATCCCGGGTGCGGACATGGCACCACTTGGCAAAAGCCACGCTGTGCTAGGCGTCCCACGTATAAGGTAGAGGAAGATGGGCATGGATGTCAGCTCAGGGCCAGTCTTCCTCAGCAAAAAGAGGAGGATTGGCAGTAGTTAGCTCAGGGCTAATCTTCCTCAAAAAAAAAAAAAAATATATATATATATAATGATGAAGGCTTCCACAGAAGCTATCCTGGCAGAGGGGGCCCACAGCAACAGGGTGGATCTTGAGCTGCCTTTTCCCATGCAGGAGGGAGGGAAATAGGAATGTGCTGCTAGTTCCTAACCCAGTCCCCTGCTGCCACCTCCCCAGCTGTCCATGCTCTTCACGGAGGAGTGTGACAGGGTGCGGGACCTGATGCACGTGCACTCATTCAGCTATGACTTCCACCTGCGCCTGGTGCACCAGCACGTGCTGGGCGCCCACCTGGTGCTGCGGCACGGCTACCACCTCACCACCTTCCTGCGACACTTCCTGGCCCACCACCCTGATGGGCCCCACTTCGGCCGCAATCACATTTACCAAGGTTGGTGCCCAGGGGCAAGCCAGTGAACCAGAAAAAGAACAGGCCACACAGTGTCTCCAAGCCACGGCTGGTGGGCCCACTTTCCTGGGCCCAGATCTTACCCCTGCATCTCCTGTCCCATATTATCAAGTCACTTCATGTCACTTGGACCCTGTCCCCATGTCTCTGTCTTAAGTTCTTCACAGTTGTTTCATTTCAGAATTTAGATCCTATGTCATGTGGACTCCGCCCTCTGTCTGTCCTGAGCCATTTTTGTCCCATCTCGATGTTCCACAGGAACACAGGAGCTCCCCAGAAAGGCTGAGCCAGTCTGCCTGTCACTCAGAGCCTTAAGGACTTCTATCCCCCCACCCACCAGATCAGTGTGTCTAACCCGGGCTCAGTGTCTCCTGTAACTTGCCCCTCAGGGACACTGGAGCTCCCCACACCACTCATTGCTGCCCACCAGCTGTACAACTACGTGGCTGACCATGCCAGCTCCTACCACATGAAACCATTGAGGATGGCCCGGCCAGGGGGCCCGGAACATAATGAATATGCACTGGTGTCAGCATGGCACAGGTAAGGCACAGAGGTCAGCGTGCACTCTGGTGAAGCTGAGGTCAGGGCCTCACATCCTTGCAGTGGGGAGAGCCATGTTTTCTTGGCCAGAAAGGATGGGTTGGCTTCATTAGAACCTCAGGGTTGACATCTCTCCCATCCCCACCGCATAGCTCTGGCTCCTACCTGGACTCTGAGGGACTTCGTCACCAGGATGATTTTGATGTCTCTCTGCTCGTCTGTCACTGTGCTGCACCTTTTGAGGAGCAAGGAGAGGCCGAGCGGCATGTTCTACGGTCAGCAGATCCCCTGCCTTGACTGTGCCCATTGCCCAGCCTCCCCCCTGCTCTGGCCACGTGTCTCTCCTGCTGTGACCACATCTGTGTCTGCCTCCTCACCCCAGGCTGCAGTTCTTCGTGGTGCTCACTAGCCAACGAGAGCTCTTCCCCAGACTCACTGCCGACCTGCGCCGGTTCCGGAAGCCACCCAGACTGCCTCCGGAGCCAGAGACTCCTGGGAGCTCAGCTGGTAGCCCTGGGGAGGCTTCAGGGGTTGTTCTGGCCCCTGGACCAGCTCCCCAATTCCCCCCACTGGCTGCAGAGGTGGGCGTGGCACGGGCACGGCTGGCTCAGCTGGTGAGGCTGGCTGGAGGGCACTGCCGTCGGGACACCCTCTGGAAGCGCCTCTTCTTGCTAGAGCCGCCAGGGCCTGACCGGCTGCGACTAGGGGGGCGCTTGGCCCTGGCCGAGCTGGAGGAGCTCCTGGAAGCAGTCCATGCCAAATCCATTGGGGACATTGACCCCCAGCTGGTAAGGGCCTGTGCGTTCCAGAAGGGGCTGGGATGGATGCTAGGAATTCTGTGAGCAGCCAGGGTAGAGGATGCAGGGGTCTCAGAGGTGGCTCTGGGACAGCAGATCCAAGCCTGTGGACCCTCCCCCAGGACTGCTTCCTGTCTATGACGGTCTCCTGGTACCAGAGCCTGATCAAGGTTCTCCTAAGCCGCTTTCCCCAGAGCTGTCGCCATTTCCAGAGCCCAGACTTGGGAACTCAGTACCTGGTAAGTACCCTTGACCCTCCTCTGAAAGGGGAGACCCAGCAGAAAGTCTCATCAGAAAGAAGACAGGTGTCCCCCTCAAGGAATCTAGCCTGTCCAAACAGGCTCTGCTCTGGAGGGAGGCCTAGATGAAACAGGCCTACAGTACATGCGAAACCCTCTGAGCACTGAGCACCAAGCACAGTGTGTGATTCACTGAGAACAACCTAGACTGTGCCCTCAGAGGCTCACAGAAACACGAACCTTGGCTAGAGATCTGAGGGCCAACCTCCAGAACCTCATCAGTAGCTGGCTTAGAGGCTGCAGTCCCAGAAAGGACCTCTTGGGCTTTAAAGCCTTGTTATCCAAAGTGTGGTCCTCACACCAGCAGCATCAGCCTCCCACCTGGGAGCTTGCCGAATGCAGACTCTCAGGCCCCACTCCACCTACAGTCGCAGAACCTGCCTTTAGCCAGATTCCCCAGCAGATTAGAGGTTGAAAGCAGTGCTGGGCATGAATGTGGGGATTAAGAGACTACAGAGATGGGCCCAGGGAGAACGGGAGTTCAGGAGAGGAGTCATCCAAGAGAAGACTTCAGAGGAAGAAGTAGGAGTTGGTCCGTGGTGAGGGGTCCTGCAACATAGTGCTTGTGGGGACAGTCAGTTTCAAGGTTTTTCAAGGGTCAAGCTGTAGGCGGGTGGGAGCAGATGGGGGTGCTCTGTGGGCAGTGGGAATGCTAAAGCAGGAGTGGTTTGGGGGAAGGGCGATGAGTTGAGTCTGAGGTCCATGAGGACCTTCCAGGGCCACGGTCTAGAATGTAGATGGCCATCAAGATTGGAGCTCAGGAGAGAGAGATTTAGGCAGCATCTATATGAACAGGTGGTCACTGAAGCCCTGGGAGAAGAAATCGCCCAGGGAGAGATCACAGAGCTGAGCATCAGGACAGACAGACAAGGGGACAGTCCCAGGGGAGGTCAGAGAGCTACAACACCCAGGACAGGACAGGCCGTGTCAAAGGTAGAGAACTCTCCATTGATGGGCTTCAGAGTGCCAGCTTTGTGTGGGCCCTCTAGATGAATCTCAGGAACCTTCCAATCAAGCCCCAACCCCTCATTCTGATGAGGCTGGACAGGCCGACCAGGAGCCAGCAAGGATGAGGACTGAGGTTCGATTTGGAGATGAAGTTCTGGGTGACCGTGGAGTGCAGGTGGGGTCAGGTGTGGTGATGGAAGCTGGCGTTCCTCAGACTGGTCCCACTTCCAGGATGCCCTCAAGGAGGGACCATGCCTCCTCAGGTGAGACAAACCTCACTCCCTGTCTCATTTTGTCTTTTCTGCAGGTTGTGCTGAATCAGAAGTTCACTGACTGTTTCGTGCTAGTGTTTCTGGATTCCCACTTGGGAAAGACGGTGAGAATGGGGGTAAGGGGCTTGGTGTCAGCATAGTGGGAGGCTGTACTCGAAATGCTCACTCCAGAGCCTGCTGAGGTTGGGGTGCCTACCCTCCCTCCTCTTACCACTGCACCCCCACTGTGTTGCCCACAGTCTCTGACAGTGGTTTTCCGAGAGCCCTTCCCGGTACAGCCCCAGGACAGCGAGAGCCCACCTGCCCAGCTGGTCTCCACCTACCACCACCTTGAGTCCGTCATCAACACAGCCTGTTTCACCCTGTGGACCCGGCTCCTCTGAGGGACAGACAGACCACTGAATGTCACTGTTCCTCGAATCATGGATCTATAAAATTGCCTACTTGAAGCAGGACTGACCAGCCCTTCTGGGCCCCAGGGCAAGCCCGGACACCGAGAGACACCAGAGGTTTTGTACATATATCTTGGGAGTCTGTAGCCCCAGCCTGGAAGCAGGGGCTGCGCTCCCTAAACACTCACAGCCACTGACCAGCCCAACTCCCTGAGGTGCCCGTCTCCTGTCAGGCCCCTGGGCCCTTCCAGAAGGGGGCTCCTCCTTCCTGCTCACCTGGTGGAGTCCAGGAATTCTTTGTCCCAGGTGGCAAGCACTCACCCCTTAGAGCTCCTCTGCCTGAATCCTGCCTCCACATCTTTGATTGCTGTCAGCCACCTGCCTCCTTCCACTCCCCATCTTGAGCCCTCTAGTCTTCATTTCCCACTGGGACATCACTGCTGGACATTGCCATTGAGATGAGACACCTTGGTTCCAATCCCAGCCCTGCTTCTGAAGCACCTGTGACCACAGGCAAATCCCTTTGCTCTCACACTTTTCGTTCCTCATCTGTACCTGAGGAGGTGGGCTCAAAAGCTGTCCCCTCTCCACAGCAACACTGGCACAGACTGGAGGACTTGAGCATGAGCTGTATGTCCCTTCTCAACAGGAGGGAAGTGACCCAGAGAAACTGAAGGTTTAGACACTGTGTGTCCCCACCCCCAATAACATACACATATGAAATGTTCAGCAGGCTGTCTTTAATTCAGAGGAGACTCAGGATGCTCACTCACTGTCCCAGAGAGGCATGTGGGTGGAGTGCGGGCCCTTACTGGCCAGCCTGGGGGTGGCCCCGCCTATCCCAGTAGGAACGGAGCCAACTCAAGCCTTCTACCGTGTCTCCTGAGGGGAGGGGGAAGGCATCGGCATCTCAACCCATGAGGAGAAAAACAGCCCCCGTCCCTCCAGAGCTCCCTTCCCCAGGGGCAAGCCTGGAGCCTCAGCCCACCCCTCACCTTGAGGCTGGTACTCGCAGCCTACAAAGCCTTTGTAACCTTCATCTTCCAGCAGTTGGAATAGATAAGGGAAGTTCAGCTCTCCGGGGCTGCTAGGCTCCCCCCGGCCCGGGACCTGTGCCACCTGCACATGCCCTGGGAACAGATTGGGGTGGGTGTGGGGCCCAGGCTCCTGCTGAGGCCTGAGGGACAGATGCGGGGGCGGGGGGGGGGGGGGGTTGCGGCGAAAGAGTGGGAGGACAGAGGAAGTAGCACAGCAGGCTGGGAAGGAGCAAAGAAAGGACCCCTCTCACCAACGATGGGCAGGAACTCCCGGATGTTTCCTGTCAGGTTCCCATCCATGATCTGCCAGTGGAATACGTCCTGGGGCAGAGACTGCCACAGTCAGAGACCCTCAGGCCCCACCTTTCTCCCCAGGTTTGAGAACTCCCTTTCTTCCACTTACCATTTGTAACTGGAGGTTGGGTCTTCCCACCTTCTGCAAGATGGCTGCCGCTGGGAGAGAAACCGGGGAGGGGGCCATGAGATTCAAGGAGAGCGCAAGAATCAAAGGGACAGGAGGCGCACGGGCTGAGGGTCCTACCCTGCTGGGGCGTATCCAGGAAGTACTGGGGGTCAGTGAGGCGGGTGTTAATGGGCTCCAGCAGTCCCACGAGGTTCTCCTAGCACCATGGTGCATCTGTGAGTACAGCTCTTCCCCGGGCTTGTCCCCCATTAGTCACTGGTCAAGTGGCTCACCAGTCCCTCTGACCTAGGCCCAGCACCCAGCCTTGTGCTTCGTTGCTCTCCCCACTGTGTACCCTTTTTGCACACACACACATTCATCTAAGTGTGTGTCTAGATGTGTTTTCGCTGCCTCACCTGAGCCAAAACCCCAGCTGCATGCCTCAGGTTCTCCAGAAAAACTGTCTCCATTTCACCCCTGACTGCTGCTCGGTCAGCCCCCTGGGGTACTCGGCCGGCCATCAGGTGAATCCTGTGGGGAAATGGGACTGGAGGGGGCTGTGGAGTCCATCCTTAGAAGCCTGGGCCTTCACTCTCTCTGCTCCCTCTGTGCCCCTCCTCCAGCTGCCCTCTGGCCATGCCAGCCCTGCCCTCTCCCAGGGCTCAAGTCCCTACCACCTGGCCGTAATGCTCAGGCTTCCCAGTGCCCTCAGACACTTCTGCGTCAGCCCAAGGCCAGGCCCTTTCCCAGATCCCTTCGGAGGTCAACCCATCCTCCTGCCTCGGAGACCTCAGTCCCTCACTTAGCTCCCCCTGTACTTTCAGCCTCTCCTTTTCCATGGCCCTTCTCAGCCTAAGACATGTCTAAGTCTCACCTTTTAAAAAATTATGTGTCCCTTCCCCTTCTCAAGAATTCCAGGCTGCTTGTCTCTACTCCTTGCATCTGTTTTCCTCGCTCCCCCCACCCCCACCAGTAATGACCCCTTGTTGCTGGTTCCTTCTCAGATTTTCCCTCTGCACAATTTGACATTTATTTGATCAGCTGCACTTGAAGCCTTCCACCTTCTCCTGTCACCACCCAATCTTTCTCAGCCACATCCAATATCTCCGGCTTCACAAACCGCTGGACACACCCAGCCTCCTCTTGCCTCTGGTTACTGCATCCTTGCCTAGAAGGATGGAAGAAAATGTCCACTCCTTCAAGATCCAGTTCAACATCACTACCTGTGAGAAGCTTTCTGTGATCCCAGAGTTACTGCTCTGCTCCCACAGCCTCCTTGAATTGACCTGTCCTCAAACGGATCCCTCCGTATGTTTACTTTGCTATCTCCCCGGTCAGGCTGAGCTCCCAGCATGGGATCCCAGCGTGGGATGAGCATGAAAGAGTTGCAAACTGAGAATGACACCAGTTTGAGATTAGCATGAAAGAGGTGCAAACTGTGAGAATGACACACTGACAGACAAACTACAAAAGGCAATTTTACAAACGACCACGACTGGAGGCGTGGAGAAGGGCCAGTGCGCTCAGACTCCCGAGCCTCTCAGACCTGGCGTCCTCTCCTCCCAGACCCCGAACGAACGTGCGGCAGGGTCTTGGGGCACAGAGGGGGAGGAGGGTAGGATACCTGGGACAGCCCAGAGCCTTGGCGTACAGCACAGCCTGCTCCAGCCCCTCTCGGAAGGCCGCCTGCCTCCCGGGAACGGCCCCCAGCCCCATCTCCCCCTTCTCTCGGTCTCCTGCGGAGAGAACGGGCCTCAGCCCCAAGCTCGGGCACCCGGCCCTCCCCGCCCCAGCCCCGGGCCCCGCGGCGCACCCGGGGGCGTGTTGATCAGCACCAGCTGCAGCCCCGCTTCTCGCGCCGCGCGCGCCAGCGCCTCCGGCGGCTCCGCGTACGGCCAGCCGACCTCGGCCGCCCGGAAGCCCGAGCTGCCTGCGGCCCGGAGCCGGGCGGGGAGGCCGGGGAGCTCGGGGAACAGCCACGACACATTGGCCGAGAAGCGCAGCGGCGCCATGGCCGGCCGGGAGCAGAAGCACGGGGCAGAGTCCGGGGCGGAAGCGGCGGGGCGCCTGGCAGGGCGCGTCGGAGAGGGCGGGTCCGGGAGGGCGGGTCCGGGAGGGCGCGTCGGGCGGGGCTCGTCCCAGGAGGGCCCGCGGAGGAGCCCGGCCCCGCCCGAGCGGGGGCGCGCTGGCGCCGCGAGCCGGGCCAAGAGCTCTCTGTGCCGGCCTTTTTTGATTAGGAAAGCAGTGTGTTGTAAAAACCGTGGACGGTCCAGAAAAGTGGAGTGTCTCAAGGCAGGCGGAAGAGACGCGCGGGCGGAGGCGAGCGGGCGGGGAGAGGGCGGCGCGGCGGGGGCCCCGCGTCCTGGGACTGAGAGCCGGGGGAGGGGGCAAGAGAGGGCCAGGCCGTCTCGAGGGCCCAGTTAAAATGAAGGGACGTGGGCTTTAAGAAATACTTGGTATTTTCCCTCATTATAAAAATATCTGCTCATTATGGAACATTTGAAAGCCGTATGACAAAATAAGGAACATACAAACCACCGGTTATCCCACCCCTCTCCCGTTAACTTTCCCTTACAATTGAAAAATAAACGTGCAGTTTTTTCTTCGAAAATTCTCATCATACTGTATATGCGGTTTTATGGCCTGCTTTTTCACTTACTATTATTTTGTGAACATTTCCCCGTGTTCTTCAATATTCTGCAAAGTCATTGCATTAGCTGCTCATTGTTCCGTACCTAGGCAGCCCAGAATTTATCACACTACCCTGTGGGTGAACATTAGGGTTTTTCAGCATTTGTGTGTGTGTATGTGTGTGTGCTATGAAAGCACTTTAGTGCACGTCTAGCCCCGTCTCTGACTCGTTTTCTTGGGTTTCTTTTGTAAAGCTGTCCATCACAGAGTTCACCTGTCCAAAGTCCTTGACAAGGAAAACTGCCCCCACCCCTGCTCTTCACGCTGAGCGGCAGTGGGCTGGCTGTCCCCTCTTACCCAAGCTGATTGGACCACGGAAGGACATCTGACCCAAGGGCAGCCAATCCATTGACTGGCCGAGGACCGATTCCTTCCCTAGTCTGGAAAGAAGATCTAGCCAATCAGGTTCCCTGTCTCAGGAGTTCAAACAAGGAAACGGTGGGAGAGTCCAGTAAGAGGTGGTCTTGCCGGAAGGTGACTGTGGCAGTAGAAACCAAAGCAGGAGCCAGGTGGTAAAGAAAACTCAGAGCAAAGAGGAGGTAACTGCGTTCTATGAGTAGAGGCAGCACGTTGCGAAAACGGTGCTGTTGAGTTTCCAGGGCTGGCCAAGCCCACAGCTGCTGCCAGGTCTGAGCTTCCCCAGGCTGGGATGTTTAGACCTTCCTGGATTTCTGCGTCTGCAGCGTCTTAGTGTTTCTTGAGGTAATTCAATGAATTAATTTCATCCACAATAACCTAACTGACTGGGCAGGTTCCTAAGGTTGGAATTACATGATGAAAAAATAGGAACATGTTTAAGTTCTTGGTGACTGTGCTCAATTGCTTTTCAAAAATGTAGGTTTATACTCCAGCAATACCTGAGTAGAAGTCATCCTGATGTGTTTTCTGTGATGGCTTTGATGGAAGGAAGCTGGAAGGGCAACATTAGGAGCACCCGACTTCCACTGTCTGTTCTCTGGCTGCTTGTCTCCATACCAAGGCAGGCCCACTCCTTGCCTGTGGTCCAGGCTGATCCCATGGTTAACCCAAGTGCCTGGCAGCTGCCATTTCTTCAGCTCTGCCTCTAAGAACGGGCTGCCTCAGCTATTACAGATCACCTGATTTTTTGCCCATTTGCAGCTGGCATTATACTTGGAACTTTGACTTGCCCTGGAACGTGTCTCATGGGTGTAGTCTGATCAGGATGTGACCTCACTAAGTTTAGCAATTAAATCAGTTCCAACTTCAGCATGTTTGTAGTCCAATGTTGATCGCACTGAGTAATATCTAAGGGAAGTAATTCCTTTATTAACACTTCGCTGAAAATCTCTGAGTATGCAAATCTTATTTAAGACTTTAAAAGCACCGCCATCTGCTGGGGTCTGCACCAGGAACAAGATTTGCCCTACTCCTCTTTTTGCTTCTATATCCTTTTGGGCAGCAGAGATGGTGTATAAACTAGATGTGCTTGACTCACTTTTCCCCTTGCCATCACTTAATATATCAAAATAAATACAAAAGGAGAACAATGCCCATGAGAGTTATTGTCTTTATTCACCCATTTGAATGTCTACACCTTATACCACTTTGCAACGTAGGTATTACACTAAGTTATTACTACAAATCTTGATTCTTTGCATTTAACTTTTTTTTTCTTTTTCTCCCCAAAGCCCCCAGTACATAGTTGTGTATTTTAGTTGTAGGTCCTCCTGGCTCTGCTATGTGGGACACCGCCTCAGCATGGCTTGATGAGTGGTGCTAGGTGTGTGCCCAGGATCCAAACCCGCAAAATCCCAGGCCAGCGAAGCGCATACTTAACCACTCAGCCCCGGGGCTGGCCCATGCATTCAACTTTTAATCAAAGAATTTGCACAGGTGTGACAAATAGTTAAGGTAACAACGATTTGCAAATAATAACACAAATGATGGCTAAAACTTGAGTATAGAATTCAGTCTCATTCAATAACGGGATTACACTTGCCAATGTGGCAAAAACAACAACAACAACTCATGTGTGAACTGCAAATCAAAACCTCAGTGAAATTCCATTTTATACCTTCCAGATTGGCAACAATTTAAAAGTCAGACAATTCAAATATTGAAGAGAATTTGGAACAACTGGAATGTTTAACCGCTGCTGATAGGAGTGTAAATCACTACAACCACTCTGGAAGACAATTTGGCATCATCTCTTAAAGCTGAACGTTCGTATGCCATTGATCCAGCAGCTCCTTTCCCAGGTGTATCCCTGGAGAAACTGGTGCCCAGTACATCAGGAAGCACGTTCAGTGATGTTCATAGCAGCACGATTTATGTAGCGGAAATACAGAACTGACCCAAATGTCCATCAATACATTTATAGATGAGTTGTGGAATAGCCATCAGTGTTGTATATAAAAGGGAAGAGAAAACTGGCAGCTCCAATGATGAAATTGAGTTTGCTCTCGCATTAGAGTAATCTATGAAGAGCTTAGTGAAGTTTGGGTCAAATTGACCATCACTGTGAACATATCAAATGGATAAGTCTCAGACACATCATCTTGAGTGAAAGAAGCAAATCAGAGAAATACATACATTATGATTCACTTTATATAATATCAGAAGCAGGGAAAAACCAAACAATATCTTGCATTAGGATACAAACATCTGTGGCATAATGAGGAAGAAGAGCAAACGAATAATGAGCACCAAGTTCAGGGTGATGGTGACCTCTGGAGGGGGAGGGCACAGGGTAGCATCGGAAACTTCAAAAGTAATGGTCATCCTGTTTCTCTTGCACTGGACGGTGTGGTCACGTATCTTCATTTTAGCAATATTCTTTATATCTTACATATATTTTATAAATATCACTTTGCATCTGTTTCAGTTTGAATAAAAACAAACTTTTAAAACCTTCTATATGCACTACCGCCACGTAGTATCATGCTAATCTCAAGGTTTTTCTGCAGACTCGGCTTGTTTGTATTAGACTATAATTACCACCTTTTAGATTCGAGTGTCACTGCTCAGTGTAGTGGTCTTTTATTGCGTTGCCTGCTCAGAACCTATGGTAGATAGCCTGTAAAATGCTCCCCAGTGATCTCTACCTCCTGGTCTTCACACCCCCTCCCCTAGAATGCAGGCTGGACCCAGCAACTCACTTCTTACAAACAGAAAACAGCAAAAGTGATGCAATGTCACCTCAGAGATTAGGTTACAAAAAGACTGTGGCTTCTGTCTTGGGTGCCCTCTCCTGCTCTTCCACTTGCTCTGAGGAAAACCAGCTGCCATATTATGAGCTGTCCTGTGGAAAGATCTACGTGTCAAGGGACTGATGTCTCTGGCCAATAGTCAGCAAGGACCTGAGGCCTGCCAACAGGCACATAAGTGAACTTGGAAGCAGATCTGCTGTCGTTGAGCCTCAAGATGACTGTACCCTGGCCGATACCTTGATTGCAACCTCGTGACAGACAAGGTTTGAGTCAGAGACACCCAGCTAAGCCACACCCTGATTCCTGACCTACAGAAACTCTTAAATAGTATTTGTTGTTTTCAGCCACTGAGGTTGGGGGTAATTTGTTAGCAGCAATTGATAACTTGTAGAGGATCTCTTGTTCTGGGAACAGTTCCCTTGTTTGGGGGAACTATATCTCTTTCACCACTTCTTCACCTTAAGGTGTCAATGGGTGCGGCCATCTTATATGATTCTCTCTTCCAAGGCACAGTCATTGGTCCATGAGTGGGCACCTGACCCAAGCTGGGCCAACCGTAGTAACTCCTCCAGACATTGTAGTTTGCATACCCAACATCTGTTCCCTCTTTTCTCCTTCCTAAGAGAACCATACCTCAAGGAGACAGTCAGCCAGAGAGAATAAGGCTAATGTACAGAGCAAAGTAGCAAAGAAAAACCAAGAAGGGCATTGTGTTCAGCACTTGGAACCTCTGTAAGGGAGTCAACCAGGGTGGTCTTCTCACTTCATCTTAACTCTTTCCAAAGACAAGACCTCCTACGACTAACTTGCTTTTCCCATCCCAAGATCCAGCATTGTGCACATTTCAGGAAATAATTGGTTCTCTTGGTAAAATTTAATTTATTTAATTTAAAGTCCTGAACACTGGCCACTGGGGCTATGTATTTATACCATTTCACGAATTTATATAATTTCATAAAGCTTATAGTGGTATGCTGGATGACCACACAGCAACTTAGGTATTTCAGTGGCTAAGAGGGAATCTTTATCTTTCAAAGTCATGTGTTTATGCTATGTGTTTTATTTCACTCAATCTTCATTAAGCTCTTTCCTACCATGCTGTAATGCAAAACCATCTTTATTTCTATTTAACTTCCTATTTGAGCTACCAGTCTTTTTATCACTTTTATGTAGCATGCTCAAATCAGACCCCATATACCATGTTATATATTTTCATATCCAACCATGTGTTCAGTTACTGCTGCCTAGACTTAAGAATATCAATATTCAAGTGTCACTCTATTATTATTATTTTTCTTTGAGCCATTGAGCCTGCATTTCTAAGGCTTCGGAATTTAACTTTCCTACTTTACTCAATTTTGCCAGTGATAGTCCATAGCACATGCATTCATGATAGCTTGTAACCGTGTCAAAAAGGAAACTAAATCTTGATAAAATTTCTCTCTCGTAGCTTTCTCTTGTCTCCAAGCGTGTCCTAGCAGCGTATCCATGGTCTGTCTGCATTAGGACTCTATAACTGAAATTTCAGCACATTTAAACGGAATTGTCTCACACACAGTACATTGAATAACATCATTATACAAAACAGCATTGAATTGTGCCTGCATGACCGATTATCTATATTCTTGGAAGAATGTGATAATATTTGCTGTTCCATGTTCTACACCCTTATCGTTAAAAGGAGATTCCTGTAACTGGCCCTTTAGCCTTGGTTGCTGTTCTATTACTTGGTGCTTGAATCCCATCCAGAAACTCTTTCCGTGCCACCCCCCCCCACCCGCCTTACACATGCATGCTATCAGGAACACACGAAGGCTCTTGGCAGTCTTAACTAATGGAGTGTTAGCTAATTACACACCCAGCCACATGCAAACTTTAAACTTAGTTGAATACGGCCGGTGTACGTATGACTCAAAGGGCACAGGTGTGAATGTTCAAAAAGTTTTTTTTTTTAATTTGGAATTTTGAAAAATCTCAGTAGCCCCGACCACAGAATCCTATCCTTCCCTTGTTTAATTTTTACACTCGTGAATTCTGCCCGTGGTGTTATGTATATATTTTTTGCGACTTGTTTTTTTCCATTATATATCAGATGTATATAGAAAGCCTTTCCTTGGGGAAAAAAATACATAAACTCAATCTACGTTACTGTTCTCTCTCTTTGGCCATTCTTTTAACTGCATTTTATTCCAAAATATGAAGACTTTATTATTCCCCTGTTGATGGACAAGATTGCTTCCAATTCATTGCTGTTACAAACAATAAGCATCCTTGTATGTGCCCTTTTTGGGGTATACAGATGTAAGTATTTCTTCACTATCTATCCCTATGAGTGGACTTGCTGGGTCAAAGGATTTACACCTTTAAAGTTATAATTCGTCACTAAATTGCCCTTCAAGAGGCTTTGTCAGTTTACACTCCTCCTAACAGCCTGTAAGAGTGCCTGTTTCCCTTCGTCTTCACCAACACCAGATAATGTCAGTTTTTAATATTTTTGCCAATATGATGGGGGAAAAAACGTTTTAAAAAATCAAGTTCTTGATTATCACTAAGGTTGAACGTCGTTCCAGATGTTTCTTTGCCATTGACATTCCCTCTTCTGTGAACTGCTGCTTTGTAACCTATGTCCACATTTCAACTGGAGTCTTAGTGTTTTAATTAATCAGTTTGTAGGTGTTCTTTATGGAAACTCTGGATATTAAGTCTCTGGCTGTTTTTTGCTTATCTTTGACTTTATTTAAAATGTTATTTGCTGTTCAAAGTGTTGGAGGAACGCTGCCCTTCTCTCAAGCTGTGTGGAAGGAGGCCTGCCCTCCCGTGTGGAAGGTTCCTGGCCTCCTGCCCCATCTGCGTGGTCTTCCCCAGGGGAAGGGGAGTCACTCAACTGGCTGGTAAGTTTGGCAGAAAGGAGGAGCCAAAATACTCAGCTCAGTGCCATCCTCCCTGCTCTCTGTGAAAAAGCACACTTCCTCCTCTGCTCCTCCGTGCGTAAGTGTTACAGGGGCGAGCCCTCCCAGGGCTGACCTCAGGGGTGAAATATTAGCAAACCTGCTTGCCTGGCAGACCTCAGCCATATTGTCCAGTATCAGTTGTGGTGGTAATAAAAGTAATATTTGTATCTCCATCTGCCACACTCCTGTGTCTGTCTCTTAATAGGTTCTTGTATCAGTCAGAGTCCAAACAGAAAACAGATGGCACATTCAAATTAGGATAATTCAGGAGATTTAATAAAGGGACTATTTATGAAGGAGTAGGCAGGGTGTAAGGGAGACACGCGGGATAGCACAGCAACCTGGGGCTAGTAACAGCAGCTCTCTTACCATTCCTAGGCCTAAAAGGGTGAAGGGGATGGAGGTGTGCTTACGGACATCCAGGAGGAGAAGGCCAGTAGAGATAGCTGCCCTCAGAGGAGCAGAAGCCCTCAGGTGAAGGACACAGGCAGCTTGAGGCAGCCTGCAGGGAGGAAGACTGCAAAATAAATACCCTGAGCTTAGTCTTTCTCCTCTGCCCTCGAATCTCCTGCTGGGCCTGTCCACAAGGTAAGCCAACCAGACCCAGAGGGCAAAGGAACCTACTGATGCAACCAACACAGATCTGTCTGATGTAATCAGCATCCATCCATGTACTTGGATAGAGAACAAGGAGGGAAAGAGATCTGGAGGGACAAACAAAACTTATCTGGCACAGTTCACCTCTTTTCTCCCTCGGTGTACACTCTTACCCTTCATCTGGGCAAGAAATTCACATCCCCATCAATGAGATGCATGAAGTCCCATGGTTTTATCATGAGGCCATCTCAATCCAGCATAATCCCTCCTGAAATCTTAAGCATTACTCCCACTGGTGTTCTTCAAATAAGGAATCAGGTAAAAGTGAGAAGAGGTGTGGTAGGCAGAATTCAGAGTTGGCCTCCCCAAATTCCTGCTCCGTGGTGTACACACACCTTCTCTCAGTTATTCAACCAACCGCTAATCTAGGTACTGCTATGAAGGGATTTTGCAGATGTAATTAAGATCCCAAATCAGTTATGAAAGGGAGGTTGTCCTGGGTGAGCCTGACCTAATCAGGTGAGCCCTAAAAGGGCCAGGGCTGCTCCTGGTGAAAGAGATTTGAAGTTAATGCTGAAGAAGTTCTCCACTGGTGGCTTTGAAGAGGCAGAAGGAGTGTGGATGGCTTCTCGGATCTGAGAGCAGCCCCTGGCTGGCAGCCAGCAGGGGTATGGAGGCCTCAATCCTGTGGCCACAGGGAACTGTGAATTCTGTCACAACCATGTGAGCCTAAAAGAGGACCCTGAGCTCCAGATGAGAATGCAGCCCAACACTGTGGTTTTAGCCTTTGAACTCTGAGCGGAGAACCCAGCCATGTGTGCCATGCCTGGACTTCTGACCTACAGAACGGTGAGCTGATAGACGGGTGTTGTTTCAAGCCGCTGAACTTATGATAATTTGTCAAATCGCAATAGAAACCAATACAGGGGCAAAAGGTAACCTAAAACACAGCTGTTAAGATCCCCATTTTTGCAGCTGGTAATAGGGCCTAAATTGGTAATCCCGGCTGTCTTCTCCCATCACTCAAGCCAAGTTCCCTTTGTCTCCACCCAGCACCTCAGCTGGATGAGTTTCTTGACCTGGTGGAATGACTCGTACCTTCATTCCTGTAGGATCTGAGTCTTTGGTGGTCTTGACATTACTGGGTTGTCAGTTTTCCACTGACCAGAACTTTAGAGCAAGAGAGGAATCAGAGGTGCCCTAAACGATGTCCTCCATCACAACTTCGTTCACATTCATTCACATTGACAAACAATGTGAAGCAGCCAAGCGATGTTCCCATGGTGATCAGGCTCAGTCGTCCCAGCCAAGCTAGAGAACCTCTTCTCTGTCTGTTTAGTAGTGTGAGGGGCCTAAAATGAACAGGGTACATCTCAGCTTCTGGTTCACTGGAACCATGACCTTGTTTCCTGATGGAAGAATTACTTCTGTGGACACTAGAAGCTTCAGATCCACTGAGTCTAAGGTTGTAAGGATGGAAAACAAAAAAGTCTTCTAGGGAACGATTAGATGTAGTAGTGAGAGGGGCCTCTCCCGCCACTAGCCCTTTGTTCTCAGACCCATGCATCCTGGCTCTGGGGGAGATAGTACCGTATATGGACCTCTGGTTTGTAGAGTGTTGTCTTCCACTGGCACTGTAACTGAGCCTTTAGCAATCCACTTCACCATTCTTTCAAGCTACTTGATTCTACCTGATAAGCCCCATGGTAATACGAGTGAATTTCAAGGGCATGGACCTACTGCCACACTTCTTACGCTGCAAAATGTGTCCCCTTCTCAGAGGTGATGTTGTGTTTGATACCATGGTAAGGGATAAGGCATTCTGTAAGTCCACAAATGATGCTGGAAGAAGCACTTCAGGCAGAGAAGACAACGAGAATGCGTATTTACTCGATGAGAACAAAGCTCTGTTCCCTCCAAGATGGACAGGTCCAAGGTGGCTTCCCTCTAACCCCAGTGTGTCTTTTTCTCCATGGTGTGAAATTCAAGAGGCAGCAACTTGTCTCTCATTTTAGAAGGGTGCCCCAGACCACTGAGCCCCTAGAAACTTCACCTGTATGCGCCCCTTAGCCTCAGACACACATACAAAAGCATCTGGAGTGCAGGCTTCCCGCTCACCAGGTCCAGTTAGCATAATACCATCCATGTATTGAACCACGACGTCCTGCAGGATCTCAAGATGATTGAGTTTCCTCACATAACATTATGACAGCGAGGAGGAGACTTGACATTGTCCTGGTGCAAGATGGTAAAGGTATACTATTTGCCCTGCTATGTAAATGCAAATTGCATCAGATTTTCCTGGAAACAAAATGTTTTCTAGGTCAAAAGCTCAATGCCAAGTGCCATGGGCTATGTTGAACTGCCATGGTAAAGATGCCACAATTGGTGCTCAAGTTGTGATTGGCATCACTACCTAAGTTTGCAAAGATTTACTATCTCTCTGTGTGCCCCATCTGGCTTTTGCACTAGCTGGATAAGGAAGCTAAATAGGGCTGTGCTGGGAATCACCACCCTTGCACAGCTCAAGTTTTGGATGATAGCACCAATCTCTGGAATTTCCCCAGGGTTGAAGTATTGCTTTTGATTTACCTTCTTGGTGTGGTGGAGGCAGGAGTGGGGGCTCATTTCGGGAGCTTCCACTTTGCCATACTCGTCATAACAGCCTTCATTTCATTGGTGAAAGGACCAATATAAGAGTTTTGCCAGTTATTAAGTATCTCTCTTTCCAGCCTATGTTCTGGGAGTGGGAAAAAAACACAGAGTGAGTTCATGATCCCATGGACGCCATATTAGACAGACTTGGGCTAAGACTCCATACGTCACCTGACTTTTATAAGTTCCCAGTCTCACTGGTGGATCTTGGTGGCACTTCAGGGCTCTGGGGATCAGAGTGAGTTCAGGCCCAAGAGTTTGCATTTCCCAACACAGGTCATGTTAACTGGTCCAAGGACCAGATCTTGAGAACCACTTGTCTAACATTCCTTCTAATCCACTACCAGACATTTTCCCTAGATTCCTGACTCTACACCTTAGCAAGGTTTTATGACTCTTTAAGTGCATTGGCCATCTTTTTCTGGAGCAGGCCTTATATTTCTCCGTCTGGGCCTTGTTACGAGCCTGAAAGTGAGAAGAGGTAAGGACATGGGACCTAAGGAGAACAGGCCTCAGTTTATGAGGCAATTGACCCAGGTGCAATTACTGTAAGGCTTTTATGCAGAGGAGAGCTTGTTCCTTCAGCCAGCAAAAGGGGGTCGGAGGAGTATGGAGGGTCAAAAGTCTCAGCCCCATCATGTCTACTTTTTGGGCATCAAGTATCCCCTTCTATGTCTCAGAGTCTCACTCCTCTCACCAATAACCTTGCCTGGGTGTAAGAGACTTGGCAGAGTTAAGCATTTAATTGGTCGCAAATCTACAACCCTTACAATCAGACCTTACAGTCAGGCTTGGTTCTTAGCCATATTTGCCCTGCAATTCCTGGAAACAAGAGATTCCTTCAATGACACCATAAAGGTAGTCTGATTTTCCATGTGTCTTTTTAATTGTATTTATGTAGCTTTTATTTTCTCTTTTTCCCTACATATACTTTTTAGGGTGGCAAAAAGA